GTGATTTATTGTACTAGTTTCCTTTGCCTCCCTCCCTCCCCTTTTGTTTATCAAGGGAAGATGCTGTCCCTAGGCTGACAGGTTTTAGACTACTGCAGTGTGAAATGGCCACAACAACCCTTCTCTGCCCTTCTCCAGTGGGGACTGGGATGGAAATGCCCACCCAGCTCTTCCAGCCATGCCAGCAGCGACGCACAGCTATCTGCATAGGCGCAGCCAGCCACGGAGGGACAGGGCACGTGTGTCCCAGACAGATAGGAGAAAACAGCCAAAGGGCCACAGCAGTCTGATTGAGGCTGCCAGCTTGAATGTGTTGAAATGTTGTCATTCCTCTTGTAGGTTGTTAACAAGGAGGCACGGGGGACTTCTCTGAGCAGCATCTTCTCAGCTCCATTGCAGGCAGAGAAGGAGTAACAGTTTCATGCTACAGGAAAGGGGGGCCCAAGGTAGTGCTGAGGGTCTCCCTTGTCCACAAAGCAACCTACAATTGGGAGGTGAGGCCACACAGGTTATACATATAGCGAGCACACAAAACCCACAGAAAGAAGCAAAAACACTCACAGACAAAGCAGCCTTGTTCCGACGGCCTTCTCCAGCATTAGCAGGTGAGACAGAAAGGCACTGCCTGAGCACAAACAACCAGGTTGGAAGCGACACAAGTTCTTTGCTAGAAGCAGCTCACAAAGGGATGTTGGTCTTTGCTTCCCTGTGAGGCTTGCCTCTCCTTAGCATGGCTCCTTTTTTGTCTTCTCTTCCTCAATTTAAAATCACTACTTTTGGTCGCAGAGCTTTCCAGATAGTTTCTGCTCCTTAACTGTAAAACACTGGCAGCTCCAAGTGCAACCCTTGCTGTAACTGCAGGGCTGAGCCTCCATCCTTGCTCTGGGTGTGGCTGCACAAAACTAACTTTGGGAGCTCCAGGAACAGCTGTGGAGCTGTGGACAGGTGGAAATAATTCTGATAACAGCAAGAAGAAGAGGAATATTCACTTTGGCCTCTGTGAGCATTGCACCAAGGGGTAAATTCAAGTATCTGTATAGGATAAGAGAAGAGAAGCTCAACTCTCTGTCCCAGCTCTGCCCCCTTCTAAGCTAAGGTTTCACTCTGATGAAAGCGAGATGGGCATTAAACCTGCATTCCTGAAAGACGATGTTAGCAACCACAGCAGCTTTTCAGTGGAGGACTTCTAAGGAGAGGATCTCTGTCTGCCAGTGTTTTCTTCCTTCCCCTTCCCTTTGCAGAATGGGCTCTGAGAGATCATTATTAAAGAGAACAACAACAACAACAAACCAGCCTCATCAGTTCCTGTGAATTCTGAAGGTCACCAATGCCACCATCAGTTATAATGACATACATCACTCCCTCTTCAGACAAATGGACTTACAACCTATTTAAAGGCAAGTGTCTCTCAGAGCACTTCACCCCTTCTGCTACCTCCTCTCCTCCAGCAGCAGCTGCTGGAAGAAATTATGAATTCCATTATTTTTCATCCAGAACAGCTTCGCAGTATATGAGAGAAACACTGGAGGCTGCAGGCTCGTTAGCACAGGATTTGTATTGCCACCTCCCATTTTATTCACCAGTCCAAATTAGGTGAAGCATGCCTGCCCCAAACCTGTACTTTCTGTTTAATTAAAATGCAGGTGGTGGACTACCCTGAACTCCAGAGCCCACGGCACAATCAGACAGTGACAGTGACCCAGTAGAATAATGCTCTTGATGTAGGGGCTGCTCTAACAGAGCCTTAATTTCAGTCAAGCAGAACAGCACCTCTGGTAGCAGCTGCATTTAGGGCCAGGATGATGATCAGCACAGCTTCTTTCTGCCTTCCCAATCAAAGCCGGAGTCCCTGACAGCTGAACTGCTCAATGAATTAACCAGGCGAGAAGGGGACTTGCTGAGGGGCTGCAGCTCCCTTCTCACTGCTGCAAGTGGCAGCTTTCAATTATTTTTTTTTATTTTTTTTAAATTTTTTTTGCTGTTTATCAGGAGATGCACATGGTTCTCTAATGAGCAGGGCAGCCAGATTTAAATAGGCAACTGCATGGATCTCCTCCACATAGGAGAGGGATGCAGGGGCTCAAGGCAGGTGAGGGAAGAGCTGGCTCCACTCAGACCCATAAGTGCAGCATAGGGATGGTTTATTCTCCACATCAGAGAACTTTGCAAACATGCAGACATAAAACCTTTACTGTTTCAGTGGATGGGACAAAACTTTGCTATGAGAAAAAAGTTCTGCTCCACCTACTACAAAAAATACCAACCAAGCCAAACCCAAATCTGCCTGCATCCATCCTTTTAAATCACCTGGCATATCAACCCTGTTACTTGGGCCAGGAATCTCTACTTGCCCTTGGCCCAAGCCCGTGAGAGCTGGACACTTGGGATGCTGTCTTGGGTACGACTCATTGGCTACTTGAGTTTGTATTGTAAAAATCCAGATACAATGATAGGAACATTTTCAGGTCTCACAGAGGAGAGCACAAGAACAAAGGAAGGGTTTGGGATGCTTGTCTTCCCGCACTGTTTATCTGGCTGGGCTGTTTGCTGCTCCCATCCCACATGGCACACCAACCATCAATATGATTTCTGGATGTTTCATGCTGTATAAAACATGGCAGACTGCACAGAAATGGATATTTCCTCTGAAATGTTACCTAAAGCACTCTTATACCTAAAACCACCATATTCCCACAAAGATATGTGCTATATATTCCTTTTTACAACTGCAAGGAATCTTCTTTCACCTACTAGAATTACTGAGACCCTTACAGCACAACGAAGCACCATTTAGCAGTACTTGGACTTAAATTATCCTTCAGGCTGGGGACTGGTCTGCTTCAGTCACTTTGTGTTCAGTGCTATGCTCATGTTGTCAGTGGTTTTTGTTTACTGCCAAGGTTTTCTCTACTATTTACATGGGTGTCCCATCATCAAAGCTAAGTGGACCCATTTTTTCCAGCTTGCTACTTATCCAACTCTACCATGGGTAAGAACATCAAGCAAACAATAACAACAAAAACTTGCATTTCCACAGCACACTTCAACTCGAAAGTGTCACAAATCAATTTAAAACCTAAATTGCAGCACCAGCTCCAATCACTTTGCTCACAGTATAAATCACAGCCAGCTCTGGAGGTGGAAGAGGCAGTTATATAACAAAGCATAATAACTTCACACTGTAAGTGTGAAAATCTGCGGGAAGATCCTATGTTCATCACTTCTACTGCGTGAACCCAGATTGTCCCTAACCAGAGGTAGAGCCAGGATCCCTAAAAACCACACTGAGTCACATTACAACCCCAAAAGCACCAGCCCTGCCTGTGCAAGAAAGCCTTGGAATAATTAAGGTTGGAAACGATCTCTGAGACCACCAAAGTCCAACTATTGACCCATCCCCACTCTGACACAAAACAACATCCCTCAGTGCCACGTCTCAGCAGTTCTTGAATACCTCCAGGGATGGTGACCCCACCACTCCCTGGGCAGCATGGTTTCATCCCAAGTTTGGCCTCCTCCATTGCCTGGTTCCCTGTCGGAGCTGCAACGAAGATGAAGCGCTGTCTGGTTAACATACATGAGCACCACCACCTCTTTCCTCTCCCACCTGATTTTCCATGCTCTGTGTATGTGTAGAAATGCGTTTGTTGGCTCAGTTTGCAGCAGGGAGGTATTTTGTTCTGAAACAAAAATCTATTTTGAAGTCAGGTACAGTTGGCTCCACTTGGGGCTTCCTTTGCTGCAGTTACAGAAAGACATCGGAGCACCAGCAAAGTAGAAAACATGTAGGTATTGCCAGCTGTCTCCAAACCATGTGACCCTGATTAATTTATGACGTTTTCAAAGAAAGATAGTGAATGTCATACATTATTTGAAATCCAAAGGTTAAGCAGTACTAAAAAAAAAAGTGGGCTTTACTTACTTTTGAGTAATAGAATCTTCAGTGAATGACAATAAACTGTATTAGCACTGAGTTTGCTAACTTTTACATCTTAGCCTTGAGACAGAAGAACAAAAGTGCAATCAGATCTGTTCCCAGCAGCAGACTGAACAACAGGAGGGAGCGTGTTGCCTATTCTTGTTCTAAGCTTCATAAGATGTTGCTGCAGAAATTGATACCATAACTAACAGCCATTTCAGCGCCAGCCTCTCTCCAGCTGGGGTCACCGTAAATCCTGCATCGCCACCGGGCTGAGGAGGAAGACATCAGCATCAGCTATTCCAGTCCTCCACTGGAGCCTTTGAGAGGAACAGGCTCAGCTGCAGGTTATCTCTGCTCCGCCAAATCGCTTGTTTCACAAAGCATTCAGAGGAGTGCCTGCTTAACTCTCTTGTCCTGATGTCTGCCTCCGGCCTTCCAATGGAGGGATTTAAAATTGATCGGCAAGTTACACTTCATAAATGCAGCCTGAATTTATGCACCGCATCCATAATAAGTGGCAGCATGAGTAGTGACACTGCACCACAGCTTCTGCATGTGATGCAGAGGTAGAAGTCTGCATGTTCTTGAGAGTAATCTTCATCTGCGGCTCCAGAGCTAGCATTAAACTGGACACAATATCTTCTTGACTTCAAGAGCATAAAATACAGCAAGATGTGGTGCACAGGCAATGCCTCTACACAGACAGCAATAAAATAAAAGAACCAGCTTCCCAAGTCTCCCTTGTTTTGTAGTTCTGTTTCTTTTCCCCTGTGGCTTTCCTATGCTCTACTTTCTACTTTAACTTGAGTCAATTTTTCCCTCAAGCTAATTTGGTATGACCAGTCATTCTCCTGCAACTCCAAAAAGGATTTTCTCTTTTTTCTTTCAAATGCACCTTCTTCCCTTATTCCTGTGGACCAACTGGCTTTGAAAAGGCAAGAAGCTATTGGTGCCAGCCTATTCCAGGAGAGAATGCTACAGAAAACTGATAGTGATAATGATCCAGTCCTTTCCCAATATTTGAAGAAAACCAGAACTTGTTGAAACTAAAAAATATATATAAGCCTGTTTTACCTACCTGCTTCACCCACAAACACTTCCACTGGCGTGCTGGTAGGGCTCTCACCAATGACATTATACGCTGTCATTAACACTTCATATCTCTTGTATTTCTTCAACTCTGAAAATGTAAATTATATTGCACATTATTATTCATAGTATATTACAGTATTGACCTGTCTTAATCTCCATCACTTCTTCATCACCACACTTCTCTCATGAAATGCTGCCTTACAACAGTGCAGTGGTGTGCTATCTACTTCCACCCTTCCTCAACACATTTATCACAGTAGGGTCTGCACAATTATGAAAGATCTTTGCTACGAGATGACAGAATTTTCCAGTATTTTCACTGTGTCGCTCCAGTAAGAAGGATCACACCTGATGATTAGCTAGCTAGGGGAGTTCCTCTGGGTCATTCCTGATGACAGGGAAAATATGGGACTTTGAATGCTGAACATGTGGGATCATTTTGATCTCTACTGGTAGGAATGAACACGGCTTCAAGCCTTCGCCTAGCCCCAGAGACTTTGATCCAGGGGTCATTTGGCAGCTGCATGGCTTGAGAATGCCACTGCTGTGACAGGATCCAGAGGACAACCTGCAGCAGGGAAGTTGCAGTCCTGTTCAAAGTACTGCATGCATATCTTTCTCCCTCAGTGTGAACACGGTTTAAAGATCAATCTCAAAGAGAAAGGAGAATTTGAAGTGTGGGTTCCATTTGGCCATCACAGAACCAATTTATTAGCTGACAAACTATTTACAGATGAGGTAGGAGAATAAAAGCAGTGTGACAAAAAAGCAAGAAAACCCAATGGTATGGGGGCAATTAATAGATGTAAACGGGGATGGATTAGAACCATGTCAATGTCACTGGGAAGGCAACAACTGAGCAGTTTTGGACTTTGCCTTTTTATGATGGAAGAATCAATTCTAACAGAAATATTTATCATCTAAAATATTTAACAGTGAAATTAAAGTAAGAAAGAGATCAATAATATAAATAGCTGTATTTAAATGAGCTCAGAATTGATTAAGACATGCATGGCCAGGGTACAAATTTCTCCCTTTGCCAATAATTTTCTCTGTTATCTATGAATCACATTGTACCTTTCTCTCTGAGGCTGACAGAATGCTATCGGTTTGGTGAGGTTCAATAACTCTAATCATGCTGGTTCTTCAAGTTTTATTTCCATGGAAATATTTACAAGTGCCTTGCTCCTATGCCTGACTCAGAGCTCAGACTCGTTTCCTATTCTTGGGTATAGAGTAAATGATATCCAATATATCACTAACTTTTTGCCAGTCCATTAATAAATATTAAAAAAAAAATGTAAGATATATGGCTCTTGATTAGAATTTCAGTACTAGGCAGCTGGTACAGAGAAAGTTTAATTGCTGTCATGAAAAGCCACAAGGGACATTTTAGTGTTAACTGGATGTGGAAGAAAATGGAACATATGAGAGTTCATGCATGCAAGTTTCAGTGGGGATAGGGCTTCTTTTTTTTTTTAGCCCAGCACAATCTGTGACTCAAAAGCCTTGGGCAAAACCTATCTAGTGAACCATCATCACCACAAAGCAACTTGCCTTTTAACTCTGTCGAATGCTATTTTATTCATTTCCAATTGAAAACACCTCTGGAGATGCATATAAATTCATTGGGCCCTCTCTAAATTGGCCTCATACTCTAAGGACTGCTTGAGCATTGCAGTGCTTGAATCGTAGGGCTAATGATGTGATACTGCTAAACTCAGATGGACTGCAAAATACGTAGCAAGCAAATCAAAATTCATTTAGCATCAGCAATGCTGGGTTGTTACAGTCAACTATGTTTTACCTTCCCAGCAGCCACAATTTTACAACCACTACCTACTTGCATCATCAATATCTATTGATGTAGAGAAAGCAAAGGCTTAAAGAAAAAGGGACTCCGGAAACCAGAATCATTAATTTGTGTTGATTTCTGCCAGATCCGCCGAGGACAACAAGAGGAGTTTGCCTGTATTGTATTTTGAACCATTAGAAAGAGTCTCATCTAAAGGCAATGTGCACTTACGTGTTAATTCATACGTCGTTAATGCAGAGCTGCTGTTCACTGTCTTGAAGCTGCTTTGGGCTATTCAGGGTAAGCAAAGCAGAAAGCTTGTTACAGTGCAAGGAAACAGTTATTGCAAATGATGTACAGCAGAGACAGAGGCAAATGATGCAGCACACACACACACAGTTTGAGCTTTAGGACTATACCTCGAAGGGCAATAAAACCACATCACTCTTGTAACACATCAAAAGCATCTCACTCACACGGGTTTTTTCATTTTCTCCTCAAACAGAGAATCATACAAATATGCAATAGAGAAATGTTCTGACTCTTACATTAAACAGAATAAATGAGTGCAGAGGAAACAGTTTCTAGGGGAGAAACTAAACACTGTGTAGCATTCTTATGTCTCAACATGCAAAATTTGAAACATGGAGAGCTGCAGGGGAAAGACTTGGAACATGGGCCACAAAGAGCAAACACTTACAGTACGATAGGACCCGTTTCTTTAAATGCATGTTAGATTCCCCACAGTTTCACTTACAGAATTCAACATTCCTGCTGTGAATGAACTGCAGTAATATGTTAAGCAGTGCAAAACTGCAGGTCAGTGAGGAACAAGGGTGCACTGAGGTGAGAACTGTCATATTATGAGGAGAGAGAGGGATATTTCTCTTACAATACTTGTCTCCAACCCTTTTTTCCCCCCTCTTGTCTCCCTGGAGAAGCAGACCAAGGTGTTTTCTACTATACAGCCATTAGCAGCATTGCTGCAGGGCCAGCAAGAAGAAGGAAGAGAGGAAACCAGTAGGTATTACAAGCTTCCTAGCTTACAAGACCAGAGAGCATCCGAAGTCATTACTTTATGATGAGATACACAGCTCATCATTCAGCTTTTGCCTGGAAAAAAAAAAACCCTTGTGCATGCCTGCACCTGGAGGAGCTGTGCATGTCTTCTCTGGATTAACCTCTGTGCTCCCAGAGCCCTCACTCAGGTCTGACAATGTAAATGGGATCACAGATGGATGCCGATGCTACATTAATACATTCACCTTTCCCACATTCACACAAAAATCTTTCTTGCTTTTATAGAAGCCATGTTTATGGATTCAGAGAAACAGGGGAGATGCTGTAAGACATTAAAGTAGTCTTGGCATATTCTGCTGCTCATAGACTCCCGTCTTACTCTGAATATTCCACTGACATCAAACAGGACTAAAGTTGGTCCTGCTGTGAGCACCCCTCATTGCTGGGCCTGTAGGGTTACTGAGCACTCGCATCTTTACCTTCCATCACCTTATTCTGCCTATTCTTTCTTTCTACCCTTTTTCTAAGCCTTTTTCACTTTTTTCTATTATTTCCTTCCCTCTCTACCTTCCTTCCCAAAAAAATCCCAGCAACCACCAGAGCAAGCATGCACCTTCTTGCTCATTTTTGCTATTTTCTTCCAAAATAAAGACAAGCACTTCAAAGTTTTACAAGTGCTATCTAAGATTTCTCCTCAGCTGTTTTCCTCTACTGCAAAAAGGAAAACAAAATGTCAATTATAAAAACTGTTAGAAAATAGCAAGCTGAGGAAAATGAAATCTCTCTCCTTTTTGTCTGATGGCAGAAAATGTCTACTGGGGTAATTGTAGAGATGGCAGAAAGCAGGAAATCAGAGGGGACATGGAGGACAGAACATCGATTCAAGCACGCTGGCACAGATTAGAGTGCACCATCACAGGCGATGCTGATCAGACAGAGGCTATTAGCATTTTCCAGCATCTTCACCTTGACTGGGTGAAATCTAAATTATCTCCAGCACTTTGGGCATAATGGTGCGTTCTTTCCATAGGTAGGAGATCACATAGCATCTGGTATAAAGACATTCAGGGATAAGCATCCGAAACACAGGCTTACGTGTGAGCTCAGCTCTTAAAGCTGAGGGGTTCCTGACAGCTTTGGATTCGGTGGCAGACCCAGCATCGTAATCCAGCTCCCTGTAGTAGATCCGGTATCCCAACAGCAGCCCGTTCAGACTCTCTGCTTTGGGTGGCTGAAAAATGTGCATGTGAAGAATATTCTCGTTAGGATGAGCATGGTAACTAGCACAAATTTGTGGGATGCAGAATATAAATAACAGATCACTGAAAACGCACGCTGATGGTCACCAACACAGCAAACCAGTGTTTCACTTCGGAAATGACAAAAGTAAATTATTTTGTCACAGTGTCCTTAGTGGATGGATGTTCATAGAGCATTCTTTATTGAACAATATTTACCTTTAGAGTAACCAAGAGCCATTTGAAAAGTAACGAACCATTCTGTGGTTCGTTAGGATGATGAAAATAGCTGCCAGAGCAGCTTCAGAGAGGAAGCACAGCACGATGAACTCCTGTGTGTAGCATTGGTTGAGGCCCATGGGAAAACCCAGATCTCCTCTATAGCAGCTTGGAGCAATAGAGGATGTATGGCATTGAGCTGGCCCAAATACATGCTTTGTTCCTCTGCAGCATGCTACTAGATGCTCAAAGACATCCAAAGGATTCTTCAGCAGCCCCTCACATCTTCAGATACAGACGTACAATCTATACACTGAAAGGAATTTTCTGTGCAAATGGCTTCCTTCAGTAAAGACAAGAAAAGGGATTCTTCATGTTTGGGAAAAAATGACTTTCATGAATCTAATGCAGGCTACGAACTGTGGAGAAGAAAAGGTGCCCTGAGCCATTTATCTTCTAAAGATTCTTGTACCGAAACTCAAGGGGCTGAAAGGATAAATGAAAAGGATTTTAATGATGACCTTGCCTTTAATCCAGAAAGATTCCTAGCAGTTTTGAGAACTTTACTACAGAAATCTTCAGTCCATCATTAAAAAATTAACCACTGGCGTGATACTCTGTTACAGCACAAGGTAATACCACATGTAATTCTAATGAAGAAAGTAAAAAGCATATTTTTTACAAGAAAGGAGGCAGATATTTGGTAATAACCTGACTCTGCTTCTTGAAATGACAAGAATCTTCCATTGCTTCCTTACAAAAGATGAAAGAAAGAGGGTGGTCCTGGCTCATTGTATGTAAAAGATTTTTCTTTGGGTAAGGACTAAAGAATTAAGTAGAAAGACTGTAGTTCAGGGGAGTCAAAAAAGAAAAGTATGCGATCCAGAGTTTATGAAAACTACCAAGCTACCACAAAAGTGCTCCTGGAAGAAGCCTGCTTCTTTCGCAGTTGTCCTGCCTGAAACCTGCTGAAAGCAATCTGAAAATTCCAAGTGCCTTGCTTTGTTTGCCCTCCTCCATCATGATGTTTCATACTGATTATACTACTCCATCCTTTGCAGAAGCTTTGGCTGTCTTTCATTATTGTTTAGCATTACAGACTGACCTAGGAACACAAGATTGTGAAATTGAGAACCTTCAAGTTGGGCCCTCAGAAAACAATTCAAAGTCCTTTTTACAGTGAAAGCTCCACCAGAAAATGAGCTATTTTTTCTGCTTCCCAGGATTTTTTTGGAAAGCTACTCCACTGCTTGGCTGGTTAGAAACCTTCATTTAATTTCTCATCTAAATAATTCATAGTGAGTCTGTAACCATTTGATCCTCTGCTAACATTGCCTTTTGGATTACATTGTTCTTCTCCTTGTGGGGTCTTTACTCCTAGGTTGTATTTCAAAAAGAGCAACTATATCCCCTCTCAGACCTCATTCTAGAAGGTAATAAATCAACCTCTAGTCACAGAATCACAGAATCAGAAAAGGGGTTGTGTTGGAAGTGACCTCAAGGATCATCAAGCTCCAACCCCCTTGCTGCATGCAGGGCCACCAACCTCCACATTTAATACCAGACCAGGCTGCCAGGAGCCCCATCCAAACTGGCATTGAACACCTCCAGGAATGGAGCATCCACAGCCTCTCTGGTCAGCTGTTCCAGCACCTCACCACTCTCAGCCTTTTCTAGCCACAGGCCAGATCCCTTAAGCAAGGGACTAAACAAACAGACCCAAAGAAGTGACAGCTTTTTCCATGGCTCAAAATGTTCTCCTCTGCAAGATGCAGAAAAGATATTATTTATTATAATCTTATGTAGCACTTTTTTTTTTTTTTTTTTTTTTTTTTTTTAAATCCACAAAAATTGGAAGTGGAAATCTTACATTCTTAAAAGGAAAACTCTACTGAAGCTGTTCCTCCTTATTCTGCCACACAGCTGATAACAGACAGAGCTCCATGCCTCACTGTGGTATAACACTGATTGGTTGATAGTGGGCATTGTTTTCTTACACTTCCTTGTGATTCTCCATTTTTCCTCTTCTTCAAATTTAGGAGGAAAGCTCAGAAAATAAATGGCTTGAAATCTGTCTTTCTCCTTGCCATAGAAACGATGTTTCTTTCCTGAAAAGGGTACTCTGCTAAAAGGTCAGGTCTTCCCCTTCCTATCTGTCTCTCGCGGACAGAACACTGCTTTTGATGTAATGGATTATTTAGGGTTTTGTATGGAGGCCTGAGGGATCTGCTGAAACAGGTAAAATGATTATGAGTGGCAGCCCATAACATTGTACACGAGTAAGAGAAACAGTTTTGTGCTCTTGCAAGAAGAAAGAAAACAACGTAAGTTTGAATAATTGCTGTCTCTATGGCAGAAGCAGAACATACATAATCCTGATATTAACTATAACATCCTCCAGAACATTTGAAATAACCTTGCATTATTGATAGAGCAGACCTCAATGGAAATTACTTATTTTCCCCCTACTTTAAATTTAAAAATAATGGACTGATTGGACCAAGCAGCTGAAAGCACAGATAGTGCATCTAGAGTTTGTTCCGTGAATTATTAAAACAGCTCAAAGTTAAAAATTTAGCTTTGCTTGGAAATCTACTCTCCCATTTAGCTTGACTGCTGTTTTCAGTTTACATTATTTCTTAAACACTGCTGTGAAACAACTTCTTAATTGGAGGCTATTGTGGGACTTGAAGATTTTTGTTTATTTGAAAAATACAGTGCGGCTGAATTACCAGGATCTATTAATATACATGTAGTAATGACATATAATCGCCCACAACTCCCCTGAGATGGCTCTGGCACAACAACCCCATTTCATTTTCATGAAATAAAAAGCATCCAATTACCTAAACAACCACCTATTTCACATTAACTACACACCAAATAATCAGTCAATTGGGGGAACGTTTATTTCCACGGTACGCCATGCCTCACATCCTCCTTGTTGCCTTCCCTATACCTTCTCCTTCACTGTGGGGTTTATTTGGAGGTGGGGCAACAGATTTATATTTCTCCATAACTCCTTTGGTAAAACTGTTCAGCATGTCTTCTATTTGCTCAACAAGCTGTAAGCAATGATGTTACGTAGCGTTAAGCTGCGTGAACTTGGGCCAGCATCCCCTCAGTACAGCCAGGCATATTTTTAAAGTGCTGCTGCATAGCAATGAACAGACCCTCATACATATATTTTTTTCCAACATGCAAGGAGCCCCATCTGTACTGTAAACACGTTAGGCACATTTTTCACTATAATACAATCTGTCCAAAGCTATCTTTACTGTGTGCATGGGACATCATCTTGGGAGCGGGGTGGGCAGAGGCTTTCCAGAGCAGGTTATGGTTAACGTGCAGTACCCCACTGGGTTCCCTCTCTTAATGCTTACTCCACAAAAAGAAGCCTCAGGCAGTGGGTCACAAAATGTTCCAGCATCTCCCAGGAGGCCAGTTTTGGATGGGAAGATAAAGGAAGGCACAGGAAATGTGTGTATATAATGCAGACTCGGCACGAATACTTTCATATCCAACTCAGAGATATTACAGAGAGCTGGAACTTGCTTTTCTTTTCTTTGAAGAAATCTTAGTTTTTTAGCCCTCAAAGAGCCAACAGAGCACGTGATGCTCCTCAAAGGTATGAACAGGATCTCGGGCACAGCATACACCTCTGATTACTTTGGCAGCTGAAGGAGGCAATGCACAATGTGAACAACAGAGCTTTTGATTACCTGATCTCTGCCAATGCTACACACCGGTAAATGCTCTCAGTGTAAAGATGCAATAAGAGGACAGGTGAATCTGTACAAACTGTAATCACAGGCATCTTGGCAGAAACTCTTCCCTCTCAAGCTTTCCTTCATGGGGCACAAAGCAAAGGCAACAGCCAGAAATTTCCATCAGTGAAATAAACGCGCAGATCAGGAAAACAAGGAAGCAACGGCAGTCCTTCAAATTTACTACACTCCTTCCAGCTCAGAAAAACAGCCATTGCAATGAGCCATTAAGGCCAACAAGTCAATGCCAATGAGACACACCACGATTTTCTATTTTACCTACCTGCCACTGCACAAGGACAGATGAAGTGGTGTGGGGAGTGACCAGCACAGAACCGGGAGGCTCATCAGGAACTGAAGGAGGAAAAGAGGTAACCAAAGCAGTTAGACAACAGGAGAGAAATGGGAAGTTAATTCACCAAAATCTTCCATCCCAGTTCCTATGTGCTGTGTCTCAAAAGCAGTGCCAGGGATCTGAATATTGCAACCCAAGCAGAAGCCGGATTCTTCTCACTCATCCCTGCACTACCTGTGGCCTTGGCAACTTGAGGAGGAACGTGAGAAAAGCTCAGGGCATAAACCTGGAGAAAGCTGATAGCGGCAGCCGCTCATAAGCAGTAGGATACAAATTCACCAGGAAGTTAAACCAGCTGAATGCATGCTGTAAGGTGTGAGCAAATTGCTCCCAAATTTTCCATGGCATTTGTGGCACAGCTGGGGCAAGCCCACTGCTTTTGGGAGTCTGTGTCATGTATTCACAGATTATTGCAATCAGGACAACTTGATTTACCATGGATTAACCCATTCCTGTGCTTATGGCCTGTAACACATCTGCACACTCTCCAGCAGCTCAAGTACAAAGGAGGGAATGCTTATCAGGAGCTGACAGCCCTCTGCAGCGCAATGCTCTGGTGGCAGCTCCAGGTTTGCTCAGCAGAATAAATGTTCACAGTTTGTTAAGGAGGTGAGAAGCTTTCACAGGGTTTTCCTCTTGCATTGTGAGGAAGCCAAGCACAACTCTGGATTCACGGTAGCTAAATTCCAAGAGAACCAAAAATGAAATTTTAAATTCCAAAACACTGAGTCAGTATTGCCTCAACCGTACAGCTTACAGCCTGCACCATACAGCAGCTATTGTTTGAGAAGCTGGAGAGCTGAAATGCCTTTAAGAGGCTGCTAGGCACATGTTTTCTTCAAGCACTACACAGGGTCTTATTTAAACCAGGATACTCCTGAGATCTGCCCCTCTGGTCTTGTAATTTCAAGATCACATTCCTTAAACATTCTTTGGCAAATTTCTTTCCTATTTTCATATCTCAGAGTCACCGGTCACTCCCTGTGCTGTATTAAACACTAATTCTGGGCACTGTATATAGAAGTGTATCCCAACATTACCCTATTTCCCAGTCCAAGGGTAAATACAGATCCTTTGTCACACTTTGCAGAGTTCTTTTTCCCTCTGGTAGTCCCATTCAAGGCATTGGAGCTACTTCTGCATTCAAGCAGTGCCCTTCTACAATCAAGGAATTAGAAGCTGATCTCTGAGGCTAAAAATAAAAGCCTTGTCAATGTCATTCACAGTTTATTAGTCCTGATCTGCAGGATTAAATGCTCGTGTTTTCAGGAGCCTGGTGCTCTTTCTAACTTATACCTCAACAATTTTGCTGTATTGCAGACTGATGTGGATTGTGAGTGAAAACAATTGAAGAAACTTCTTCAAATGTATGCATGGTACTGCATTTATTTTTAATGATCTCTTGTAAATTATTCAATTTCTGCAAAGATAATGGTTAGTGCAGAGTTTGGAAGCCAATCAAAAGGAGTTTAATTCCATTTGGAGACTCCTGAAAGTATGATTCATTCAGAGTGCACAGCAGGACACTTAAGGCTGCCTGCTATTAATTCAACCCAATCTCATTACTACCTGTTATCAATCTCCCAGGAACAAACCCACACTTGATGTTGGAATTTTTACCCTGATCACAGCGGAAAACACATTGCAGTGGATCCAGGCTCTCATCCAAGCACCCATCCCATGGCAGTGTCCCCACCCCATGCTCACCATCCTGCAGCGTTGTCACCGCCTCCGTCTCGGCACTGAAGTCGCTGTCCCCGATGTCGTTGGTCGCTTTCACACGCAGCTTGTAAGAGGTGAACGGGTTCAGGCTGTGGGATGGAAAAGTGAGGCCAAGGGGTGAAATCTCCATGCACCAGCATAAATTGCTTCCTAATGAGCCTTGACCTCTACAGATGGGGAGCCTGCCCACTGGCAAAAAAAGCCATTGGAACGGCTTCTCTTACCAACATCACCTCAGAGGTCACCATGAAGTGGTGCTGTTTGCACCTTCACTGCCATTGGCATCCTCTCAGATTGATAGAACAAGGGGGAATTTTTTAAACTAGAAAAGGGGAGATTTAGATTAGATGTGAGAGGGAAATGGTTTGCTCAGAGGGTGGTGAGGTGCCAGCACTGCTGACCAGAGCTGTGGTTACCCCATCCTTGGAGGTGCCCGAGGCCATGGATGGGCCTTGGGCACCCTAGTGGGGGGCAGTCAGCCTACATAGGGTTGGGGTTGTGGGGCTATGAGGTCCTTTCCATCCCAACCATTCAGGGATTCTCTGATCTTTGAGACCCGTTCCCATCCAACCGTCTAAGGTTCTGCGACTCATAGCTGAATCCAAAAAAAACAGCCAGTAAGATGCAGCCCATAGAGCAACCTCTGACTGCTGTGCTGCAAGGGGATGCAAAAATTGGCTTTCATGGCAAAGCAGAAGCTTTGTCAAAGACATCCTCCAAACATCCCTGCTGCACAGACCAGGACAGGCACGGAGGACGTTGGTGACGTGGCTGGGCCAGCAGTGAGTCAGGATGCAGCAGGCTCCAGAATTCACACCACCTCCTTCTGACTAATCTTTTGGAGCATGCTGTACAATCAGTGCATTTTATTCCTCCTGAATCTTAAATTAATGTTATTACCTGGATTATTTAATAAAGTCAGTAACAACAGGTTCCCTGCAGCTCTTTTTATCAATGCAGTGCTCTAAGATATGCACAGAGCGATTTCCAGCTGACATAACCTCAGCAGAGATCCTTCTGGCGTGGCTTGGCAGGGCGGTGCGGGGGAGGCTGCCTTTAGTTCACAGGCAGAGACAAGAAATGCAGAGCTGTAAGTTATGGGGGATTTATCTGATTAATTGGAAGTGTCTAGCCACCAGCTGGCAGATGTAACACTGACAACAACCCAAGTAAAGCTACTTGTAAGGAATGATTAAATATCGAGGGATAATGCATTCTGATGGGCAGCGCTCTAGCATCGCACACAGAGTACTTTCCTGGACATTCAGGGGAGAACGCTTTTAGCCATGGGGGAGAGGAATGCTTTCAGCAGTGCCACCCTATTAGAACACTGTTACTTATGGACAGCAACTTCAATAATTCGGATCATCTTTCTTGAAATAGAGATCTTAGTAACGCTAACAAGCCAAAAGGACTCAGCTGATTTTAGAGGTTTTGACTGGAAAAATACTGGATATAATTCATGGAGGATATAATACTTGCAGGGTTAATGAATCAGGTTTATATTTATAATATAATTGTCAAGTTTTCTTTTTTTTGCTGCGCAGTCAGACCAAATGATCCCAACGTATTCGTATCTTTTGGCACATGAGCAGAGATAGCAGCCATATGTCACAGCCACTGATGTTTTTATAACAGAGCTGAGAAATCTGAATCTGAATGCTCTGAATGCTCTGAATGCAAAAGCTCATGGCCTTTTAGAGATAATCTGATTTGTACTAGCTGGTCAATAGAGTAAATGGACAGCAAAACAAGAACCTCCTCATAGACACTCAATTGTTTTTGTGGATGTTACAAGGACTTTAATTACAACAGAACTGCTGAGGAGATAATGAAGTCTGAATAACAAAGTTTAGACATTCTGATGCTATCTATAAACTTCAGTATGGAAAGTACAGATAAAAATGTTTCTTATTTCATCTGGAAAAGCTTATACAGAGATAATTGCAATGCAGCACGGAGAGTGGATTTTAGCATCAGCCACTACTGAAAGGATTTTTCACTAGCTGTGTTTTGCAGAGTACTGCATAGTTACGTTTGGTTTAGCCAGAGAAGTGCTATTTTCCATGCAGAGCTTTCAGGAAGGGCCTCAGAAAGATGCATTGCAATTCAGCTGTAATTAGATTTATTGCATGACCTTCTGTGGATCTCTCAGCTGCTGTTCGTAACACCAACTCCAAAAGGGAATCAGTGACGCTCCCTTAACCTGCCTCCCCCCAGAAGACTGAGCCTGAGTGATGCCTGCTTTGGCAAGCATCTGCCCTAAGTGGAAAGTGCAGGAATATATGCTAGGCTGGGATCATATAGTACCTCTCAATAATGCAGGACGTTGCCTCGTGGCTGATGGAAGAGGAGTAGGTTTGCCAGTCTCCATCGGGCAGCTCTCGCACTTGGACTGTAAAATATCGTATGGGTGACGATCCATCACTTCCAGGGACCCAATGCAACCGCAGGCTCCGCGATGACACGTCGGACTGGGGGGTGGTCAGCTGCTGGGGGGGGGCCGGGCGCTCTGCAATTGAACCACAGTGTGGTACTGCCTTGAGAGGCTATTCAAGCTAATATAAAATGTGACAGCATAATTGGATTTCCATAGTGGTAATGCCACAGGAGATTGAACTTTTGGATTCGTCCCGTGAAGTATAAAAGCCATCTCCACTCTTTTACCTTCTGCTGCAAAGATGAGCAGTAAAACTCATTCTTATTTCCCAGCGTAAAAGGTCATCACTGAACCTACACCCTTCTACCAGCAGATTTCAAACTCGCAAGGATCTTAACCTGGCAGGATGAGAAGAACTGTTAGGATCATCAGCCAAGCAAACCAGATAAGTCTTTAATGAAACCCAGGTGTGCTTCGAACTGCAACAGTTCTTTGGCAGAATTTGCCTGTAAACTGGTTCACTTTTTAACCCCTGCTTACTGCTGAGTACCAGGGGACCGTGTGCTGTGCGCCACGTGGCATTCTCTTCCACCAGCTGCTCCCTTGTCAGGGCATGAAGAGGAGAATGAAATGGGCTGGAACAGGCTGGTATGTGGCAGTGTTCAAGCACACAACTTATGGCCCATCACGAACTCCAGCACCAAATCTCTGGCAAGGATCAGGGACCATCAACAGCTCCTGCTGCTGCTCTTTCCAACCACACTTTGGGGATGAGGCAGAGATGGAGTTCAAGTACCTCCTCCGTGTGCTTACAGGCACCTTCTCTGCTTCCCTTCCCACTTACTGCCCTTGAAGCTGCAATGTCAAACCAGGCAGTGCCAATGCTGAAGGAGATCTCCCCAGAGCCATTAATAGCACACCTTTCAGACAAGGCAGGGAATGGTAATGCAGGTGTGAGCATGCCAGCCCCACTGCTTCCATATAGATCTCCTTTCCCGTCACTGTGTCTCTGCACTCCATTGATTTCAATAGAGAAACTCTATAGAGTGAGGAATAATTGTTTAATTGTTTATCATGAAGATTATTGATTCTGATTAAAATGTGTGGCATGTAATAAAGCAGAAATTGATTGGAGACACCACAGTGACTTGCTTTTGAGAAGCAATTCAATTCAACTTCATCAGCACTCGTTTCCATATAAGTGCACCCCTGACTGCATGATTCCTCCCAGCTCTGTATGGCGAGCACTTTGTTTTCCTGTCATCCTCCGGAACATTTCCTGTATGTTTTGGCATCTCTCTGCAGCATGATCTTGCTGACATCAGTGCCAAAAGATCTGTAAGCTATTAGCTGCAGGAATTCCTTGGTGCCAGCAGCCTGCGATTCAGAGCACAATGCAAAAGGTCAATGCCTTACAATGACAGGCTGAGACAGGTATTTGGGGTTATTTTATCAGAGGAAGTGAGTGTCATGTGGGGATTTAATACTGCTGATAAGCTTTAAGCAGTGTGCAGTTTTGGGCAGGTCAGATCTTGCCGTTGGTCTCTAGTGATTGGGTTTACTTCTGCTGCCAACGGGAGATCTTAAAATCTCCTGTGTTGCAAGATATACTTCCTGACTGTACGTACAAAGCCATTAGTGTGAAGAGTTTATTTATGGGAGTTTAGCCACGAGCAAATGCTCAGGTGAGCTGTTTGTGCAGGAATGTAAGGCTGGGCCATATGACTCAATGGATTCCTTTTAATTTCTTGCTACATTTACATCCCGTGGCTCTGTTCTGCCTGGATCCCTGGTGCTGACTGTTCTGAAGGATATTCTGTAGACCCAGAGCACTACAGAAGCATCTCTGGAGAATGCAGCTGCCATACAGCTCGGGATCTGTAAATCAGAGGTATCACTGTAAAATACAAAGATTTCTATTGGCAGTACACAGGGAATCAAAGGACGCGAATGAGGGACCGATTTTGGTGATTTTCAAGGGAATTTTTATGCCTGCTTATCTCAGTATCAAGGACGACAAGGACATTAAACGCATTTTTATTAACGGAAAGTAAACATCTTCTTGCTCCAGAATATTTATTGTTATGTATACAAGTTCCAGGCTTGTTTGTTTATTTACTTGTTACCAGAATAGTTGCACTGGATAAATTTCTTTATCAACCCAGAATACTAATAGTGTTGATATAAGATTATATATTTTTCTCTCTATACTTTACATACGGGATCACTACAGTTAACTCTCAATCCCTTGGGACTCGGATTCATAGCATGCACACAGACACAGTAGAACCATCCATCAAAAAGAGAAAGAGTTCACTTTATGTTAAGACTTGCCTATTCAAGATAACCCTAAAGCACTGATAGCAGCAAGGGATCATTGTTCCTGCAGTGGAGCTGGGAGTTCTGCCTTGAGCCACTGTATACTCAGCAACAGCCTGGGAAATCTGAGTACATCCTATTGAAAAGGAGAGGCTCTGAGCTTTGAGGGCTTACTTTTACTGGGTGCAGAGGTTTTTTTTTCCTGAAACTTGCACATATTGGACTTTAAACTTTCACTTTGACAACAATCAGACAAGGGTGGAAGAAACCTTGAGCTGATCAATCTGCTTGATAGACAGCATCTTCAGTAGAGGCACTTTTTGTGCTCCAGAGGTTCTTTCTCTGAGGACAGCACTGTTATGCATGGGAAAGCTGCACATGACCTGGAGAGCTGTGCTGGTGGGAATTTTAGCACCAATCACAAAGGACAAAAGTCGAAATGCACCCCACTGGTCTTCCCTGTTGGTGCTGAACATCAGGGCAATGCCTACAATATTGTAGGTAAGTATCAAGGGAGATGTGAGCTAATAGCAAGGGAGATCCGTGCTCTAGCACTGAATGATTTGGTAAAGTGTAGAAAAGATTCAAAATGAGAGACCACTTGGTAGTCACTTTTTAAGATCTAAAAGTAAATGTTATTTAAAGTATTACAGTGCATGTCTTGGGCAAGAGCCAGGACCGGACATACATGCATACCCCAAAAGTAGCTGAAGTAACTCTGTGGAGGTTTGTTCTGGCTGCCTGCTGAGGTGTGCTTCTCACTGAACTGTGCTTTTTATAAACCACAGAAGTTGTGTGGCAGTGATTTTTGAGGGTCAACTTATGAAGATGAATACGGAGGCAGCACCGTGGGTCAGAGAGGCACATGGCACAGAACGCAGTGATGCACAAGGGAGTGATGCTGGTATCACTGTTGTGGTAGCTTTGACTGTCAGCTCAAGAGTCCAGATACGCACTTTGCATTGGAACATGGCAGCTGGAAGTCTAAGGAAAGTCTAAACTCCTGTTTTTTGCTAACACACTCTCTTTTGGCTCCGAATGAGAAATTAGTGTTCATGCACAAATAGAAAATGAGTTTTTTTTCTGATAGCTCTGGAGATCCATTTTAAGAGTGGAGAACTGAGCCAGAGCATTAGAAACACACAATGATGCAGACCAGATACTTCAATAATTTGTATATGTCTTTTACATTTTGATGCTTTTGGTATCTAAGCATCTACACTCATTCAAGTACATACAAGCTCTTGCTTTCTTCAAGTAGGCTCCCTACGGAACAGAATTTGTTTGAGGATGCAGACAGTGAACAACAATTTTGTCCCTGATGCCAGAAGTAGAAAAATCCCAGACAATCCAAACACAAACATTCTGCTTGAGTATACAGCAATGAGTGGCCAGAGGAATTGCTAACACATTGGGTCAGGACTTAGGTGCAATAGAGGAGCCACGTTAAGAAACTCTGCAAGATCTCCAGCTCTCCTTTTGTGTTCCCTAATCAATGCAATTCATCCATCAGTTACATTCTTAAGATTGCAATCCTTCTAGAAAATGAGAGAGCTGAGGAAAAAAAAAAAAGCCAAAAAAAACCAGAGAAGCTTTGACTGCAGAAGGAGGCTGCATATGGCCAATACAGCATCTGATAGAAAAATCAATCCCCAACAGCCTGTCTGGTTAGAAGAACTGCCTCTCATAAAAGCCTGCCTTGCTCACCAGATTTCCAAAATCATGACGTTGCTATGGTTTAGGGCAGGGTTATGTTGTGAGAAGCAGGAGGTGTACAGGCTGCAGCCTGTAATTAAAATTCCTGTGAGCGCAGCACAGACTCAGAGGCATGCAATGGAAAGCACTCCAACCCGTGGCTGCAAGCGTTACCTCTTTTCTCTGTCGTGATCACCGTGGCTTCCAGAGGCTCTCCCCAGCCCTGCCGGGTCTTGGCAGATGTCCGGAAGATGTACGCTGACTCGGGGGTGAGGTCAGTAGCAGTGAACTGCCGGACTGTTGAGCCCACCTCCACCGTTGTGAACTTGTTGGGGCTGCTGCTGGCCAGCCGATATGCAATCTGATAGCCTGAAATCACGGCACCGACAGAAGAGAGTAGAGAGTTTAGGATTTTTTTTCTAGCTGTAGCACTAGGACTATTAGCTTATTGTAATTACTTGTTTAACTGAGACCAGAACTAAGTAATTTGCTTCCTTTAGTGCTATAAAACTCTGCTATATGCCAGCCCTTCGCAGTCAGGCGCAGCACCTTATGGGGAAATTACACACTGCAGTGCACACAAGGGTCTGCTGGATGTTAGCTGCAGCAAAACAGATCTCGCTTTCCATCCTTCATCCCAACAAGACACAAAAACATTTAATCTTTCCTGAGCATACTGGTACCTCTTTGGAAAGGCAAAGGTACAGAGTTCATTGCACGCAGCAATGTGATAGCATTGGTTCGAGCTCCAAGTTTCTCAGCTGCAGAGAAGTTGGATTGCCCCACCTGTGCAGCCCTCATGCTGCTCCAGTTAACCCTTAACCCTGCTTTTTCCACTTGCCTTTCTCTTAGTTCTCCTACTCCTCCATAACTGCATGGTGGATGCCAGGACTGACAATAAAAGCATCCTCCTGTTCTGCACTGTTGCAGTCCCTGTCTGCAGCCCAAGGAAGAAGCCTGCAAGCTGTGCGGTCTCACTTAAATCCTCCTGCACTCAATAATCAATGCTGTTGATGCCTGCAAATGATAGCCCCACTCCAACCTGCCTGCCTGATGATTATGAGCTTACGGTTTAACATACATTATTAATGATCTAACAGTGCAAAGGAAGACTTCCAGAGCTCTCACGCACCACTAGCAACAACTGTCCCCCAAAGAGGGTCTGCCAAATGTTCAAAGCCATTCTGTACACCCAGCAATCAAATCAGGCTCTCACTTTTGGAGCTCCACGTAACTTTCAGTCCAACTGCTAACTTCCAAAATCAATTAATACAGGACTGGTGTGGGGCTTTATTGCCCAAGCTGAATGCACTGTATGATTAAATGCTTCATGAAGCGACGCAGGGCAGAGGGCAACCAACACATCCAAATCAGAGCAGACGAAAACAAAACAGTCACGAGATGACGCTGCCAACTCTCTGCTCATCTTCCAAAAGACAAAGGGGCATGCAGACACCTAAGGATGTCTCTTTCTCTTGAAATTAATATCCCAGCTAACGTTTGAACTCCCACCAAATTCTGGCTGTAACGAGAACAAGAGCCAAACCTGGTGTGCTTCATTCATAAAGGTCACTGCATGGGAACTGGAGAATGTATCTTACCTGTGGCTATTACACAAAATCAGTGACATTTATTCTTCACTGGGAACGTGTGACAATTGCCACATAACTGCTCACAGAAAAGATACAGAGTTCAAATGCTCTCCCCAATGAATGCCATACTTGTATGGTACATAAGCAGTGAAATTTAATTGGGATACAGACAGTAATAATTTCAGTGTGCTGATTCTCAGGGTACTGTGGATGAAGCCCCATCACTTCTTTGCCTTTTTTTGTTTTCTACAGCTGCTAGGAGATGTGGGGCAGCAGCTGTAGCTGCCTCCATTGGTCAAACCTGATTGCGCAGCCACTTCTGGGAGCGACCTGGCTCTCAGAGCACCAGGGTTCCAGCAAGCTATGGGTACAGCTGGACACAGGGCTGCTTCATGGCAGTACCCCAGTACACAGTGGCTGCCCATATTTGAGATCGCACGTTAGGAAGGGAAAGCTTCCAACACAGCAGGGTTAATTTTTGCCAAGGGTATCCAGCTGTGCACTGGGCATATCCCTACAGCATTTCCATGGGTGCATAATGATGCATTCCTAAAAAAAACCCTGATTTTCAGAGCTCCTGAAGCATGCTAAGCTGGCAACACAACCTTGGGGTCTTAGCCTTTGAACTAATCTTACTTGTTCTCCTGCCAATGACCTCCTCTTACTCATTGCACCAACTTTCTCATTGCTGGCCCCATATGCCTCACTGCAGTACTGCTGTACCTTTAATACTCTATGTATTTTGATCTTCTCAGAAAGTCCACAGAATGACAGACAGCAGTGGGGAGAATAAATGGATACATTATGATCTTTTTTTTTTTTTTAAACAGATGTGTGGAATGCAGGAGTGAGAACCCTGGTGCAAGATCTCAATAAAGAGGAAAAAATAGTAAAAGAAAAGCTCTGAGGCAATTTCTACAGCAGCAGGGAAGATGAAGGGAGAAGCAACTAAGATGGCTAAAGAAGTTTGATAAAGGGACATAAGACGTAAGGAGTAAGACCTGCAGGGAAACCGAGAGCATTAAAAGAATAGGAAACTTGATTTATCTAGTTATTAAAAGATAAGTATGATATCTGGGACATATCATTGTCAAATGATTTTCTCTCTTTTCTAAACTATTGTAAAATATAAAGTGTAGCTAAAATGTAAGGAGGGAATAGAAAGATAACTATTTACTGCTAAATGGTGGCATCCACGCTGGAAAGCCAATTACAAACATGCATTGGAACAGGCAAGGAAACACACACTCATCTTTGCTTCTGTAACAACCTACAGCTGTGGATTCCATGACCGAAACCTGCAGCTTTGTGATGTTTTCTCCCATTGACCTGACTTGAAGGTGCGTGTCCAACCTGTGCATCTGAGCTCTCGTTGCTGCCCACAAACCCTGAGACGCACTCTGTGTCTGAGTGTGATCCTCTACATCACCTTCCACTGTTAGACAATTGGGCAGTCAAGAGACATTCTGCCATAAGCATCGTTGCTCTTTTTTTCAGAGTGATGCAGAAGATGCAGTATTTAAGCGACAGTTTGGATAATAACTTGGGCTAACACAAGATGAAAAAGTTGAAATTATGAAGTTGATGATCTTCGGCAACAAGAGAGAGGAGAAGATAGGAAATGTTGGGTAAAATCAAATGAGGCGTATCAACAGAGATAGATGGAAAGAGTTCAAATGAATGTATGCTTGAGGTCTGCTGCATGGATGAAGCTTTCTTCCCCTACTTGATGACAGCAACACGATGTCACATATGCATTAGGTGAAAACAATATCAAAGGTTACGGACAAAAGCAAAATCTTTAAAAAGTGATCAGAGCAAACTTTTCCAGGGTAGGAGTATCTTACAGAAAGTTCACCAGCTGGATGCTCAGTCAGAAGAATGCACATTCTTCTCTTCATTTTTCTTTTTTCCCTACAAGCATTGGGTGTCCCAAATCTCTTGTCGTTCGGAGTTGTGAATCACCAGCCAAACTGCATAAAAAAGCCTTGAAAGATCATTTCCCCGGCGGTTTATTTATTCATTGAAACAAGGCTTATTTTTGCATTAGCGTCTCCTTAAATATTTTTTTGCACAACTGCGAGCGGTTTCATGAGCTACGCTTTCTGAACTCAATAAATGGCAACAGTCTGAACTGCCTGTTAAACGTTAGGTCACTAACGCAGCCACCAGATTCCCCAAAGCAAACAGGCAGGAAGATGACAACACCCCATGAATATAGAAGAGCTTTCAAGCTCATCACCATACAAAGCCCTTCAGAACTGACAGCACCCGCTCATGCAGGCCGCGGTGCAGCAGAGATACAAACACTTATTAATTTGTCACAGAACTTAGGAAGAGCCAAATGATACTGGGAGGTTACGGTCTGCCTAGCGGAGCAGCAATCCAGTTTGTTGATTTTACTGCTTATCTGTTTAAGGGCCAGCGAGTGTGCAAATGCAGCCCAGGATCAAAATATGCATTTGCAAACATGGATTACATCCAATTTCGGTTCTAATTCTCAGTGGAGTTCCTACACTCTTTCGCTGTAAGCTTCAGGTAAACGCTAAACGCAAGGATACCGTGAGGAATACTAACCAGCAAGCGTGGCTCAGCTCTTGGTACAGGCAAAGCTCACTGACAGAGCTGCATATACACACATTAATGCATCGTTTTCCTTCAACAGTGTTTGAAGGAGCTAAGCTGGGTGCTGCTGAATGGAGTGCCAAAAAGAAGATGGAGTTAAGCCTCAAGTTGGTTACTGCAACGCTCCCAAAAGGAGAAGTGGAGATATCTAGCAGTCCTCCACAGTAAAATATTTAAACAAACAAACAAGCAGTTTTCCCTCTTGGTGTGCCAGTATTTCATCCTGTTAATCTTCCTCTGAAATGCTAGAACATATTTTGATGTAGATTACAAAAATGTTAGCTGCAAAGGTGCTTGCTTGTATACTCAGAGGACAAAGCCAGCAGAGCAGGAACATTAATTCAGAGGCTGGGAAAAGAAGTTGCTCTTGCAGAAAAAAAGTATTTTTTTCTTTGCAGCCCCAGTGGTGAATAACAGAGCAGCCTGCAAAGTTATGTTAACTTGGTTTTTCCACTGATTCTACTTCACTGACCTTGGCTGTGGTGGTTACAATGCTGATTCAAAAGTTCATTGCAGCAATAAGATTTGAACATTGCACAAGAATGAAGGTAAACATGCAACCTTTAGTTACAACGCCATGCTGGTTTTTTAGCTATTTATGAAGAACTCCTCACTTCCTCGAAAAGATCACAGAAATAACTCAGCGTGAGTAATTTTTCCTGTTTCTCTCTGACATTGGCAGTTAACTGCTTCCTCCATGAGCCTCAATTTTTCTGCTATCAAACAAAAAAGAGGAGGGAGAGCTGTTGAATAAAGACAATGAACCTCAAAGAGGTGGACTGGGGCAATTGGTAGGTAGAGCCCCCTGGGAAGGAATTCTATGGGAAAGAGGAATTCAGGTTAGCAGACTGTTCTAAAAGAGACAAAAATAAAGGTACAATGATCCCGATGCAGACAAAAGATGTTAAGAGCCCAATATGTTTGCATTCAGACCTCACTAACGCCTTCAAATTCAAAACTGAATTGTACTAAATGTTGAAACAGGATGGGTTGTTGAGGGGGTGTATAAATAGACAGCACTGGCACGTAGGGACAAAGTCAGAATAGCTACAGTGCAGGTGAGTTCGAACATAAAGGGGAAAGGCAACGAGAAAGGTTTTGGAAAGATATTCAAAACACAAGAGAGGGAAGGAGAGGTCAACTATTAGGAATAAAAGATGAGCTCAAGACAAGTGACACAGAAGAGCACAAGGCTGACACCTCGGTTGCTTCACACAAAAAAGTTGATTATTAACTAGATACTTAACACAAATTAAAAGTGACAACAATAGAAGGAGGGATGTAGGCTAGAATACAGAACAGGTTAACGAATATTTAGCTAAGCTAGATGTAATCAAGCCAGAAAGGCCTGATGAAATTTGCCCTGCAGTGCTATATAACTAGCAGGAGCCATCTCTAAATAATCAGTGATTATACTCAAGAACTTGTTGAGGATAGGTGACATCCCAGAATATTACCGAAGGGCAAACTGAATGCTTTATCTCATAAAATGGAGGAAGAAAGACCAAAGGAATTATGGACAAATCAAGCCAAAGTTTAATACCCAGAAAGACCCTGGAAAAAATATGAGCAAATATATAACCATCCACAGGGATAATAAATTGCCAGAGAACAGCTAATATGTATTTGTCTGGAACAAATAATAAATACCAAATAATCTGTTTTCTGCTTTGACAGTGTAATTGGCCAGGTGGGAAGAGTAGATATGATCCACATTGACTTTAAGTAAGGCTTTAATATGGTTCCAAGCAGCCCTGTCAGAAACAAGCTAGAGAGACAGAACCTAAGAAAAATATGGCACATTCTGCTGTGATCTCTTAAAAGAAAAAGTCAAAATGTTGTTAGCAATAGTTGGCTGAGAAATGGGTAGGATATATTAAGAAAGGTCTCATGAGAATAAGTCCCGAGTCTGTTTCTGTTCAATACTTCCATTAATGACCCGGTTGATGGAATTGCCATTCTGCTTGCAAACTTCAAAACTAAAACCAAACTGGGAGCGGTTCTGAGCCCTTTGGAGGACAAGACGGTAATTTAAAGTGATTCTGATAATGAGGAAAGTTGGTCTGGAATCAGAAAGCTGAAATTCAATAAAAATACATGCAGAGCATTGCACTTACAGAAAATAAAAAGCTTAATGTACGTGTAAAGAAGGATTGACCTGGAATTGTACTGCAGAAAAAAGGCAGGAATTAATAGCAGGTCATAAACTTACTTAGTTACAACAGCAGCGTTGCAAAAAAAGGCAAGGCAGTGCCAGGCACCCTGGGATGTGTGACTGGGAATGGACTGTGCATGTCACAGGAGCCTGCAGTCTCCATGCTGAGCATTCTTTAAGGGAATACCCTTCCACCTTTCCTCCCAGCTCTGCATTTGTGTGATTTTGTTATCAGCACTGTGGCATTGACCACGAATTGAACAAGAAGTGGATGAATTGAACAAGGCACTGTGGGAAGCCCAAATAGAAGAGTTCTTATTCCACAGAACTTGAAACTTCAGCAAAAGATGCTGACCAAGTGCAGCAAGGTGAGACATCGAAACAGTGAGGGGCACCTAAATATCTTTAGTACTTTCTCATCGTATGTACCAAATTATTTTTTTCCTCCTTAACCACATCCTGTGATTCAAATCCCAACCTCTACAGAGAGCGAGTTTATAAGACAACAGTTCCTTAAAACAAAAGCAACAAATCAAACCAACAAGGCAGCCTGGAAGCCAAGCTTCCTCAAGCGCCTTTGGATCTCATCTGATGCTTTCTCTGTGTCTCCAGGTGCCAAGATTAATCCACAAGAACTTTCAGAAACTGCACACCTCAGCAAAAACTCTGAGCTCTTGACTCAAGAGCTACACACAGCACCAGACCAGTCCTTTATCTAAAGGGATATTTATAGGGATAACCCTCACTCACCTGCTTGGACTACCACAAAATGTGCTCCACATTAGCACAGAACACAGGCAGAATCACTGTGTAAATATTAGATACATTAACTCAAGATGCATGAATGGATTCTTGCACTGTAAAAACCTTCAATGCTTTAGAAGTACAAGGAGCTGCTGGTGTGCTCTGGGTGCAACAGCAACCCAAGAGTTATCAGAGCAGGTTTGTCATGAATTACTGGCATGCCTTGCTGCCCCTGTTGCCTATGATAAAAAGCCAAATGTGATTTAACACCTTGCAACCTGGCAGACAGTATTGGCTGGTGGAAGCAGCAAAATGGAAACACTCATGAAACTGAGAAGTCAGGGATGCGTGGCAAGGAGGAGGAAAGGAAAGGAGGAGAAAATCCCACTCTGCCCTGCTGCAGCTCAACAGGTTATATGTACACATATAGATGGACAGATGAAAATTCAAGCACAGCATCAGGAATGCAGTGTAATCCTGACTTGGGAAAACACACAGCGCGGAGCCTGGCAGAACTTCCCTTCTCACTGCAGGACTTATTTTCCTCTCTTTAGCCACAGATTTGCTGAAGCGTTGTTTCTAACCCAACGTGCAAGCAGAATGAAAACCCAACAGCCGCAGCTCCTCTGCTCCCAACCCTCTCCTCCCAGCTCCTTACCCAGGATGATGCCGTTGGGCTCCTCTGGTGGCTGCCAGACGATGCGCACAGATGTCAGCCTCACTTCGGGGAACACCAGCCTGACGGGTGGCCCGGGGGCTGTAAGGGGACAGAGGTAGTGCCAGCAGGCACAAAGTGTCAGAGAGGTTACAAGTTTCCCAATCGCTTTGCACAGAAGGCAGCCAAGCTGTAGCTCACCAACAACAAATAGATGGTTAGGAGCACCCATATGCATGCAAAACGCATGGATTCTGAGGAATTCCGTCCACAGGTGTTGGAATTGAATAATATCTCCTCTCTGTGGCCCCATTGCTGGCCTTGAACTGCCTTCTGATTTTACATGTGCATTCTAAACACAGAGGGCTGAGGCAGCGAACCCAATGCACGCTGATGCAGACAGCTGGCAGCTGCAATGGCCATCCTGGGTTTGTGAGGTGAGGAGATGTTAATTCACACATTTGCATCTCCAAAATTTCCCCTTCGGCACAAATTCCACCTGCCTCACCCCTGATGATACATTTAATTAAGCGGAGCCCAGAGGAGACACAACATATTTATGTCAGGAGTACGGAGAAGGAAGAACAATTTGTATCATTTGCCAACAGGCACTTAAGGAGGGAACTGCTATAATGGGGTTATCTAAAACAAACAGTTTTAAATATTTCACATTATAGTCTGATGTGTACAGTTCTGTGACTGCTCTTTCATTCCCTGCAGAGTTCTGCTAATATTAACTTCTCTTTGTTTCCTTTCAAAGTCACCACACAGGCTGAATGCTGAGAAAATGGCTACAAAAATGCCTGGGAGCGACTGTTCCTGCTCTGTCCCATCCCTGTCCCCACAAAATCCCACCCCTATTGCCACTCCATCCCATCCCTGTCCTTATACGCTGCAGTAAATGCCACATTAAGCCAGGAGTCTGAATGTGTTTGCAACTCAACCAAACAGTTTTAATGAAATTCCTTGTAGATACCAATTTTTATTCAGTTTCCACTGGGAACATTTTGATGAGAAAAGATTTCTTTTTGTTTTTTTCTATTTTTCATTCATTGAGACTAACAAGCAGAAGCCTCTTACACAGACATTATCCATCATTTAATAGTGAAAAGGCAATGAAACTAAAAGCAACTGCAAAGCCAGAAATGCTTCAAGAGTTGAATTAAATTTCTGTCAAATTCCATCGGCAGGAACACTCTCACCCCACAGATGTGTTCAAACAGAACTGGGGTGAGGAAAGGGCTGCTCAGGGTCTCTCATCAAAACAAACTGCACTCCAGAGACCCTGAGCTCATGGGAATCACTGGAGGAGGCTACAGAGAGGGGCTGCTATGAACCCTTCATGGCTCAGTCCTTATTCTTTTGGAAAATGAGAATGGATTGTTGAAGCTGCAATTTCCACATCTCTCCTTCAGTCCAAGCAGACTCAGGTTTGTTTATTGCTTCCAATTGCAGTGCGTTTTGCTTAGAGCATGATTGAACATCAATTGGCATTTATAATTGGGCTCTAAAAATTGTCTACGGTAGAAATTTTCTACATGGAGCTTCAGAGGACAAATCATTTTAGATTTTTTCCTCTCCACCAACTGAGGGGAAGGAGGAAATGGGCAACTGGTTTTCTGCCAAATTCTCATCCCATGGCCGATGGAGCAGTGCTGTTATGCAGAGTAAGGATCAATTCCTTTAAGCTCAGAGTCAAAAAACAATCCAAACAACCTCAGTTTGGCCTTTCTATACACTTGCATCACTACAAAAAAGTGGTGTTATCATCAGGACTAAGTAAGGCCCTTATTCTGGTAACCCAAACACTTACCATCATCCTTGGTTCTTTCTATAACAGCAGGAGAGCTGGGGACTCCATCCCCAATGCGAGTGAACGCCAACACCCGGATCTCATAGAGCACATACTTGCGCAAGCTGGATAGCAGGCAGGACTGCGTGTGGTTACCTCTTACTGTTTGGCTCCTTGGTTCAGAGTCTAAATCTTTTGCTTTGTAAAGTATCTGCAGAATAATGCGGAATAAATGCATATGAATACAGAAAGAAAAAGTTATTACATGAGAATTGAAAAAGGGGCATGCATTTAAAATGTTCCTTTTCACGAGATATGGGATTAAATTCAGCAGTCTACCCTTCCGAAACCAGCACGTTTCTGATATCTCATCCTGTTGAGTTATGGATGATATTAACATCCCTCAGGTGAGCAATAAATAATAAATAGAAAAATGTAGCCAGGTAGTGCTTTAATAACAAAGTGAACATGAAGCTCCAGCTGCGTACCTTGTAACCCAGGATGAGACCATTTTGCTCTGACTCGGGGACTGCAGACCACGTCAGAAGGATTTGGGTTGAGCTCACGGCTTCAGCAGACACGTTCTCAGGAGGAGCAGAGGGAACTGGAATCAGAGACAAAAGAGGTAAGGCTTTCCAGGTGATGCTGTTCTACCTCCCTGTCTGCTTGAGATTGTTTTGGGATCCTTTGGAAGACTACCTTAATACCAAAGCACTCAGATACACTCTAGACAATGCCTTCTTCTCTCGTATTCATTATACACCACCTTTACATTTCAGCTTACTTCACATTCTTTTACCAGTTCATGTAAGAAACACAATATTTGTAAAGAGCTTAACATTCACCACTAAGCACTGTCTACAGGCAGGCACTAAATACAGGCAGACATGAATAAACTTCAGGTTCTTTATGTTTGCAGTAATTAGAGTTTAGACTGCTGGACTTCCACAAAGTCTGTCTCCCAGGTTTTTCTCTCCCATACATCTTATTTCCCTATGCCAAAAGTGAGAAATCTTTATGAATGGGAGTTTATCTTATAGTATGATCTGTTCTAGCATGAAGTTTTATGCCACCCTGGCTTCCTATGTTGCTCAAAAGGAAATTATAGCATCTTGTCTAGAGTTAGCAATAATTCCAGCCACTGGATTGCACCCAGACCTCCCAGTTCAGTGAGAAGTGTTTTAACCTCAAAGCCTTTTGATTATGTGATGGTGCTTAACATTTGCAATACATCAATTATAGACAGATACATTAAGGCAAGGTGTATTTTCAGGGACTGATATGGTGTAAATGAAAGATATGCCTATTTCATTTATGCTGTAAAATTGGCTCTTATGAAACCAAGATCATTATTAGAATGGATGGCACAGGAACACTGTAATTTTCTGTTACTCGACAGAGGAGCAAACCTGCATTTTCTCATGCCATTAAAACTCAACCTAATGCAGAACCACCAGGCAATTGCAAGCTTTGGTGGGCAAGCTCAGTAGCTATGCAATGTTATGCAAGCAGAACCAGAGACTATTTTTAAGAGTTCACATTTTATGCTGCCCTTTTCCATTTTTTTTTTTCCCTCATGGCATTTCCAACATCTGAAGTGTATAATCTCTCCTAAAGCGTGATACACCTGTCAGACCTTGAGAGAACATTCACCAAGTTATGTTACATGAGTACTCATGGACAGCAAGGCTTGATTAGGTCTTGAGTACATCGCAAAGCGGAGCACAAATCTCTGCCAAAAAGTAATGCTTCCCTGGCTGTCCGAATGAAAGAACAGATCAGCTGGTTTAAAGGCTAGCCTGAATCTCCTAGCAACATGAACAAGATAATGAGTATGACACCAGAATTAATATAAATGGAAAAATAAAATACACCAGCCCCCACCCCTGTGCACTCAAGGTTAGCCACAGAGATAGTCATTTCTGAAACAATTTCCCTGTTACCAATTATTTGGGACACGAGAAGCAGGGCACCATCACATGCCATTGCAGCAGACTGAAATCCGATTTTTTTTCCCCTCTAATGCTGAAATGCTCTTTTTTTTTTTTTTTTTTTTTTTTTTAAATCTTCTAGATTTATCCCCCACAAGGATATAATTATGTTAAAGGAAAATAGATTGCCAGGAGCCATGAATGTCTTTGGATAGCTGCCACAACTTTATCTGTAGATCTTCACAAAGAGTTACTCCCACATGAATCACTTCTGGAGGGAGAAAGGGTGGAGGTGGGTCGCGGGAAACCAGAACACAAAGAGGAAAGAAGCCCTTTCCAGCCACATTTATTTTTATTTTATCTGGTTTGAACCCTTTCAGGAGCAAAAGTTCCTTTATTTTACAAATATTTCTTTTCCCCTTTGATCAGCAGCCACCAGATATCCCAAATTCACAAAGGGTCGGGCTGCGGCCGGCTGGCCCTGTGTGCATGGCTGCTTTGAGGTGTTTGTGCCATCCTGCTGCTGGCAGGGGGATGCTGAAGCTCACAAAGGACAGAATGGCAGATGGGAAGGTTTATTAGCCCACACTCTTCTTAATCCCCAGCAACGGCCAGAACAATGTCCCCTCTCGCTGGGGAGGAATCTCAGCCCAGCACCTGAATGCAGACACCCTTGTACTCATCGTGTATTTCATTCTACATTAATTTTCCAGTGCTTCTGTCATACTGGTGTTGAGAATTACGTTTTAATATGGATGTATGAATTCAGGGTGTGCAACTGATATTACAGATTTTATTGTTGCCCGTCTCTTATCAGGCAACACAGTTTGATCAGCCCTTTAAAGAATGAATTGAAATGTAACATCCATTTATCCAACCCCTCTCCTCACTCAGGATATCCAGCTTCATAGTAATTATGGTATGCTATGACCGATCAGTGACTTGAGTGAAGCGTATAATCCCTCTTTCCCCTGCAAACTCTGATGCTGTTTCCTTAACTGTCGCACTGTAGACTTTGCTGGAAGCTCCAAAGCAGAGTTCTCATTAGTAACCTCCAAGAACAGAGCAGAAGCCAAGCAACAGTGTCCAAAAAAAAAATATCTCAGAGCTTGAAAGAAATGAACTGGAAAGACCAAAACGAAATGATTAGCTAATCCAGCAAAGTGCCAGCTGCACGATGTGCTTTAGAAGATCAAATATAGGAAGTTATAGAGTTACTGGTACTTTGCACTGGGACTTCAATAACAACTCAAGTTTTTTAGTTATCTGTGTTGACATCTAAGATCACGCATCCTCTTTCTACATCTGATAAAACTGTATTTAATATACAGCAAATGATGCTGTTGCATGTCTTTAAGTGGACCCAAGGCAGCCTTCAATAAGCTAGTTTGTATTCTGGCATGCTAAAAAAGCTAGATATTGTGATGACATGGTTCTCTCCATTTTTTTGCAGCTCATTTTAGCTGAATACCCTTAATTGTTTTCTGAAAGTAAAAAGTAAGCTGGCATATGGTACATCTGACATCAATTAAGAAGTACAAGTTTGGAGCTAGGTTCATGGCAAAAGCAACATAGCTGCAGCACAGCATGGAAGCATTCTGCCTATAAAATTAGATATCAGGGGCTCACTCTCAGCTTGTACAAACTGACAAATCTCTGCAGTGACATTGGGCCACATCTGAATTACCCAACCATGCTTTACCACATGGTATCTTGCTTCGTGAAGGTCAGGCTCTGACAAATCAAGGGACTGATTCTTGCCATGTGCGTGAGCCCGCGGTCATGTAGGAGCTCATTTTGTGAGGCAAGCACACACAGTCATGTAACTGAATGCCTGAAGATATCAAGGCACTGAGTGAGGTGTGTTTGGGATGAACTGTTTGAAAATAAGAGGCTTTATGTTTAAAACAAATCAGCCCCATCAAAGTTTCTCTACACACTACAATTCTTCACACTTTCTTGCTTTCTCTTTATCATGCCCACTATCATTTACAGTGTACAGAGTGGAAACTGAGCTTGTTACTCTGCAGTTAACACCATAATGTTTAGGAGACCTTAAGTACTTTGAAAGCATGCATGCAATTTCTCTCATAATTCAAAAGCCAGTTCTAAAAAGTGCTTTGACCTCTTTCTTTGGGTATGGGTAACTTTTATCCATATTTTAACTCCATTTGGAGGTGCTTACAGGTTAAGTGCAGATTCCCTCTCACGCAGCTTGCTGCTATGCCAGCGCTTTTTGTGTACTGCAAACCTAAAAAATGCAACTAGAAGTCTGAGCCTTGGCTTGCTCTATTCAAGAAATCAGATGTTAGTATCAAAGAAAGTACATGAAAAAAAAAGCACACACAAATGAGTCCTTACGGCCCAGATCACAGCTTTGTATTATCCTGATCCTGGTTTCAGCGTGCCTCGTATAATCAGTTTCAAGTCAACCCTCTTTTAATACTGCAAGAGGAAATGCCAAACACACACGTGTCACCTCTGATCTTTAGATGCTGAGCAAGAGCACTGTAATCCTAAGGTTTTATGAAATTGCTTAATCTTAGTATTTACTTCCTTTCAAAAGAAGTGCTTGAAGAGCAGTGGAAAGGAGAAAATAGAGAACGTGGTATCTTTTTATTATGACACAAAACACTTCAAAACTATTTTGTCTAGGTCACGCTATCTCTAACTCCAGTACAAACATGCCCTGTTTAAAATACCTCTGGCAATAGCTTTCCAATTACTCCTTCCCAAAAAGCATCACTTTAATGGAGTAGGATGACTTTGTCTAGCCTTCTTCTCAGCAGTTCAAAGGACAGTTACGTGTGGCAGCAGAGCAAATTGTGCACTCTGCACAGCTCTCACGCTTCATGCCAAATGATGCTGCGTGGTGCAGAGTGCGCACGCATGCTCGTATGTATCTATCAAGGTGGGGGCATGGATATAATTGAATTCCAAAACATTTTCATGAAGAAAAATGGAAAAAAAAATAGTAAGAAAAATATCAGCATTGGGCTTTGCATAAATACAAGTCACAATAGTACTTAACTTTTAAACCACGTGTGACACCTATTCTTTTATTCATCTGCAACATAAATTTTAATTTCTCAGGTGCATGCAGGTTTGGGAATAGGTGATGTGGAAGTTAACAACCAGGGAGCAGCTTTTCAAGATCTGTTTCTACCGTTGCTGCCGTGCTAACAATAATTTACTGCTGCCCAAAGTTGTGATTTTGCTGACACTGTCTGAAGTCTCTATGATAGTATGGATGAATCAGACAACGCAGTACCTGTGCTCTATGTCTACGTGAAGGTTACGTCTACATAAAGGTTATGTCTACATGAAGGTTATGTCTATATAACCTTCTGTACACAGTTTTAGAAGGTAGTTTTGAAAATGTGTCATCAAAAGCTCAAATAATTATCTCACTTCCATGTGGCTCATTATCCCTCTAAAATAATTTGTGCCCTTTTAGAAATATGTAGTGCTTGAAATTAAATTTCAGATAACCATGACTGCCAGAAAACCTGCCTCAGGCCAGGAGTGGATGGGGGAAGGGGAGAATGAGGGGCAACGAAGCTGTTAAGGAGGAAGAAGAGGCAGAGAAGGATGGACATGAGCTCCTTGTGCTGCCTGTGATGCTGCCAAACTGTGGCAGGAGCAGGAAGAGGTTGTTTTATTTGCTTTAAATAAACAAGGTTTAAACAAACCTTTCATGCAGGTTTATAGGTTTATGTATGAGAACATGAGAGGAGTAAAATTCTTAAATATATAAATAAGCTCCCTCAAACGTCTCCATATCTTTTCGCCTTCAGTGCACCCAGAAATCATTTGTTTTCTTTATGCTTTTGATTTAATGGGTCAACAAGAAAAAAAGCTGAACCAAAAAAGGCATCACATGCTGCAAATTCTCTGATTTGTCCTTCTCAGCCGACGTGGGGCTCTGACTCACCGGATTCCCGCGTCCGACCTCGCACCACTTCGCTCCATGGTCCTGCCCCAATGGCGTTGAAGGCCTGGATCTGCAGCTCGTACTCCGTCCACTCCTCCAGGTCCTCGATGGTGCACTCCCTTTCCAGCCGGTCGTTGATGACCTTCAGCAGGGCAGAAGGCTGCAGATCCACGCGCCAGAACTTGATGCGGTACCCCACGGACTCTGGGTTGCCATTGTACTGCGTGTCGGGCAGGGGCTGCGGGAGAAATCCAAAGAAAAGCCCAATATTACAGCTCAGAGCACAGTGCCAGAGCTTTGCAAATGGCATACCAGGGCGGTCTGAATTCGTGTAAGGCCACAAGATGGCAAAAGAGATGGAAGGGCTGATTTACGTTTCATGGCCTCTAATTTCTGTGTTGTTTGAGATTTCAATTTTAACTTTAATTTCGTGCCACATTGATACGCAGACAGAACTACGCCACTTGCTGTGGGTGCATCACCAGAGATGAAACCAATGCAATATATTCAGGACTTTGTGATTAAATATGGAAATGAATGATAAATTGCTGAAGCATGTGACAAATTCATTTATCGTACTTTTTTTAAAATATATTTTTTTTTACTGACTCTCTCCATGCTCATTTATCAGCAGAGATTTATTCCAGTATTCCAACTCCCCAAGCAATTTCAGAGATTAAAATATGAAATAATTAGCCTACTTCATGAAGTTTCAAGTTTTTCCTCATAAAACTAACTGCACGATGCTACAGATGGCTGAGATTCAGTTCTGACTCACTGGCAAAGTTTGATATCCATTAACATTTCACAGCGCAGAAGACTATACCCTGCAGGCAAGCAGGGCTAAAAATGTGACCCCTGTTCTGTTGGAAGGAAGGAATTCCCAGCTCCCAGAGGGACACAGATTCACCTGTAGGTCTCTAGAAAGAGAGATTAAATGCTTTCAAATGCTGATGTTATCAAGCATGAAAAAGGTACACTGCGGCATTTTTAGCTGCGCTGTTGGCTCCTCCTGAACCCTGCACAGTTGGACTCATGAAAACCAGGCTTCCTAGATAGTACAGCAAGGAAACACAAGTCTAAAAGTTTTTGAAAACAACTTGGAGTTGATTTTGATGTAAGATATGTGGCCACTAAAGGTCTAAAAATGAGGGCATGGTGAAGCCACGAATGGGTCCTACTAGATAAGTGTCAAAGCTCTCCTATAGACACCGCTGTTCATTTGGTGGGATCCTGAGACATTTCATGAGTGTCTACAGGTAAGATCTGTCAGTCTTTCAGGGTTCAGAACTCAGTCCTGTTCTTCAATAGCAAACTGGAATTATTCCCCACTGATGGGAGCAATTCCATCTTGTCTCGATACCCAGATTTTGTCTCCCAGCAGTAAGTTTATGCTTGGAAATTTGAGTTTATGCATGGAAAAGCTAACGTGTGGGCAAAAGAAAACCTTTGCTTCAACAGCTTCACACCACAGTAACCCCCAGAAAATCCTACCCAGGGAGAAATAAAACCATTCTGGAGCAAACTGATTGCCAAACAAGTCCCGGTGTGTGGTAAGTGAGACAGTCAAAGGGACGCAACGGTGTCACCAACCACTGCATCTTTGCAATTAATTCTTTATTTCTAGATTTTATCACATAACCCCACAGACTTTCCCACATCTATCTTCCTACAGGAGTGTAATGTGCAAACTTTGCCATCTTTGAACCACTCAGTACCTGCAGAATGGCTGTCAATGGCCCCTGTGTACCTCCTGGGGACAGTTTAAGTCAGCACAAACAACTGAGCCCCAGGAAACTGCAAATTGGCTCCAGCATTATATTTCTGTCCCACACATTGACCCAGACGGTGGAACTGGAGTCTCAGAAGCCAAGGTTTTACACACAGGCATATATTCCCCTGATGAAGTGGCAGAGGCAGTGGCAGTAGGCAATTTAAGTGATTAATAAGGCACTTAAGGTAAGTCTCAGATTTCCGACTATTCTGAAAAAAGGAAATAATTTTGCCGTCAGCCTCATACTGAATGTGAGGGAAAAGCATTCCCAAGCTGCAGGCAGCTCCTAGGGACCGAGCTGCACCCCAGCTACCAGCAGCCCACCCCTGCACCCATCCATCCCCATCTCACCACCCAGCGCATCCGCAGGCTGCTCTCGCTGGCCGTGCGCACGCTCACGCTGCTGGGGGCCACGTCTGGAGGAGCTTGCAGGGTCTGGATGACACGTGAGGGCTGGCTCAGTGGGCTGGCACCCACCACGTTCACCTGCCGCATCCGGAACCTGAGGTGGAAGGGAGAGGCAGAGTGTGGGATCAACCCGTGAGCCCCCTGGAGTGGGAGGGGTGGGGAGGTACAGGGCGGGTAGAACTCAACAGCCTACAAAGGTGATTGTGTGCAGGTTCCTTTTGTATTCACGGCTGAATGGCTTGTGGTAACTGTGCTCAGATCCTCTCAGGTATTAGAAAAAATGAAAATGAAAATGAGATTAGCTTAGGGTCGATTAGAAACTTAGGTATTTGTGTGAGAAATTTATGTTAATTATGCCAAGTCTGATGAGCTTATGCTGGCAGTAAGTGATTTTCTTTTGCAGTGTTTATACAATACATCCAGAAAGGTATTAAAATATCAAACTTCAGATATTCTCATTCCCTGTCAATATAAAAAATATACCAGTGATAACATTTCCCCTCAATTACTGGTTGAAAGAAGCTGATTTATCCTCGTGCTGCGTTTTCAGCCTTCCTGCACAAGAAAGATTAAGTTATTTAATATGGATATGGCTCTTTAAAAAATAACCTGTCTGCTTGAAACCATCTCTTCCACAATAGAAATCCCCACTGGGTCACAGAAGACTCAGAGAAATCTTTTTGCAGGAAGCACCAAATAATTAAGACGTGCAGTTCATTTCAGATGCTCTCACCCTTCGTGGGCACAAGTACAGCCATTAGGGGTACCCAGCACATGACCTGCTCACATGAAGCACTGCATTTTTGGAGCTAATGGCTGAGTTTGGGATTAGAGGGAGCTAGTCAACACGGCTCTGTTTGTTTGTCTAATCTGATCAACCCTAGAAAAGGCACTACAGGAAACACATTGAACAAATGCACTGAACAAATATTGTCCCTGATTCTACTTCCAAACCATTGGCACAAAACGTAGAAAAGAAGCTGGCCAATAAAGATGGGTTCTCATAATTAGTTCTCATTATTTATTTCCTTGACGTGTAATGATTAAAGCTGATTATAGAACAATAAATACATTTGGCACTAACCTTCTGGATTTCCAAAAAGAAAATAAAATTGTTCTATGTAAACGAAACTCAAAAGCTCATCCCTGTGTTGGTGCATGCCTGAGAGGAAACAGCCAGCCAAAATTCAAGGAACTGCATTAGCGTGTGAATGATGATGAAAAAAATCAGAGGGGGTCACTCCAGAAGTTAATAGGTACAGAAGGAAAATAAGCACAATACTCCAGAGAGACAAATGTAGTAACCAAACAGACCAAAAAGTTCAATGTTTACAAAATAAATCCCAAACTCATCTTATACTTCCTTATTGTCTGTTATCCCTAAGGCATTTCTCTTTGCAGATGCTAGGTGTGCAAGTGATGCTTACTTACATGGACGCTGAACACTGAGTTGTTGTACAACCTGCACTTCACATATGACACTCTCCATCTTTAAGGATTGGCTTTTTTTTTTCTTTTTGTAGAGACCCTAACAAGCTATTTCATAAAGCGTTTTTCTGTTAGGACTGAATATCTCAAATTCTCAGATCTTGCCTGTGCTAAATCAACACATCATTTGCATTGCATTGATTTTAAAAATCCATCTCATTTAACTGGGGTGCACCCATGATGTAGATTCACCTCAATCAGCCTAAACCTTGCATATATCTATTAAGTTTAATTCGGGAAATTCTTATAAACAAAGATTTCATCTAATTGATGTTACCAAATTAAGCTAAATCAATAAAATGTTTAAGCTGGTGTAAATATGTAATTACAAGTTTGCACCAGTTTAACTACAATTGATTTGTCACTGATTGATGTTACAGTGGCGAACTCTTCAGATGAGGGAAGTCACAGGATATCAGTAACCCACAACAGCTCCTCACTGTGCACTTGGCTTCCTTTTTAACATTATGAACTGTATTGCATGTAAATTACAATTAACAGTATCAGACAAGTAATTTTAAGTATAAACTGTGGAAACAGTGAACCTTTTCCCATTTTGTTCAGATAACAAAATACAACCAGCTGTTCCTGATTAGGAAAGCTGTTCCACACTGCAACTTGCTATTTCTTTTTTAATCATGCTGCAGCTAATTACCTGCTGTTCTTACCTGTAATGAGTGTAAGGAGTAAGGTTTGGTACCTCCAGCATCTGAGCATCAGGTTCATTGTCCACCTCGTGGAGACTCACCCACTCCTCTTCATCACCCAGTACTCCCACCTACACATGGGAAAGGTGAATACAAACACAAGTGTGTATGTGTATATGCATATATATGTAGATAGTTACATACACTCATTTTTTTTACAGTGTGTGCCTCCACTACCGAGGAAGGAAAAATACTTCTGAACACACAACATCCAGTTAATATTTATTTTCATACGAAAAAGCTCTAGTAAGAGCATGGCCACATTAGCCAATTCTCCTTGTACTGCTGGGACTTCACTGGGATTCTCTGAGAGGATCTATTCCAGAAGAACATCGTGGGAGAGCTATTACCCAATTCAATCTCACTGCAACAATACGAAAGTATCAAAGAGTAATATAACAAAATGAAGAATAGCCTTGATAATAACTCACATGAACTGATGCATACTAAATAAGTCTCAATGGAGACAAATGCCACAGAAATGAAGACAGAGAAACAAGAACAAAGTCAAAGTACAGAAGTATTTTAACCTCAGCTGCTGGGATGCACTTAGACCAGGCTCTTCCACGTGCAATGCTTTGTATTAATTAACCCCAGCACTCTGCTGAAAGTCAGCCCAACACAGTCCCTCAGCCACAGTACTGTTAGAAGGAACAAAAGTGATGGGAACTGAGAGCACTGCTTTCCATATAGATTGCTGGAGATGCAATGGAGTTGAACGAGGGCTTAAGGAGGAAACCAACAAGGCGTGAGAGGAAAGCCAGCGAGATGTGAGACCCTGGGAGACAGCAGTGCTGGTGTGCAGGGCTGTGTGCTGAACACTGTGGAAAGGGAGATAGATGAGAGCTGGTGGGTGGCTCAGTTTCACTCTGGAGTGTCACAAGAGCAGAGAGATGGGATCTCAGACAAGGCTCCCTGCTATAATTCCTTAGCACCATGCACTCTTACTCCAGTGCTTCAAACCTGCCATAAAGAAAGAGGGCAAATGTTCTTTCACTCCGTTCTTTCACTGCAGCTCCGGGAAGATCCCACTTCATCAAATATCCCTCAGGATTGGACAAACATTCCAGTCAGCTGGCATTCCAGCTCCAACAACAGAAAATACCACTTGGGGAGAGCCATGAGCCTGGCCATATTTAAAGTCAGTTCCCTCACCCTACCTTGGTGTCCACAATTCTGTATTGAGGGATATTGGAGGGACAAAAGCAGCTATTCCCTTCAGCATCTATTTATGGACTTGATGTGCATGAAGGTGACTAATCCTTTTTGAAACCTACTGACACTACCTACTTCCACACACTGCTCTGGCAACAAATTTCAGAAGCTCACAACCTACTGTGAAAAGAGTAACCTCATTTAATCTTTTTAAAATAGATCACTTACGATATCTGCATACTAGTTACAGCCATAGACATTATCAAGGCAGTTGACAGCAACACAGCCCAAACTATCTAGCAAATTCCAAGTATTTCAAACAGAAAATTAGGTTTCATTCACTTTCTTTTTTCTTTTTTCTTTTTTTTTTTTTTTTTTTCCCTCCAGGAGAAGCAGCCTGATTTATTTATAGATGTTTTAGTTCTTTGCTCACTCAGGAGTCAATGTGCTGCATATTTATGTTTGTGCATGAAGAAATGACACAAGGAAAATTAGGCCAAAGAAATAAGTTCTGCATTGCATTGTGAGAGGAAGCCTTGGTGATTATTCTAGCAGAGGACTGTTTCCATGCAGGAAGGTGCTTGCAAAGGTGTTGATTGGTCTTTGAGTACTGATGGGAATCAAATACACTGATACACACCAAAGATCTTATTAAAAAGATGTCAGTGTAAATTATGGACCTTTTGAAATTCCCAGACCCAACAGTGCTTCAGAAATGTTGGTAAAGTTCCTAGATAGAGAAGCTTAATGAAGCAGCTCAATGCAGGTCTGCCTGGGAACACAGAACTGCCCTAAAACGAACACAGAGAACAAAGAGATGCTATAGATTATACAAATATCCTTTATAGAGAGGATTGATTTCACTCACAGAAACACTGAAAACTTTTAATAAAAAGTTTGTGATTAATTCTGTTGAAAATGCTTTATAGAATGCTTATTTTAACGAAATTCCTTGCTCTTAACAGCATCAATTCAAAGTGCTGCAGTAATTGTACAGCAACCATCCACAGTGTTTTGGAGGCTGCAAATAATCTCCAGGAGTGCATTAGAGTTTTCTTTTTATATTCTAAGAACAATAAACCCTTGTAAAAATATTACTTGCATAGGGGAAAAAAAAAAAAAAAAAAAGACTGCAGGTTTCAATCGTTATGCAGCAGCAGGCAGATCATTAATCCACATTAAGGACCACATGGTTCAGACCCATAGGCCCAAAGGGCTGTAAACAATCAGCACTGACTCAAGCTTGAGAGGTGTCCAAAACCTCTGCCTGTTCTACAGACGTGCATTCACCAGCTGGCTGCAAAGGGGGGAATATTAAGGATCTTTTACTGTTTGAGAGCTGGTGAAAGCTCTTATGTGCCCAGGACTAAAGCAAGTCCCTCAGAAGCCACCCCAGGACACATCTTTCTAATTTTAAATGCATTCCCTGCTAGGAATGATGGGTACATCCTATAAGGAAATGGAAAGTGACAACTGAGTCGCTTCTACTGGCTGCCCTGAAGCTCAGGAGCCAGTAAGTAACAGGTGGCTGCTACCTGGTTCAGGAGCTGGGGAACATGGGGCACAGACAGTCCCAGCACACCTCTTTCAGGCTCATTCTCTGCTGAAAGGCTGTGATGGAGAAGTAGTAGAAGATACCAAGCACAGGCAGAGTTCTGTAATTCACTAAAACTTCTTAAAACAAATAGATGAGGAACTTGCTTTAGTTAGAATAATACCTTGCAGTGTGCCAGGATCTGATGCCAGCATCTGGGCAACTTCAAGGGTCTGATCTGCTGCTGCAGTCAGTAGCACATTTGAGAGTGTGCTGCCTTTGTGGGGAGTTTTCCAAAGCAGGAGGGCACTCGGCTCGAGGGTAGCATGGTAAGCAGCATGGGGACTGCTGCGTGATTTCTGATCGTGCAGCCAAGCGATTCTAGGTGACTGTTAACTCAGTACAAGTTTCACTTATTTAGCAATTATCTCAGAAATGAGTCTTGGAAGAGAATCTTCACCGATGGGCTCCTATATTTTTAACTTCTCAAGGCATTTAGCAGGTTCCAAGTTTCAGGCTCTTGAAAGAAAAGGAAATTATTTTTTGCTGAAGAACTCTGATGTTAGATCAGAGGAAACATTTCTGTTTCAAAAATCAGAGTACAAAGGGATTCCCACAAGGCAAAAAAGAACTATGGGCAGTGGTTAGGATAAGAGAGTCCTATGGGGGGCCGCAGAGTCCCCAGTGAGCCAGTCTGCATTAAATAAAGTTAATTTGCAGGCTTATTTCTTACTGTTGGTTTTTGGATAGCACTATCCTCAAACTTCAGAAAAGGATTATGCTTGTGGCAGATGCACACGTATTCATGTGTGCATTGTTTTAGGAGGCAGTTGAGAACACCAACTGTTTTGCTGTTGCCATCGGCATAAAAACTCTTTAAGAAATGCACTCTGCATCTTAACAGTTCTCAGTATAATAGGGCCACGAGCCCCAGGAGATCAGCAGGAACTGCCACAATTAAAATACCTATCTCCACCGCATCGCTTCATATGATTCCCTATAACTATCAGCCACGTATAAATCCCCATCTCTAGGCTGTTACCAAGGCATTATGTTCAATAAAAGATCACATTCATTTATTATTACAGAAATGAGATGGTATAAAGCAATATTGGAAATGATGTCAGAACCTTTTACTTCTCTAAGGACTAGTTTCTCCATTTCTAAAACTGGCAATTTTTATGAATTTTATCAATTGACTTAACATTGCCTGATGGGATGCATTATGTAAGTGAAGTTGTAGAATTTCCACTTTAAAAAAATTTCAACAGAAAAAAATTGAACTTTGGAATGTCAAATCATTTGGCGCAATCTTTCTTTTAAGACAGTAATGCTTCCAAAATTGTGAACAGTTATTAAGCACTAACAGCAGGATAGGGAAACACAATGTTTCTGTGCGTTACAGAAGTACCCTGTGTTCTGCTATAGTTCAAGATATGTCAGAGTTTTCATTATAGAGGTCTATAACTCAGGCATTTGAAATCACTTTGGGAGAAATTTGGTGCACAGGATGTCAGCCTGGGTGCCATTTTTTTCCTACAAAATCCCTAAATCGATTCACCCATTTTTGATTTAAAGATTGGCAAAGTCATAATATTGTCAGGGCTTCAGACACTTTATTTACCAGCTCTGAAGAGAAAATGACACCAAGAGAATCACCTCGTACAATGGATGAGTCCTATCTGGGTCACTGACAAACTACAGAACCCAACAAATTCACGGCGAAAGTGAAGTCCGTCCCAACTCACAGCTTTACAAGAGAACACAGTGAGGATGCTTTCAAGGTTTCTGTACTTTGAAACTCCATTTTCCAATTCTGCTGCTGCTCGTGATAATATTATAAGGAAATCTCGCTTAAAACAGCAGAAAGGCGTTAAGAAAATCCTCAAAGTAAGCCCATGTACTCGTGGCTCTCTGACCTGTGCAACACCTGAATGCCACTTGTGAAGAGGTGCTGCAAATCTTCTGCTGTCTGCACAGTAATATTAATCACCAGAAAACAAATTAGGTGCAACAGAAGTCAACCCAGCTTCTCTCATCAGCCATGGAAAGCCTTGTGTTGTGGCCTTACCAAAGAATGTGACCAAGGAATAGCCATGACACTGCCGTTTATGTTCTTCTCCCAACAGAACCTCAAGAAAAATAAGGGCAAAATAAACAGAATCTGCTGCAAACATGAAACCATATTAAAGGATTCATAGTCATTCGTCATTGCAAATTGCCAGAAAAATATGTCTGCAATATATGCTCTGAATCTGAGTGTACAGGATGACTGCTGTAATAGGAAGGATTTACTGAAACTCTTTGGGGATGAACATGTAGTCTGAGTGTTGATGCCACAAGACCATTACTTTTGGACCTTCTGAACAAGTGTCTGCAAAACCTTTATATCGCATTTGACTCCCTTCTCTTTAGATTATACTGCATGTAATGGAAAAGCAATTTTAGAAATACTTTTTAAATGGCATTGGTGCTTTTTTGCAGCTTTTGGTTTGGAAATCCAGTTTGCTCCAGTCCTCTCAGTCTAAATGTGACGACAGAAGAGAAACTGCCGAAAAAAGATTTAAGAAATCCTTTCAGAAGTACAGAAAGTGGCTTTACTAGAAACACAGAAATGGGATTTTCAACGCTTGATATTTCAGTATCTACCAGCACTAACATCTTAAAGACCTGAGTCTCCTCTCATGTTCACTGACATAATTGAGAATTAGTTCCACAGTGGATCCCGTCAATTTACATCCCAGCACAAAAAGCAGAAGCCAAGGCCAGATGTAAAAAATTTCACATAAACTGGAATTCCCAGCTGTGTTTTCATTCAAACTGTTCATGAAGTATCGGACTTCAAAAATGGCACTTGGCCAAAATGGAACACTTGGAAGATTTTCTAGACCTGCCCTCACCAATAAAGTTTTGTGCCACATAAAGGAAGAAGAAAAACACGCTTGTGAGGACACAGAAATCTAGAGAAAGGGTGTAGCCCCAAGAGAGATGAAGGAGTAGATGCAATATAAATGGGGTGTGCAATGTGAAACTACCAACCAGCTGTACAGAGGGAAACATGGACTGACATGCAGGACAGCTCTTCATCATGGCATAACTGTTTTGTGAAAGTTTGTACATTTTGGACAGACAGATATAAAACCCATGGAACCCAGCAGGGCAGGTCCAGGGCAGGATGGAGACATTCCTGCCCTCAACTCCTGCTCCCATCACCATGCTCTCATCTCCTGCCCTGCATTGGGGCTCTTCTGATTGCACACAGCCTGTATAGAGAATAGATCTCTCTGAAACCCATTTCTTGGCTGGGTCAAGCCCTACAGCAGCTCCAGGTATGACAGGATAGAGAAGCTAGGAGCAAGAAAGTCTTGCTGGGAGTGATGGGGATAAAGTGAGGGGACAGGACAAACTGACCTCTTGGTTTAGCCTGGCTAACGGCGCTGTGAGATTGCGCTTCAAGAGAGTAGAAAAGTTTGAATAAAGTACTGGCAGAAAAGGGCTGTGAACAAAGGATTATAGGCAGCTGTCATCCTGGAAACAGGATTTACTGTATCAGTAAGGAATCATCAATTTCTTTGCATAACTGAAAAGATTTCTTGTTAATCATGTGAGCAAGATTTTTTTTCTTCCAAGTATTAAATCCATTTGGAATAATGTTTCTTGCTGTGCCAAAGCCGAACAGTGTGGTGTGGTGCAAAGAAATGCTCAGACTCAGCATAACAGATTCTGCTGTAATTTTGGCTGTTGGAGCAAACACTGGCAGATCCAGGATTGACCAGAACCATCAGTCCCTTGACTTTACCAGCAGTGCATAGGATGCTGACAGGTGTTTGTGAACACTCATCTTTCCTTTCCCTCCCTGCACACCAAGAACCCTCCAATTGCTTTTGACAGCTCTTGAAGGATGTGGATGAACACTGTAGCAATAATTACTGCCATTCTGAAGCATTCAAATTTGTTTAATTTCAGTGGCTTTTTGTAATTCTCGATTACAGAATTGAATTCCTACCAATACCAAAGAGGTGCTCAAACACGATTCCCAAAGTCTGCCAAGCCACCATATTATAAAACTTCAGCATTTAATTCTGCAATATGCAATAATGTGTATGTAAATTATACAAAATGTACCAACTCGTTCACAACAGTCTCATTATCAAGTGAAGTGATTGTATCAACATGTCTAAGTGGTGACGGTGATTTAAGAAGTCCAACATTTGGTCTTAAAAACAGATTATATTATTTATAAAGATCTGTGGGTGGAAAGGAAGAAGCAAAGCTCATCTGTCAGGAAAACAAATGAGGAATATGTAAGCCCTCCAAGGCATAATGGCAGCAGAAAGAGGAATATCATTTAAGGCTGATGAAGGTGAGAATTCAGCCTATTCAAATCCAGAAGCCTGGACAGAAAACCTCAGGATATTCCCTTACAAAATGGTACAAATAAAGCCAGTATCAAAATAATGACATCTTAACCGTTCGCTGCAATTCTCCCTATACTTCTGTCCTATGAGACAATTTCTGGCTAACACCTGGTCTGAATATGAATCTAACCTTTTCAAGCTATGGCAGGGGAGATTCAGGCTGGACATTAGGAAGTATTACTTTTCAGAAAGGGTGGTCAGGCACTGGAATGGACTGCCAAGGGAGGTAGTGGAGTCACCGACCCTGGGGGTGCTCAAAGAAAGGCTGGATGTTGTGTTGAGGGACATGGTTTAGTAGGAGCTTTTGGGAATAGGTGAACGGTTGGACTGAGTGACCTTTTAGGTCTTTTCCAACCTTGGGGATTCTATGATTCTATGATTCTATCAGGACACAAACTCAGGTTAGAAACCATTTCTAAAATAAATGGACCAAACTCTGGTGAATGAGTTGCTTGTGATGATCCTTTTCTGACTCTGTGAGAGCTCTCTGTCAGGGCCATACCTGGCCTTCCACTATCCACTTGCAGATGGACGTCTTGCCATCATACCCTGGACGGAACTGAAGCGTGGCAGACCGAGGGCTGATGTTGGAGATCACCAGGTTGGACGGAGCGCCTGGAAGCTCTGCAGAAAGAGAAACACACATGAGAGGTGGAAATATTCCTGGTACAAAGCACAGAAGCACAGGTTGGCAGCGTTTCAGCGTAGAAAATACCTTTATAACAATTGCTATAGAGAAAATAGCATTGGTTTTATTGTTGGGATTTTTTTTGGCTGAGTATTAAATACAACATTACAATTTCTGCTGCTCTGAGCATGCACTGCATTTTACGGATCAAAAATGAAGAGAGTCCCTCTACAGAACTGCAGCTACAATTTGGGAGTAACAGACAAAGCATGGTGGCTGGGGGAAGGCACTTCCAAGGCACCTAGTTCTGCTGCACTGCTTTTTGTCAAGAATTATAATCATTTTACCTCTTATGGTGTATGCAGCTTTAATATATTAACAATGGAAAAAGACTCCCAGGTTTTTGGGTAGTGGAACCATTTTATGCTTCTCATATTGATCTGCAATAGATGGGCTTTATAAGCCATTTCTGATGGCTGCATAAAGCAAAATGATTTTTTTTTTTTTTTTAATTTCTGCTGTAAATAAAGAGGGTGACCTTCTATGGGGAAAAATCTGTAGCTCCAATCAGATCGTTGCCTCACATCAGTCAAGCTTACAGCGGCATTTACATTTTTAATACTGCCTGAATTATCAACAAAAACAAGCCCAGGAAAGGGATTAAATATAGATTGTTCAGAATAAATTTCCAATAGTACCTGCAATCATAAGCAATGGAAATTAGTACAATAATCAGTAATCATTTGTAATGTTTTACTATGTGCAAATGCAGCAGGCAAAAATGGGCAGATTTTTGGCACGTAGTTTTGAGTATGCATGAATACACACTATTTCTTGATATTTACTTCACATTTGTGGGAGCTATGATCGATAAACCAACTCTGACCAAATAGGATAATGCTGTTATCTGGGTAACGACAGGCAGCATGGCATTGATCCAGCCTGCAACTTGTCACAATTACCTGTGATTAGGGGAAAGAAAGGCCAGCATACTTCAAGACACACAGAAAAGTTCAAAAACACCAGAAAAGGGAAAAAATGGATTACCATCAGTGATGTGCATTAACTGCTCCACTTTGAAAAGTTCTACTTGTATAGCCTATAAATTAACGGAAACTGCTGGATGGAGGTTTGAAATGGCTTTTTAGTTTGCTTTGTGTTCAGGATGAACGAGAGTGCTGAGTTTTAAAATCCAAATGCAAAATGCTAAATCAAATAATGCCCAGGGGCGCAAGTGGAAACTCAGACAATGCAGCAGAGGACTACTTTCCAAATCTTTCTCAGGCCACAGATGCCAAATGTTGCAAATAAGATTTCGGTTTCATTATGCAAATGTCCTCTCACAGGTGACATAAGTTATACTACTTAAAATAGAAAAACCTTTCTCATTTAGCAGCATCCAAACTCTACTTTTCCCCAAAAGCAGCAATTTTTATTTAATTCAGTTACTTTCAGTTCCAGTTTCCTTTCAGCCTAATTTCAGTTACTTACGTTACTTTGAAAATATCAAGAGCTTCCTTACTTTATCCACTTTATTGCTTTGTCTGTTCCTCCTGCAATCTCTACAACTTTAAAAACAACAACAACAACAAAAAAACCTTCTTTCACAAAAACCAACTTTCATTTTAATGTTTTAATGCCTTCTAAGAATTAGCTTCAAATTATGCGGTAAAGACTTCTGATGCTGCATAAACTAACCCATATTTATTATAACTGAATCAAAGTCCCTCGTGACCCTTGGTGTGCATGTAAATCAGCCCGATTTAACCCCTTTCTGTGAAGTTTCACCAACCTGGAGGCACCCCAGATGAGATGGTGGAGGACGTGACCCACCCGCTCCCTTTCGCAGTCACAGCTGCCACCTCGATGGTGTACGTGGTGAGAGATGACAGCCCTGTGATCTTGTACTCCAGAGTTGTGTTGGTGAGCGTGCGGGTGAGCCGGGATTCGTTCCTGCCATACACCTCCCAGGAGAGCTGGTAGCCTGGAAAGCAATGACACGGCAGTCAGGGGCTGTGGCAGTGGTGGGATCTGGCTTTTCTCCTAAAGCTCTGTTGTGCAATAACCCAGAGACTGGCAAATGAATGCCTCTGTAAGGCATACTTGTGTCACTGATGCTATGGTACAGCTATGGAATGGTACTATGGATGGTTGGACTAGATGATCTCAGTGGTCTTGTCCAAAATGGAATAGGCACCCCAGGGAGGTGGTTGGGTCACCATCCCTGGATGTGTTTAAGAACCATTTGGATGTGGCACTCAGGGATGTGATTTAGTGGAAGGTTGTTAAGGTAGTATGGTTAGGTTGTGATTGGACTTGATGATCTTTAAGGTCTCCTCCAAAATGAGCGCCTCTATGATTCTATGATCCTATGATTCTGTGATGATGGAAACCTTTTATCTTATCTTATTCTTTAGAAAAAAAAGAAAAAAAAAAGTAAAAAAAAAAAAAAGTTAAAATAAACATTGACTTAAATAACCAAGTATTTTGTAATACTGTTATTTCTGATAAGCACTGCCCATCAGATTACACACGGGGGCATGGAGTCGCAATGGAGTCTCTCCGTTTCTCTATGAATGCACAGTGCTTGCTGTGCAATGATTAGGAAACCCGAGGATAATCTCACAGAAAGGCAGACTTTCATTCTGTGAACTCTGCACAATGAATAGGAAGAAACACTGGAAAATAAAACATTTTCTCACCATCTAGAACACCTCATTAAAAATCTATATACACTGAGTAGGGCCACTTCTTTTCCAGGCTGAAGCCACCTTCGCTGCTGTGTATCTGGAAATACTTACAAACCTAACAATGATGATCATTGAGAAACATGGTGGGAATCCTCTAGGAACCAGAAAAAACCCTACTCCCCACTGCTTGTTCCTCATACAAATCCTTTAGCAGGGTGAATCATTATCCTTTCTTTCAAAACCATAGTGTAGCCAATCTATTGTCCAGGACTGCACTCACCTGACCCCCACATTATTCTTATATCATAACCAGGCTCTAAAATTCATTTCTTTTTATCGCTTTTATAACCATTTGCCTTCCAAGAACTTTTGAAACTTTCTACTGTCTGATTTGCTCAATTTTATCTCCAAATCTGCTTGTCCTCCTCCTGCCCATTCCCACTTTATTCTCAGTTGAACCCACTTGAACCTTGCTGCACCAGTCTCCAGAGAGCGTGTCTGAAAAGTTTGCTTGATTGCAGCTTTCTTTGTGATTTGACTCAGGGGAAAAAAAAGGAAAAAAAAAAAAATACCCATAGCTCTTGAATGCCTGTGAAATGGAAGTGAATGAAAAGGGCTAACAGAAAGGAACCCCGCTGAGAGAACCATGCACGAGGCAAGCTGGATAGAGAAACTCCCCACTGGGTTCCTGTTTCCATCAGATAAGATGGGGAATTTAGACCAGTTGGAGTTGTTGGCTTTTTTTTATTATTATTTTTTATTTTTTTAAACCTAAGCTGATTAACACATTGAAATAGCAAAATACCTTATGGTTTTGATCAACAAGGAAGCATCATCTCATGAACTACAAGCATGGTAAGACACTCATTTGTGAGAGCGTTTGAAAGGTGTGAGATGTTATCCTCCCTCGGGTGCTAGCTGCCATCACTGACAGAATTTCACATGAACATATTTGTATGAAAATGGACTCAGACTACTCACATCGTCATTAATTATGGTTCAGGTGAAAGGGCACTGATAAAAAGCAGAGAGGTGATACTTCAACCATTTGAGCTATGTTGCAACCACCTGTCTGACAACACACTACCTGGGGGAAGGAGGAAAACTCCTGAACGCTCACCTGGAGCGAGCTCTAAGCAAGTGTCTGAAACGTCCCATCTGTTAAATGGGATTCAATAAAGTCAGTAATTTACCAGTATCTCAGAGACACTAGAATGGCCTGATGCCTTTAGCTTGAGAATCATTTGCAGTGAGCAGAATGTGTGTAGTACAGGCAAGATTATAACATGCGTGAAGATTTTGACAAATCTGTGGACTCTGTTGACTTTATGTGTTGTCTGTGTTGAACCCTGCACAAGGACTGGCAGAGGGAATCAAAGGGAACCATCCTAGAATAAAATAGAATGCATTTTTCAAAGAAAGAAACAGAATAAGCAATGAGCAGGGGACTTCTCATGCTCTCCCCATCCATTTGTTGCTTACAAGCAGCAAGAAGTTTCCTGCACTGCACATAAGGCAGTCGTGAATGATTGAGACATCTTCCCTCCCATCTCAATGAACTTTGCATATACATCAAATGTTGGTGATTATTCTTTGAACATTTTGTTTTCTCCCCTGTGACTGCAGGGATGAGCCCCAGCTTTCCTGCCCATTAGGCACATAGTCTCTATGTATTTATCTGCTGAAAAAATGTTCGCTGGGAAATATTTTTCAGCTCACATGCAAATTGAAGAAAAGACAAAGAGGCGGCATTTACTGCAGATATTTCAGTCCTGAAGTATGGATAAATTCTACTTGTATAAAAACAGAAAACACACGCATATATGCTGAGCTGACACAAAGCCAGATGTAATCATGCATAACTAAAACAGATGAAACAGTGCTGAAGGAAAGGAACAACATTGAGCATCCCCCCAAGTAGCACTTAAGCCACGATGACTGACAGATGGGCAGAACTTTGGGACATGTGGTTGGTAACAACGTGCTCTCTGTTCTGCCAGCAGCATGCATGGGGAGCCCAGTGCTTCCCTTGGTGCCCACACACCAGGAGCAGCATGGTGCCATGGAGCTGCCCTGCACTGTGCCATCGCACCCATCAAAGCCATAAAATGCTGCCTAACAGAAACTAATGGCCAGAGGAGTTTCAGAAATAATTTTTCGTTGATCTGGAGTAAATTCTCTACCAGTGAGCAGTACACCCAATCACAAACTGTCCGTCTGCATCCAGGTCCTCATAAATCAGGGTTTGCTGAGGGAAAGGGGAAGATACTGAAATTTACAGCAAGAGTAATGGGCAATTTCCCAGAGCATGGTGGCTGCCAGCCCCCTCCTCTGTGCACTCCTCCTCCCAGCGCTGCTGCATGCAACAAGAAGTGCCTATAAAGGTTTCAATGAGCAGAAATGAAGAGGAAAAGCTCTCAGAACTCCACGTGGCCTTCTGCAACCCCCCGAGATGCTCAGGACCATGAACACTTCTGCTGCTTTTACAGTCTAAATGTAGTTTGCGACATTAAGGACATTTCTCTTTCCGAATAAACTTTGCTGGGCTTTTTTACATCAGCATTTCTTTGTGAACTCAAGTTCTTGAGTTCCTTCTTTCTAAAAGAATTTGCCACAAGAATAATGCAGAATCATTTTGCTCCAACAAGTTTCAACCCACTCTGGTTGCAGATCATTTCTATGAGCAGAGTTCTGCAGCACTAAGAGTGCTGCTAACTGCAGCTTTGCATGGATGAATATCGCACTGTATTGCTTAGGTAACTAGATTTGGATTTAGATACCTAAATTTAAGCACTCAGGCTTGAAGGCTTTGGACATCCTCACTGAATCAATACTGCTCTGCTTTCTGAAGTTATTAGTTTTTGATTCTGAACCACTTAAATCAATACATATTTCAGGAAGGCTACTGAGCTACAAGGCATAAGAATATGTGCATAAAAAACTCACAGACGACGTAAACATCATGGAAGTAACATATATAAACAGTGCCTTAGAGATTCACAGAGTAAACATGGACAGAAGCAAGTCCAATCAAAATAACCAGCTCTGCTACAGTGAAAATGTTTCATGAAATTGGGCTGGTACAATGCGGAGGGGCCAAAGAGTCTCTTTGCTTTTCTTTTCTTTGTAATCCCCAAAAGCATTTACTTAAAAAAAATAGGTATATACATTTATTAAATTAAAAACAAAATATCAATGCTGTCATAACAGAATATTCGGATCCACGCAAAGTGATCCCTTCCCAACTACGATTTTAGCTCATTTAAAATCTGAGATTTTTCTTGCAATTCACAACCTTGAAATCCTTTGTTAGACAGAATGTCCATCCTGTGCAGAAGTAATAGTTTTCCATTTGAAAGCAACATTGCCTCTCTTGATAACAGCTAGAGATTTTATCCACTATTAATAGCTGCCTTTATGAAAAATAATGAAGTTGCTGATGTTACATCTACTTTGGCATGGAATAAATAGATAAATAGCAGGGAGCAGTCAGATGGCCAGCTCATCAAAGAATTCTGAACTGCTGTGATGGTTTATACAGAATTAAGTAATGAATGCAAATTTTCTGTCCTGCACTCCGCAGCCAGGCCACTTGATCACAGATGAAGGATACTGCTGATTTCAGGGTTGGTCTTGATTGCAAATCTTAGCAATGCCAATTCAGATTTTGCAGCTGTAAATTCAACATAGGAAATCCCAACTCGCAAAGTTTCAGACTTTAAAGTGGCAGAGGTGGAGGTCGCAGAAGATTTAACAACACCATCGACTCCATGGGGAGCTGATTTCTAATAAAGACTGCCTTTTCAGTGGCCACAATCATGAACTGCCAGTAATTGGACCCGTACTTTCTATAATGTGCCCAAGCTGACATTTCAATTACCCAAAAGATGAACCAGGAAACCGGTACTCGCAGCAGCCAGCTCTCCCTAAATGTTCTATTATGCAAACATTTTCTCATTGCAGTGATACATTCTACCCCACACACTGGAGGAAAAAAAAGAAAGGAAAAAAAAAAAGAAAGGAGCAGCTGATACTTGCCTGTAATGATGCCATTTTTCTCTACAGGTTCTTGCCAGCTGACCTTGAGAGACGTGTCCAGAATCTCAGTGAAACTCAGGTGTCCCACAGCTCCCGGCTCTGGCAATCAGAAAAGGAAATCTGTTAACATGAGAAGCCCACTTACTTCTGATGTGATTCATGTGGCAAGGTTAGGGCTGGAGGACTGCAACATGGAGCTGGGACCAAGGGAAGCCTGCTGGAAACATCAGTGAGAACTGCAGGGGAGAGGGGAAGGATGGAAGGTGTTAAGAAGCACTCTGGCTATCATCACACAAATTATTTTATCTAGTCATCATCCCAACTGTGCAGAGAACTGAAGAGAGCAGCAGCGGGGGACTGCATGCAATGTGTTCTCTGTCTTTCTTCTTGATCTAATCTAATTAGAACAATGAAGCTGGCAATGTTGGAAGTGATTGCATTTGTTGTTTCCCCTCGACAGCATGTGGGTACCCGTGCTGCTCTGTGCAGCTTCCTTGGGGCTGTGCTCCCTTTGCCTGCACGGAGCCTTCAGCAGGTGAAGGTCAGAGCAAAGGCAGCCTCAAAACTTGGACAGTGTCTCTCAAAACATCTCTAAAAATGTCCAGCATAATGGCAACTATCTTCTGCAAAACGAATACAAGTGTGTGAAACTTTTAAAGGATTTTTATGATGTAGCTCAAGAGCTCTTAAAAATTTCAGCTCCCTAGTGTGCAATGAAAGAGCATAAAATGGAATGACTGTCAAGAATATGCCATCCTCCCTCAATTTTGATCTTCAAGGAAGACATCCTGACTGATTTTTGATCCAACTGCTGTTCTGTCTTCAATTGATGTACTGGAAAAAGGAGTTTTTGTTCACTTTATATTCGCTCTGCTTCTGTCATTGGATCCCTGCCTGAGTATCCTCCAGCTCCACTGACATCAGTTGGCAATTTCTCGCCTGCAATTTCATATTTTGTTTCCTCTGTGCTTTAGTCCAGTTTCTCATTCCCCTCCAGCTACGATAAAGAAAGAAGCCTGCCAGTAGGTCGGCTGTGACCACATTTGCAATTCTGCAATCCTAGGGAGGAAAATTTCCAAATCCATTCTGCGATGTGTAGTAGTCAAAGCAGTACAGAAAAGTGCTGATCTGGTAGCGATCTCGGGAATACCCGAAGAGAGCACAGCAATTATGCACTATTCAGGAACACATATCTGCACACATGCAAGCCACATACTCACAAAGCTTTACTCCAATTAGCTCCTGCCATTGCGTTCCAGTTTTAATGCCATAATGAAAAGCAGGTGCAGGTTACACCAAGCCAGGACGCATCGCTTCTGACTGGATGTCACATTTTATTTGACCTACAGTTCATCAGCAAACAGATTTACTTGCGCTGTTTTTTAAAGGATTGCCCAACTTGGCTTTGCAGATACACAGAAAATGATCACCTGAGACCATGAATGACAGTCCTTTCAAACCTTTTTACTCACCACCATAAATCCTGGAACAAGTTAGATTCAACGAGTCCTCCACAAAGATGCATTATGCTGTGCTACACTGAAGTTCTCAGTCATCACTAAAACATTTCTGAAGGACTCAGAATCAAAAAATGCTGCTCATCTCTAGTGCAGAAGCTCTGTGCAGCACAAGTCTGCATATACAACAAATATACAGCCAGTCTGATTGTCTGTCGTTCCGTGTACCATGATGGAAATTTCTAGTGTTTAAAACTGTACATGATTCCAGCATCTCTCTGAAATATTCTCTGTGTCTGACTGTGCCCTTCTCATAATTTCATAAAGTTTCTAAGGCTTATTTCTCCCTTAGCAGAAATACTGTTTCCTTCCTCTTTTCAGCTGCTTAATTCCCATGAAATCTTAGGAGCCGCCCATCTTTGGCTTCCTGCAATTAACCATGGGATCAAAATGCTTTTGGAGGCAGAAGGACAGATGGATCTGAGACAGACAACCAACACATTAACACTGCCAAGGGCCTCATTTCCTTAAGAAAACAGGCAAAATGTTCATACTGCACATAAGAACCTAACACGTTTTTTCTTTCCTCTGTGCCTTTTGCCTTGACTCCAGTTAAAAACATATCAGCTCATATTAATAGCTCATAAGATTTCTGGTGGTTGCACTGCTATCTGTGCAACCTTCTAGCAAGCAAAGGCTGCAGTCTAGAATCTGTTCCTGGGGCATACGGAGGAGGCAAACCACAAAATCAAAACCCATAGGAAAGTACTTAATTTTCTTCATAAACTTTCAAGAGTGTCTCATGAAAAAATGGATTAGCACTCTGAGCCTCACTTCTGTGAATGCTGCTGTTAATCAGATTTTCTTTACGGGAACACTGACTAACCTAAAAGATCCCTGTTAAGGAGAAGTAGTATTTCTAAAAACAATATCTTAATGGCTGTGGCAGACATTTTTAAATTCTTCTTTGGATCTGTAAACGTGCAGCAGTGTTTGCGATGCTCTGTGAGAAGAAACCCTATTGAGAACCAAGATCACTGTGGACACATAGCTAGCCAAGAGTGCCATTGCAACTCAGCTGTTATCTGAACAGACGTGCTGGATGTGTTAACCACAGACATGTCTTGAACAAACATTTCCAGGAAGCCACAGAGGCTAAGACATTTTCTGATGCAGGAAACAGTCTATATGCAAAACTATTTAGCTAGTTTTCTTTCACTCTATGGATGTGACTTTAGTTTGCAGAGCAGAAGCTACTAAATCATCATGATGCTGGTTGTTTTACTTTATGCAAATACTTGCAATATAGTATAGATATAGACATTTTCAATGTACTGAATAGCAGAAGGAAACAAACTTAAATAAATCATCGATTTCCACAGGAAGCCCTGGTGCTCAATTTCTCAGATCAATTCATAGTTATCTGGATACCTGAACATGGATTTAAGAGCATAAGGGTTCACAGACAAATGATGTATTGCATTAGCTGAACCATACCACGGAGATTTCAGCCTTTCATTTCCCAGCTGCACAAAAATGCACGTGGACAACCAGCTGAGGTCACTGTCTGATGGAGACTAACTTGACTACAAACCGCTTTGTCAACCTGAGGCCTGATTTTAAGCAACCAGATGTCAAAGTTCCTGCTTTTCTCTCCAACCAACCCAAACGTGAGCACTGAGATTCTCCACCAGTGCTGCCTACTCACTGTCTTCCAGAGTGCGCAGGAGCTGCGGTGCGCTGCGCGGCCCATCGCCAGGGGTGGTGAAGCACAGGACTGATGTGTAGTAAGTGGTGTACTTCTTCAGGTTGGTGATGCAGCCACTGTGAACACCGTGGAAATCTGGAGCAATCGTGACCACCGTCACAGTCCCTGGAGCATCCACTGGCCATGCGAGGAGCTAGAGAATGTAAACGTGGATGAGCTCTCATTAGAAGATGTGCCCATGCAGAACTAGACAACTAGAGTGTGCTAGGCTGCCAAAACCATCTTAATCTGATTGTAAAAAACAAGCAGTGCTGTTCAACTACTGTCAGCTCTGACGCTGAACAGATGGACAGAACACTGTTACCATGATAACTGGAGGGATGTGTGTAATGCTTACTAGCAATAGGGGACATATCGATACTATAGAGATATTACAGCTCTCAATTTCTGCTACTGAACAAGGCCAAAATTATTGCAATTGCCTGTTTGTATGGCATGAGTCTTTTGTGTCCCTCTGAGCAGGACAATCCCTGCTGCTGAAAGAAAGATGCAAAGATGAAAGAAATGGAACTTTAGTGCTACTCTGAGATAAAAGCTTCATCTCAACACGGTGTTCCTTGAAAGATCCCACTGGGGGGAGAAATCCTCCTTCCCCTCCCACAGCCTTCAGCATCCCATAGACCAGCATTGCTAAGACGCAAATAATGTTTCAGTGCCTGATGATGTGGGGACAGCCACAAAAAGTTTAGGAACTACAGAAAGAATAGAACATGGCTTTAAGAAGGATTAGTACAGTTTTTAGCACCTAAGTCCCAAAAGTGAGGCTCCTGATGAAATTTCTATGTATTTAAAGTAACGTGCTTGGCAAGCCACAGTTCTTCCAGGTTTCAGTCATCTCAGTGGCCCTGCTGGGTGATCATTGTTTCTTAGGGTAGAATATCTTGTCTGCAGCCGCCTAAATGAGGACTTCAGAAGTTGATTTTTTGCAAATGACTTCAAAATGTTAAAACAATTTTTGAAATCACCTTAACAACTTCAGGGCCTAAAGCTTTAAAGTGCTTCGGAAATTTCTATTACGTCCAAAAATCCTTGTGGCTTATACAAGATGCTAAAATTCTATGCCTTACTCAGTATCTGTGTAAATCATGCTACTTGTATTGATTTCAGGCTCATAAACATGAATAGATGCCTGAAATTATTGAGCCATATTTAACACATTTCGCCAACATCTATTGGCTGATAATGAGACTGTACTCCTCATAGTCAGAAAGCACAGTTAAAGCACTATAAGGAGTCATTTCGTTAGAAATATTTCATATTTGAAAGGTGCACTTTACTACTCCTTGAAATGCAAATAAATTTCAAAGAAAAGATAAAAAACGGATAATAGTTGATGGAATAGTAAGCTTTATTTTCTTTTCTAAATCACCTTTGTGGATTACAATTGGCATTAATAACTGAGGGACTGAACATTAGACTGAATATCATTGCACATTCCATAGAAAGCATGTGCAGGAAATAAAAGTCAACAATTTTGTTCATTAAAGGACAAAATGGGTTTAACCCTGAACTAAAGCAAAGGCCTAGCTTTGGTACTGGTATGTATATATTATACAAAATAAACTGTGCAGTAAAGTAATTATCACAGAACTGTTCTCACAGTCTTCGTGCTGCAATTCACAAACCCCGTGAGAAATTATAAAGCTGTTGCAATTTAATGCAATCAGAGAACTCCAAGAAAAGAGAAATTGTGATAATCTCAGAAACTTCTACTGAATGCTGACAGATACAAATCGGGATTTTGGTATTTTATAAAATTGATAATTAAATTGAAATTTAAATCGGAGGTACCCAGGCGATGAGATTAAGGCTCTTCGTACTGAAGACGCGTTTGAATAAAACAAAGAATAAAAAGCTAAAAGATGGCTTCTCCAAATCTGACTGAGCTCACCACGTTTGCATTGGCACCAGATAATTACAGTGTGCTGCACTTCACTGACCCCCAAAGTGTGTTTGCTCATTCTCTACAGCCCAAGCAAAAGCCAGCTGCTTCTATTTCAGGATATACTTCTGCAGCCTAAATACCCTGCCAGTAACCTAGTCCTGAGAGCTGAAGCATACACTTTTACATGCACATGCTGCTTCAACTGGGGATTGTTGCAACCATTACTGTTCTGTATGAGAAATAATTTCCTTATGAGAAATGGGAAGAAGAATGTTAAAACACACCTGCATACATTTACCTCAGTTTCTCCATCACTTCGAAACATCTCAGAGAAGGATCAAGTCTTCTCAGCCCGCCCAAAGAGGTTGTGGATACCCCATCCCTGGAGGTGTTCAAGGCCAGGATGGATGGGGTCCAGGGCAGCCTGGTCTAGTATTAGACATGGAGGTTGGTGGCCCTGAATGTGGCAGGGGGTTGGAGCTTCACAATCCTTGAGGTCCATTCCAACCCAAGTCCATTCCAACCCAAGAACCATAGAACTATGGTTCTATTATTCTGTTATTCTCAAACTCTAAAAATGCACCCACAGTTCACAGCCTATCTTCAGAACTGCACGTCCTCCTCAGCTCAGCCAACATTTCCTCACCCAACAGCTACACCAAGCTTCCTTCTCCTGCGAACAAAATGTGCCCATCTTCACTCGTCCTGCTCTGCCATCACTGCAAGTTTTCTCTTTGTTCTTTCTAAGAACGTTTTTAAATGCTTCCTAAATTATATCCCCACTGAACTGCTGGAGGAGTTTCTATTAAGCAGTCCTTCCTGAGAGACAGAAATAAAGCACTTAGCTCCCTCCTTAGCAAACACTCCACTGGTGAAAGGACCCACAAGTGCTCCGTGAAGCACTCTCTGCTGTGCGCTGTTAATAGATATTGCCAGCTGCCCCATCAACAAGGACGTGTCGCGTCAACGCTGCTCCATCAAGCGAGATTAAAAATTTTACATTTCTACATCTCCAAAATCATCACAGTGGGAAAGTTAAGACAAATATTTGGTGTGACATCTTGGTCCCTAATTAAATGAATGGGAGTTTTGCACTAGAGTAGATAGGAATCTCAGGGCTGATTTCAGTGGCACAGCGACGCGCCTCCTTTGCTATTTGATATCAAACTGCTCTTTGGCTTTGGAAATTCTCCAGGTAAATGACAAAGGTATTAGAATGTCCAGTCTACGACATACTTTCTTCTCAGAACTCACATAAACCAGTGAAAATTATATTAGGAGAAACAACTGCTCAGTTCTCTCTTCGTTTTGCTTCTGTAAGATATCCCTTCATATATATATCGTCATCTAGGACATTCATAGATTATTGGATTCAATTTCTATTTGTTATACACCACGACTGTTAAAGCAAACAAAGTTAAAGAAATCTTCCTTCTATTTACCTTGTATCCTTGGTTAATACCATTGATGAACTGCTGGGGTGGAGGGCTCCAGAGGAACTGGATGGTGGTGGAGTTCACGGCTTCCACCTGCACGTTTTGAGGCGGAGCTGTCGGCACTGCTCCCATCAGCAGAGAGGAAAAGTAAATCAAACAGAATGGCAGAGGGGTGAGGGAGCAAAAGAGAAAGATGAGCACAGAACCTATTCACTGCCACTTATGAGTCACAAAGTAATAACAACCTAGAGAAAAAGATGCACTTCTTGTGATAGGGAAACCAGCAATAATTTGGAAAGAGTGGTAATTGAGTTATTTCTCATGTTCTCTCAGAAATTCGTTCAAGGGGAGGGGTTGAAATGATTTCTGAACTTATTACTCCACAATGAGTTTCGCATAAAGACTTGAGACAGAAGCTAGGTAATGATAGGTGAACATCTCTCTTTCAATTATCCATGACTGCGCAGAGAAATGAAGCTTCACCAAGAAATTTCTTGAGTCTTTTAATATCATGCAGGCTCGAACTAGCAAACACGGGATCAGCACAGTCAAAATTCTAATTCTGAATTATAACCTGGTGACAGGATCTGTTTATTATTCATTGCTGCTTAAAAAATTAAGACGAGTCATACAACATGCAACAAAGATTTTTCTTGGGAATTGAAGATGTTTTCATGTTATCTTGGTAAAACAATCATTCATTATATTGAATTTATTATATGTAATCTGAACCAACGCAGCCTCAAATCCTCTAAAAGTTGTGCAAGCATTTCATGTCAAGTGTTTAATGAGCACATGTCTCTCCAAAATGACACAAAAAGCATGGAATGTAGAGGCATACTGGCTTCAAAAAACCCCACAACAACCCCACCTCAAAAAAACCCACAACCCCACCACATATTTTGCCATTTAACACAGCATCTCTTTAAATACCTTCCAGCCCATTCCTTCAACTCATTACTTTATGATGCCATTTCCGTAGTTCTCAGAGGAAGGAATACTAAGTCAGGACTATCTTGCCGAAACTATCAAGCTTGTAGGAAGTTTAATAAGCTGCTATTTGTATATATATTTTAAAAAAAAAGGACTAATATTCCTAGCATCCTTTGAATCCTAAAAAAATAAGTTTAATAAAGCTTCAAAACCATGGATATTGACAGCCATGTACATTTGTATTCTATGAAAGAGAAACTATCCACAAGTGGTTTTGAAGCTTAAAAACTTTGTTCCTTTTGCTTCCAAGGGAGAAATTCTACTAAAGCCCAATGACCCACGCTTCTCAAGTATCTGTAATTCCCACTGAGAAATGCTAGTTTGCTCCATACTTCTCAAAAACGGGTCACAAACTTTTAAAGCTTCAAAGTACCTTTGGAAGATGTGCCTTTGTATGGAGGAGAAATGAAGACATTATCTTCAAAAATGTAAAAATGTCCCTTTGTCCACTAAAAGCTATACTTGTTTGAAGGAGACATAAAGGGCTGTTATTCTTAACTGGTGTACAAGGTATAGCAAGACTGCAGCCAACAGAGCTGGGACAGTGTACAACTATCAAAGACATCCACAGCTTAGAAATATCAACTCAGAAACCTGGAGAAATCCTTGAAGATGTCAGGTTTGAAAGAAGCCTAGAACATCCACTTCCATGCCCTATGACACTAAAACTCCTTGATGACAACTGGTTTGACAATTTAGCCCTGCACATTTGTTTTATTTAACTTCAGAAATGGCATATTATTTGGAATTGTTTTGCCCTAATTTAAAGCTCGGTGTCACACTTTATGAACTATGCTTAATTATTGAGCGCTAAAAAACAAATTGATCTGATACTACTTTAATTTTTCATTAAAATGTGGGCCCTATTTCCTTTTTTGCCGTGTATCACAATTCCTTATATGCCTTTGGAAGGTTGTAATAATCTTATCAACCTGTGGACATCGTAAAGTTTTTGTACTTAAGTTATTCATCTGATCATCCAAAAATACAGCCATCTGTATTAAAGTCAATATAGAGTCATAATGAGTTGCGTCAGCTTCATTCTCCCACTAATGTATTTTCACTTATTCATATTCTTTGATGAACCTGTTCATTATGAGAGCCACTAAATGTGCTTTAACTTGCTCATGTTCAATTATGATTATACAATCAATTGTATAATTGATAGTGTAAGAATTTAAAAAATCAAAATTCATCCTTTCCTACATATTGGAATATTCTGACTGTGTAGCCACCAGAGATTTGTTATTGAAAAAGAAAAGTGAACAAGAAAGCTCTGAATTAGCTAGTTATCAGAAAGTCATCTGGATATCATCGCTAATTTAATCTCCTTCTGTCCTGAAGGGTAAAGCAGCTCAGGATTCTCCCCTCAGCTCACTCCTCTTCCTTCTGTTGAACACGACCACTCTACTTCACTACGCTGATCTTTTGATACAGAAAAACTATATTTTATACCTCACCCCATAAGCTGTTAACTAACAGCCCCACTCAAAGAAATACAGAACTTGGCAGTGGGAGGAAGATTCACTGATGGCCCTTAATGTAGCACACCATTCAAAAAGCTGGGTAAGCACCTTAGGATAGGTTTACTGCATTTTGGAAATGTGTATAACCACATGAGTTAATTATTTCTTTTAATGAGTGAAATATTTTTCTTTCATTAGGAGGTAATTCTCTGAAATGAGAATAAATCATGACAGCACAAACAGAACCTGCTACGATAAGAGAAAGGATAAAAATCATGAGCAGAAAACCTGAATGCTTCAGAATGCTGGAAACCATGATTTATATTACAATTCATCTTCAGAATCTTCATTGAAGTATCAACATCTGCATTACAATGAACGAATTTAAAAGATGGAAAGAACATGGTCTATCTAATATGCATAAGCTTAATTATACTGCAGATGTGATATAATACATTTTTATATTTTAATCAGTAAAATATTGGCATTGTGACCTCAAATTTACTTCAAAGTGACGGTATAAAGTTCTCCTTTTATGTTCTGATCTTAAAGGCTTCCTTGGGTATCTGAACAGTTTTGCATTAAAAAAGGAAAAAGTTTGAGAGAAGCTAAACCAGGGCCGACCTTCCGATCAGTTCAGAACTCAGATACCTTCCCCAGGTCACAGCCAGCACCTTGCTGAAGCTGCAGCTGTCCCCATAAAACATTTCCTAATTGGCAGTGGATAGCTATCTTCTTCCTACAAGTTTCTTGTTGTCAAGCAGTACAGGAGCTACTGATGTCAAATAGCTGTTTCAAAAGTAATCCCCAAGCATTTACGTGCTTGGTTTTTAAATCTGTCCTTCATGATTTTTGCAAGCATTCTTAAACCATCTCACACCGGAGACCCATCTGGGAGTCATCTTGGAACTGCAGATCAAATTGGTCAGACAAAACCAACTGCTACTTTCTTCCCTACAAAGTTCATACTGTTGGAAATCTGTTAAGAGCTCAGCTCCGGGGACTGCAAGTTAATGTGCAGCATTCTAAGCAGAAAAGGTCATGGAAGCACTCTAGATAAAAGCCATTAAAAGGGTTTTGCTGACGGGATAATTGAGAGAAGAGAAGGCAATCAGGTTAAGCATGTGTACATGTAATTATTCTGTCTGTAGCTACGTGCAGGTAGCATGTAAACCCTGCACAGATACCCACAGCCAGACTTCAGGTCTTAAATACAGATCTCTGACAAAGCCCTGGACAAGTCTCCTGCTCCACCCAACATCCCTAATTCTGGGCTGGCAGCTTCCAGGTCTCAGCACGGCAGGCTCAGGGAGCTGCAGGTTTTCTCTGTGGGAGGATTTGGCTCTTTCAGTGCACTGGAAGCCCTGGGGAGATTTCTTCCTGCAAAGCCGCTTCCCCTGCCCACCTGCCACCAAGCCGTGCTGTGCTCTGAGCAGCAGCAGGTGCATGGACACAGGGCCCTCTGCTCTTCTACACGTGCCAAAGTATGAAATTCAGAAGTACAAGGTTTGGCACTAACTGCTGAGTTCTGCTTCCTGCAGCTGGAAAATGCCTCTGTTCCTTTCTCACAAGGACGAAATTTCACTTCTTTATTAAGAACTGGGAGTGAGGAGCCTCACCGTGACAACCGCTAATTTCATGGCCTTTGTAAAGCCATTAAAAGCAATGCAAAGCGGGAGATGGCAAATGACACTGAACAGTGATAAAACCTAGAGCTACAAGATCCCGATGCTACAGCTCTGACCTCCTTCTGTACAGCAGCAGCTAGACCCAAACCAGCATCCATGGATGGCTTGGTGAGGGAAGGTTACCACATGAAGACTTTCGGTGAAAAAGCCTACGTGAAAACTAAGGAAAAACTTATGGAAAAGTCTATTAACTTTTGCTGAGACTTTGCTGGCCTTTCAAGGTGTCCATGCACAGCACAGTGTTGACTTAAAACAATGTCAAAGGACACATTAAGGATTATGAACATAATAAGCACATAAGACTGGTTTTGGGATGTGCATCAACAGAAAAGTGTATCAGCTGAAGTAGACAAAAAAAGGTTAATTCCAATGCAAGGAGTCTAATGAAAGCTCTAATTACACACCTTGCCTTGGCTAAATCTGAGAGAGATTTTCATGGAAAGAGAAGCTCAAAAGTCTTCCTTTTACTGAGATAAAAGGATAGCCACAACATAAAAGCTGGAAGATTGCTTTCTCAAATCAGTCTGTAGAAAATGCTAAACAGGGCCAACAGTACTGAGCAGAAACAACATCACTGCCATGCAGAAAGACATTTGTACACCTCACAAAGCCACTCATATGAAAAGATATTGGAAAACTTCAGTTTTTCATATGGCAATGAAAAGTCCTGAGGGACACTGTTTAAATAAGTAAAATTTGCCCTATGCGGAAGGCTGGCCCAAATCCCTGTGAAAAGTAACATCAAAGTAAGGAACAGCTGGAGAAGCTCTGATGAAGGAAGACCTATATACACAGAGCATCAAAGGATTACGCTGAATATCACTCTGAAAAGACTTTCAAGATTTAGAGACAGTCAAACTGCCTGACCCCGGAGCTCGGCAGTTCAGTGCTTTGGCAGTAAGTCTTGCTGACATTTTATCTAGTTGACATTACGTGCCAGTCTCACTACAAGTTTAGATCATCTTTCAGCATCTTGCTAGTTTGGCTGCATTGCAGAGGCTGGAAACATTTGAAGAGCTGATTACTTATCAGTGGCAAACACAATGCCAGAGGGCTAATAAGGGATTAATGGAGCGGGCTCTGGTATAAATCCACAACTTGTATGGCCAGTCAATATTCTTCCCGACAAAGATGCCAATGTGCTGATCTGCTCCTGCCAATGGGGTGATCAGCTCCCAGTGCTCATTTCCTGCCAGGCTTTGACTGCAGAGCACATTTGATTAATATGAGGTATTTCAGGTATTTTTCATCAGCAGACAGACAGGTTCTTGCCAGCACGGCTCACATCATTTAATGCATGTCAGAATAGAGGTGGTGGTGGTCATAGCAGGAGAGAGGGATAGACTGGAGTGTGTGTCTTTGACATTTATCTCGGCTCATATTAAAATCAGAGTGTGATTTACAGGGCAGTTTCACACATGGCTTTCCGTACTCCCACTGGTTTGGTTTGGGAAGGACATTCTAGAGCAAGAAAACACTGGTTTCTCCTGTCATTTCCCAACTGCAGGAAAGATAAACGAGCAGGGTTTTGGACAGCAGAGTGTTACTTATAGAGTCTTCATATTAATCCAATTTCCAACTACACCCATTCTAGTTACCCTCCCTTCTTCTCAATTCTAAATGTAAAAAGAATTCAGGCTCTTTTTAGAGCAGACTTCAGTGACTTGCACAGAAATCGAGTAAGGCATCTATTAGGAGATGGCAGCTTCCAGCATCCATGAAGTAATTATGTAGTGCTGTTATTAAATGCAGCTATAAAAAAATCAGAAATAACCAGTTTTTCATCTTTGTCTGCCCAATGCTGAATAGCTAGAAACTACATCGAGACAACCAGGCCAGTGCATGTAGTCATGCAGTATAAACACTCCAAATAGTTAATATGGATGCAGGACTGATTTCTCTTAATTTATAACAGAGGATTTATACCCTTAGAAATGACAATGGACAGCCAATCAATAAAGGATGATGATAACAGCACATAATATCAAGGGAAATTAGAATCAGCTGCAGGGTTTAAGAAAAAAAGAGTGTGAAGTCCAAACCTGGATCTTAACAGATGGAAGGTTAAGGTGATACGATAGCTTAAAATGTCTAAATAAACAAAGTAATGAGTTGCAAGCATATTCACAACATAGATTCAAATTCTGTGTGGAAACCAATTCTCAGTGGAGAATGGTGGGATACAAAACATTAATCCTGGCTGTAAAGAGAAGGAATTTTTAAAACAGCATTTCAAGGTCTGCTATAAATACTTCTAGGAAGATGTTGAGTGTGTCTAGACTCCTCTAAACTGTGAGGGTTTAGATGCCCTAAGACAAAATACAGATAGATTCCCGTTTTAATTGTTGTGGTTAATTAGTGTTGCATGCAAATAATCTTTTCTTAAAGATCTCCCTACAACTCAAGCTGCATCTAATCATGTTATAATGAACTCCTAGTAACAATTAACAAACAACTACGTAATCTTCACTGACTATAAATTAACTGAGGTTCTGTAAAACTGCAAGCTTTTAAAATAGTTTAATTGTTTTATGACCAATAATGTAGGGACCACGTACTGTCCGGTGCTCAGAATCCAGCACAATCCCTTAATTATGGGAATATAAGAAAGCTTTAAGGGCCTGGTACTTAATTATCCTACAGATTTTTATACCAATCTAGAGGTGTAAACATGCCTTACACTGGTTGTAAAAAGTAATTACATATCCTATTTTGAATGTAATTTATACCCTTCTTAAGGCACTTACCAGAAAGGTATGGAAGGGCCATAACATAAAAATCAGGGCTTTAAAGATCATTTTATCTTCCTTTGCAAATGTCTGCACCGTTCCCAAAGTGCTACAAAACATGCTTTCTACACAGGCTCTATTTCTCTTTCTACAGTTCCCTTAAAGTTCATCCCATATTTCTAAAGCAAGCTATTCTGTGACCATCAGAGCTAATGGCTTAGATTTGCTCTGTGCTTGTCTCAAGTATTGCCTGCGTGGCATATTGCATATCTTGACCACCATAAACCCAATTCCCTACCATATTCTTTATGCCACTCCTACAGGAGGAGCCTCTGCCTCCTCACGTGTCCTATAAATCCGTTCCACAGACCCCAGCTCTCCCCAGCATCTCTATTTATAACTTCAGCTGCAGATGATTCTGACCTGCTAGTGTGCTAAGATGTCATCATGAAGGTCAGGAAAAATAGATAAATTCTGAGCTCATGCACAGCTTTTTCTAAAAAAAGGATGGCAGTAGGGTCTTATTTTGTTTCTGCTTAGGTGCTTGAATTTCTGTTTCCTACTTACTTTCTTTCTCCCCAGAGCTGCCTACTGGATTTGACTGAACTGACCATTCATCTACAAGTTGTTAGCTGTGACTACCATCTTCTCCCTAGGAAAAAATGCATTAAACTGTGACAATAAACAATGTCTTGTTCTGATTTGCTCACCTCCCTGCAGGGTGTACTCAGTCACTGGTCTGCTGAAGGCTCCCAGCCCAGCTCCATTGTAAGATGCCACCTGGATTTCATACTGGGTCCAAATGATCAGGTCTGTCACTAAGCAGTAGTTAATTTCTGCACTGGTAATGTTTTTATACTGGTATTCTCCAGGGAGGCCAGCCAGACGATACCTATCAGACAGGAAGAAAAACTTGCAGTTAATTGGTTGGTATCAATTACAGAAAATATCCTGACTAACAAAAGAGCTTCTTTTGTGAACAGGTAATATCCTTGCTTTTACAGTAGAATTATACAAAGAATAATGAAAACTAATGAGAAACAACAGACTAACTCCTGATAAGATCACGTCTGGTTTGACTGCCATAGTATTTATAATCTGATCTCACTGAGATTACACGCACAGGGCTAAACAAAATGGGTACTTTATCCTGCTTTATGGCTGCAGAAAAATTACAGCTTTTTAAATGTGGCTTGTCTAGTAAAACCTGTGATTTAGTAGGAAAAATTGCCCAGATGTGATTTTTATCAGGGTGCTGCTGTAAATCAGCTTGAGAAATGCTCTTTTCCTCCTCTGAAGTCTGAAAAGGAGAACTCAGAGGGCTCTGACCTTCGGGTGCTGTGGGCACTGCCATCTCTGCCTCCCACCTGGATTTACTTCAAGGTGTAATTAAAATAAGGACTGAATAGATTTGAGATGGAAGGATTGGTTAAGCATGGAAATTTCAGGAGGGCTGAACCAGGTAAGGGTGAGTGGTGTACACCCAGACAAACCCTTTGCTGAAGTATGTGAAGCTGGAAAACAGAGTATATTTTCCCCTGTAGAAACTGTATTACATAAAACAACCCTTTTGATGTGTCTCTTTAGGCCAAGAAAGTACAGAGAATAAATAAGCTATGGAAAACAAACCTTACAAATCTCTGAATGTGAATAACTCTGTGTTTTCCTTCCTTTGTTGAAATGCTACAATGGATGCTTGTGATGTGTTAACATCACACCAAATCAGAAACACAGTGACCAAGTCAGAGTCGTGGGGCATTGCAGTCCCACCAAAACAGACAAATTTAGGAATGCTTGGGTTCTTATTCACCAAAATAGTTTTACTCACTCTCATTCATTGTTTGCCTCACAACAAGCACCAAAATCTTATTAGCACAGAACAATTTCATTGACATCTTAAGGACCAATTTTAAATTTATCTGAGTTAAATCTGCACAGCTAGACAACTTCCACAAGTATTTCAGCAACAGATTTTGTTCTAAACTCTTCCCCTAATCAGGTCAGCTCTTGATCACCAACCACCCCCTTCTCCTCTGTTGTGGAGCTCCTCGTCTGACTGTATTTTGTCATATCAGCATTTGTGATCCTACAATTCCCTTTATGAAATAGAAATGGAAATAAGGAAGTATCAGCTCTCAGCTGAGTTTATTGAATGCCTTTCTCTCTTTCTCTTTTTCTCTCTTTCTCTCTTTCTTCCTTTCTTTCCTTTGTTCCTTTCTTTCCTTTCTTTCCTTTCTTTCTTTCTTTCTACTTTATGTGACATCTACCTATTCCTTTATTTGTCTCCTGCCAAAGCTGTATGCATCTTGGCAAAGCCGATTGTTGGCACAGAGCTGTTTTGTCTCACACCTAGCAGACAAGGTGCAGAGTGCTCCTGTGATTTAATCTATTATGCTGTTAGCATGGCACTCCCCTAAATGCAATACTGCCATGGAGAAAAAGGGCAGAGAAAGAAGGCCAGTTCAGAAATGTCATGTCTTCATGATTTTTCTCACCACGGACTTTGATGTATACTCTATGTGACTTGTGCAGTGCACCTTCACTTTTAAAGATCAGGTGTTCCATCAGTTTAGTATCTTGCATGTCTTCAGCGTCAGGTCTCTGGGATGCACGGTAGTGTATCCTAATTCTATAGAAATCAGTGCAGGAAGACCTTTCGTCAGTGCACATATTGCTGCGGCCACACATTCTGACTTGGGAGAACAGCTTGGTTTATTACCTGGGACAGCTGTGCTTTTATATGATAATCTTAAATTCCTTTTGAATAAATGCTTTTGCTGCTCTGCGGTCTAGACAAAATGTGTAGACATCAAAAATGTCCACAGACTGAGCATAATGAATATGATCACTCCCTGCTAAAATGGAAAGAGATGTTACAGTGAGGACCAGAATCAATTATGCTAATAACAGTTGTAGAAAACTCTTAAGCTAAACATGACTGGAAATGCTATACAGATTAAATGGAGCAGATTGCCAGACGTGGGAGGCTGCAGGATTGCTTCTGACCTAATGCTGAGATTGGTTCAGACATACCAGGAGTAGCTTAGGAGTTAATCTTATCGTCCAGTAGGCTTGTTTGAAGAAAAGAACTCTACAAACAACGTTGTATCCTACGCAGAGGGGTACCCAGCTCTCATGATAAGATTTAGCTAAGGGCAGAAGCTGAAGCATCATTTCCCACCTGACAGCGATGACTGGCACTGCTTTCAAACTGAGCCCCAGCTCTTAAAATCCAGCATTCCTTCCAGTGGCTCACCACTGTCATAAGCTCAGTACAGGTGACAGGGAGATTAACCATCTTCAGCTCTGCCTATAGAGTGAAGGAACTTTCCAGCTCTATTTTGGGAATTCACCAACATTCCAGCACCAGAAAACAATTTCCACCCATGCCAGCAAAAGCAGGAGCACAGCACAAACAGGAGTTAGTTAAGCATTTAGTTAACTTCTAATAGGTCTGGAAGATCCTGTGTTAAAAATGTCAGCAACCTGCCTACAATAGGCCATAAGCATTTAGCAGGAAATATATCAGTGGAGGTGCAATGCTTGGGAGTTTCCCACAGAAATTCTGATTTAGATAGTGCCTCCCTTATGAAAGGGATGGCCCCAGCTGGCTGCTAACATAGCAGGAAATGTAGGAAGCCAAATAATCCAGTAAGCTGTAGATGAATTGGGCAGGAATGAATAACTGAGTCCTAAAACATAAGAAAATGGAAGTGCTCAGCAAAGTCTCTTCGTGTGGCAGCACCCTTTCCTAAAAATAAATCCCGTGTAAGCAAAAGATTGAATGAATTACTGATTCCCAGTTACTGTCTGAATCTGTTTTTCATTAATACAGCTGAGACTGAAAGAATTTCACTCAATTGACCGGTTTTCAAAACCAAATCAAGGTCTGCCACAAAGCATTTGACCTGTCATTCCCCCTCTCCATTTTGTTTGGCACAAAACTGATAGTTATTGATTCTATTCTTGCTCTTCCATAGTGCAGGAGTCCTTTGTTTGTTGTGTCTTTGGTAAGGTAGTTAAACTCTCGAGCTGAGGTTGTAATAAGCACAAATACATCTGCAATGCACAGGCTGCACCGTACCAACTTCCCACTTTACCATAATTAGAATATTTGAAAATGGAAAAAAGTTATCTGGATGCTCAGTCTCCACACTCATCCAGAGCACCTAACAGCAAAAAGCAGACTGGAGCTCACTAAGAAAGGCTGGAATTTGTATGTCTGCACCCTTTGGGCTGTTTGAACACAGGCATTTTCTCGTCTGCAACAAACCAATGCAGCCGCGGCGGTTGTAAAGAATAACTAATATATTTGATGGAATTAGGAATAGCTTTTCATACATCCTCGAATCACACCATTAAGAGCTCCCTCATGCACACACCAGTCTAGTTCTAGACCTTGGAGGGAAGAAAATTACTCACCTTAGGATGTACCCATGAAGAACTCCGTTATGCTCACTCTCAGGAGGAGGCTGCCACTGGACCATGATGGACTGATTGGTGCGCCCGCTGGCCACGATGTTTTTAGGTGGGGCGCTGGGCGGCTCCTCAGGTAGCATCAACCTGAATGCAAAAGAATGTGGCAGAGGTGGTTGTCAAGATAAAGGATAAGGAACATTTCTATTTCATGGATCCAACTCCAAGCGAACCAGTTTCGTTTATCAAAGTCTGATGACTTGAAAGAAATACAATGCTGATCAGACTGCTGAAGACATGCATGAAATAGTTACAACAAATCAACATAATAAGAAATCAGTTAAGCAAGTAGAAAGACAGACAGCTGAGGTAGCCTTATTCTCTCTGAATCACCCAGGCTGCTACAAATCTTTAAAAAGATTACAAGCCTGAATGAGCTAGAGCTCAGGTCCAGTGTCTGTGACTTCTTCCAAATTGTTTCTTTCAGCTCTTTCAATATTTTTCATATCAAATTCCTACATTTTGAAAAAGCCATTTAGAGTTCAGCTGTTCTGCAATTCAAGCTCACAGCAAGCTCTGGTTCACAGAGGAAGGGGGATGCATTTGAAACTAAATTTGATGAAGCCATCCTTCTATGTCACATCTGGGTGAATTCCAGAAGTAACATTGCAATGATTGGGTGAAAGCTGTACTCCTTGCAGGGCTAACTGCAGTGACTTAACACAATAGGAATAAAAATATTTTGCTTGCACGTATACCTATTTGACCACCTTCCAGGATAATGCTCACTGATACATTGGAAACACAAGGGCACCTCTCCCATTGCGTGCTGGTTTCCCGCGTCGCCTAATTGCCATTACCACCAATTACTGACAGCCGCAGAGCACTCTCTGGAGACCTGGGTAATGATAACTGCTCCCCTCCTCGGTTATTGTGCAAAAGATAACTTTATTTTGTTCTCTCACAACAACATTTTTTTCTCCCACATGTACGCAGTATGCAGGCGTTTATTTTTGCCGTACCTGCTGGTCTCGGAGCTGTACTGGCCTTTTCCCACCTGGTTAACTGCACACACCCTGAACTGGTAGGTTCGGGCTGGGGTGAGTCCACTCACAGTGACACTGGTCATCTTCGGGTCCAGATTTGATAGGTGAACCTTCCAGGGAGAATCTGTCGGAATAAGGAACATTTGAAATTGGTGGAAGTGCTTGTTGAAAGCTCTGCAGAAGGGAGGATGTGTCTGTGGCTGCACGGGGCTCCCTCTGCTTGTTTTCCTCAGAGGAACTTTACCAAGAAGTTTCTTTGCAGCAAAAGAAGCGTTCCTGTCAGCCCACACGGTTATGCAGATTGCACATTTGTCTATTGGAAAGTGATGCTGCACATGTCATGGCATAATAAATAAAAACTATATTCATTAACATTTTAATAAAAGAGGAAACAAGCATGATAAAGACAGATGGGCTGTGTATTTCACAACCCATCTGTTTGGCAGGCCATTACAACACCACACCCATGAGTGGCTCTGGTGGAAGGTCTGTAATGAAATTCGTAGGCAGTTTGGAATATCTCTCTACCCAGCTTGCAAGCAGGTGTAGAAGTGTGATGTTCTCTGCCAAATCAGACCTTCACTATAAGACCTGAGAAAGCTTCTGCTTCGGATTCTCCATGTTTTATTCTTTTTCCAGTACTTGGCGTTCCGTCTACTCATTTCCTAGGAAGGCTCCCTGGTATAAACAGCCCCAGCAGTACTATAAAACCTTTGCTGTCAGTTCAGATACTTCACACGCTGAGCTCCTCTGATGCCCAAACTGTATTTTCAAGTTTTCAAAGAGGTCAGAAATTAAGCATGTTGAAAATTAAATATCCTGACTTCTTTTCTTTCCAGCCTGATGGTATATATTCTCCCCAAAGTCATGACTGAAGCAGTGAAGGAGACGTGACATTTGGTTTGAGATGCAACAGTACAGCAATGGAAGCAGCCAACTTAAAGATTTGTTCAGTTTTTAAATAATACCAGCTGTTTTCAAGCTCCCTGCTCAAAATTACAAATACTTCTGGAAATGACTTGAGGAGCTAGCTGTAGATTTTGGCAATGTATCTGTGCATGCTGCTCATCAGAAGTGCACTGCAGCTCCTGGCAGGTCACCTCCACGTCTGCCTGAAAATGAAGATGAGATGTCCCAAACGTGAAAGGAAAACTTCACACCAAGATGTAAACCACTAATTCAGTGTTTTTCTGGCAGATTCCTTAGCAAGTTTAAGTCTACTGGGTTGTGATGCCTGTTGGGCTATACACTCTGCATCTTCAAATTATTCAGAATATATTTATTCCAGTAATGGCTTTCTGAGAACAAAGTCTTTTTTAACAAGAAAACTGACACAGCAGAATACTGTGAATGCTGAAGAGGGACATTTGCACAGCAGTCAGGTTCCATCACTGCCAGCTGTTGATGATTTGCCGTCAGCCGCTTCTGCTGCAAGGTCTGGGTGGCGATGATCTGAATGCATTGCTGGGCGTTGTTTACAAAGCACTCAGAGGAAGGATACCTGCATTAGTTTGGTGCACCCTAGTTCCTTCCTTTTAAATCAAGTTTCTCTCGAGGCTTTACAAACAACTGCTTACACTGTTGACATCCAGAGAGCACAGGACCCAATCAAGATTCAGCCATGGCTGACTTAGTAAGTTGCCTGAAGCAGCTGCATGAGGAAAGGGAAGAACAGACAACACTAAGAGAGCAAAATACCCTTGTATGAGCTCTTGGGTAGTGGTCCATTTCCTAGAGCAAATCAGTTCCATTTGTTAACTGCTAGTGTAAACACCACCTGAGAGTGCTTAACCCAAGCAGTTCAATGCAGTGAGCAGTTTGATTCAACAATAGGGCCTATTAATCTCCTCAGCACCTTGAGGCTCTGCTCTGTTTATATGCTGCATCTGTAGAATACTTTATTTATTCTTTTTCTTCTCTTGGTGGAAGATAAAAGATCTGGCAGGAAGAGAGATTAAACTGAAAACTAATACAAACGAACCCTATTCATCTCTTGGGCATTCTGAGTCCTAAAGGGAAGAGGTTTGGGGGGGACTTGCTTGCTCCTGGAGCAGTGGATAAAGGAACTGTGCAGAGTAGCTTCAAAATTTAAAAGTCTTTTTTTTTTTTTGGACAATCAGTCAATAAACTAAACATTCTGAGAGGCCATTACCCCTCCTTAAACACAGAAGGGAGCCCAGCATAGTACAGCAGTTCCTTTTACTGCGTAGAAAAGCAGTTCTGACGTTGGAAACCTTCCATAGGATTTTCAGCACTGACTCCCATCTCCTTCAGGGATGATTGTCACCTGTCTGTCCCAGGAAGCCTGGAGAAGCTCCACAGTGAGAGACTTGCCAGGTCAAACTAATAAATAAATTGAACAGACCACACTAATCCTTCATTTAACTTAAGCTGCCCAGAGTGTACTCTGGGCTTTGCTTGCTTGCTCTTCTGCTGTAATTGTCACTGTTTGAAAAACTCATGGCTAGTTGTCTATCTTCTTAAGGATATTGGGTATTCTGAATTAATTCCAATTGCCTCTCCAAGTTAATTTCTTGGAAACCAAGAATCTCACAGGCTACTCTTGAGCTTACAGTGCAATTTTTGGCTTTGAGAAATGACATGTTCTGTTAAGAGTTTTTGGATGCACTCACAATATATATGTTTGATAGCACTGGTTATTCACCAAGAGGCATTCCTTTTAAATTTCCCTGTCTACCTCACAATTCTTGCACTGATTGCAAGTTCCTCAAAAATCATTTCTTTTTGATATTGCAGACCACATCCACTGCAGAAATCTAATTTTTGCAGCTTTGGAGTACATTTCCATCTCTTTTCTTCTCCAGGGGTTTAGCACAGACAGACAGAATCTGTCTTTCATGACAATATGATATTGCAAAAAGTTCAAACAAAAACAAAATTTTTCATCCTTCTTTGGTAGGACTTCAACAAAGTACACCACTGCCCTGAGAAAAAGTATCTTTCAGCACCATCATTTGTGGATCTGAGTCCTGTTTGTAGAAAACAGTGTTGTTTTGCAAAGATTTATCCCTGTGTTCAATTTTTATCATTTCAATATTCGTACCAAGTTCAGCAAGACAATTCATGAACTCAAAGTGAAGCATGTGCAGATGCTGTTTATAGGAGCTTTAATTATCTCCTCATTGGCATGATGTGATGAATTTGAGTTGTATGATTACATTGCACAGATATCTCAGAATATAATAAATCAGAAATGTATTTTAATGTTAACTACACTTGACAGAGTTCTCTAAGTATTAATTTGCTCAGATAAAAAATTGGTCAGAATAATTTTTGATTAATCTCTGAAATCTGAACTTTTTTTTTTAGAGTAAAATAAGTGGAGCTTCTTCCAACTCCATGAGGATGTTTCATAGGGGTTCCTAGGAATGCTGCAACACTGGTTAAAGAGGTCATGAAACATCCAAAAATCACATTAGTGCAAATAACAGCAACACATGCTACTATTTATTTGAAAATCTCATTTGAAATGAAGGTTCACATTCCTGGCTCCATGTGGGCAGAATAGTTAATGACTGTGTTTCCCTGGAACTGTGCTTTTCAAATTAGATTATAAATTTGCCCCCAAATGTTCAAGGCCATATGCCTCAAATCACCCACAGACACAGCCTACTGTGAATACTTGTAATTTGAGAATTATTACATTATGCCAAATATATTCATTTTAAAAATTAGGTGACTTGGTGACTGGAGTCGTTCATATTTCCAGCAATTTATGCATGCGATCTGCCACTGTTTTTTTCCTCTAATTAAAATAAGGTTTTTATATCTCTTTACTGAATTGATATTAATGAAAAGGATTTCTAATCCACGCCAGGTGGAGTGATACGCCTCTCTCTAATGTAGCTAGTAATTAGTCCTCTGAAATCTACACTCATTATTTTGAACCCTCTTCAGCTAGTCCTCTGAAACTGATACTGTTATTATGGATTCACTTACGGTACGTGTTTCAAAATGCACAATGGATCCAGAAAGCGATTAGAAAATTATTTGAAGCAAAACTGCTAAAAGAACAAACAAAACTAGACTTCATTTTGGCATTTGTAACAGCAAAGCCAAACTCATGCATTAAAGCATCCACAGAATGAAGAACAATACCTTCTATGCAGCTTTGCTAACTGGAAAATAAATCATAATTCTGATGCCCCTCTCTAAGCTTTAGATGTGTGAAAACAAACAGGGATTAGGATGTTTAGCATATTGCACTGCTGCTGATGGTGGAAATGTGACAGCCATGAGCACATGAGCTCATGGAAGGCATATGTTGAGTCCTTGACAGTTGCCCTTTCCGCAGCACAAAAAGGGCCAATGGAAAACCTGATGAAAGATTTTCTTTGGAAAGCAAAGAGAGATTCTGCACAGTTATATCAGGCAACAACTGTACTTTCATGAGATCAAAAGTCAGCTTCATTCATGAACATCACGAGGGGGCAGGGGGAACATGACAGGACCAAGGAAAGATGCTGTTTTCCAAAGGAGTAGCAGGTTTGAAACCTAGATATTAACCACACACTAACAAGATCGCAATGACTCCAAACCAAACATTTGAGGAATATAAAACAAAACGAGACACTGAAAATATGCAGACATTTCAGCCAGCTTTGTCAAGAGAAGTCACTGTTGACGTTCCACCACGCTGCTGACATCTGTAAAGCTGAGCAATAATATATAAAATGAGAGAGCACACACAGTAAGAGTGGAATATTGAAGGACTTGGATTCCTTCTAGTCCTACTTCTATGGGTAACCAGTTAGAGACTGTACATAAAAGCAAAGTAAATAAATGCAGAGATAAAAACCTCAAAGGAGAGCAAGGTCTAGAATACTTCTGGGAGTTCAGATGCTCAGACGACAACAAGCCTGGTCTGTGTTTGGTTTATGCAGCTGAAGTACATATACCTATGATTTGTGATAATGAGACTCTCTCAGTGGTTGATTGCAATGCCATCAGCCAAAATTATTGATCTATCATGGAATGAGCGAGGGTTCACAGGATCCTGTGGAGCTTTGAGAGACTGCATAATTTCTGGAGCACTACTGCTGATTTCTGCTGAGCCTTCCACAATTTTCAGGAAACAAATTATAGCATTCTTGAAATGATGGCATGTCTACTCTATGTCTGTACTAGACCTGCAAGGCCTCACTGTTACAAAGATGCTTAAAGACCTTCCAAATCTGACCTAGAGGCTGAGTGGGCTCTGTGATGCTTCCCAGTTAGTGCAGCACAGTGCAGGACTCACATGCGTACCTCTGGCCAGCTCTGTGCTGTCTCCACGTAAATACAGCTCTGCTATTTTTGCATCATGTCCCCAGACTGAGTGTTGATTAACTTGTCTCTGTCAAAGTCACTGGGAGACATGAAACACTCAGGGCAATAACCCCAAGTGAAAGAACGGGCACAGGGAGTGAAAACGCACTTACTTACTGCCTATAGTCAATATTAGGAGAGAGAAGAGGGATGATAAAACAGACAGTGATAAAAAGGTGTAGTGGGGTGTGAGCTCAGAACACTGTGAATTTTCTCAGTCATTAGTTATAAAAAATAAATAAATCTGGAACTGTGTTAAGGACAGCAATCCCAGACACCATTTGGGATTTCCATTACAAAACTGCACTTCTTGCAACAGATGTCAAGATCATCAGTTCTGGGGCCTCTGTATCTGAAAAGCTATGCACTCCAACCTGCAAAGCACAGGGCTTGTATGTGATCTGAAGCTCAAGTCTCATCTCAAGCTCTCTGTGTGGCAAAACAAAATGCTACTCTCCAGATAATAAGAAATCAGCACTGTTTCGCATTCACTAATGCAGCAGCTAATTTCCACATGTCAGAAAAAGTGATGCTCTTTATTTTTTCATCAAGAACCAATTGTTAGGCTTGGATTTCCAGCTCCTAGTGTGATAGAGATTAGAAAGTATTGCCAAGGTGACCGATTTCCATATAACCTCATCTTTCCATCAACTCTGAAAGAAGCGTTTAGCAGTGTCCCTGAATGACCTTGCAAACAGAGTCAGAAAGGGTGAGCCATGCAGCATGCCAAACCTGTGAGCAGTGGTGATTCACAGTGATCAGGATTGCAACCTATGAAGGCTACAAACAAAGGTAGAATATTTGTATGTCTCATGGTTCAGTATCCTCAGCCACCTACCTGAAAGAAAACTGTAAAACAACAACCTAGAGAAACTGGAGAGAACGTATGAAACCATATACAGACATAGCAACAGATCCTATTGACATCCCAGTTTGTTCCTATGACAGACCATCAATTCCTTATGCTATCAGACTGCCTACACTTTTCAGGTGAAGCTGGGGCTCTGAATGCATCAGGGTATCTATGAGCACAGAGCAAAGGACAACAGGAAAGAAATAAAATGTGACTCCTGCTATTTGACAGATGTCAAATAGAAGCATGGAGGGATGAGCTGATATGCTTGAAGTCAGGCTGGCAATGCTGGAAGTGGAACTAAGGATTCCCTGTATACCAAATCCACTGTATCAGGTCTTTTTTTGTAGTTGAACTCTATAAGGGTGTTAACAGTTGAGTGTAATACCCAGGACTTCCCTGTATACTGTCCCTTATTTGGCAAATAACAGTAAGGTTTTGTTGGCAGCTCTGGTAAAAGCTAAGTCTGCAAGGCTAAATAATTAAGACAAATATGAAGTTGGGACATATCTGACTTTACTCACTGTTCTCAGAGACCTCGACCATGTAGTAGAGGACGGGGCTGTTTCCATCAAAAGGACGCACCCAGGAAAGCACCACACTGCGGCTGTACGAGGAATTCAGGATGGCCAGAAGATTCTGAGGGGAATGAGGCAGCTCGCTGTGAAGGAAAAGAGAAAGGAAGATAAAAAATGCACAGCAGAATCAATCTGTATTTCATTCAGGACAGTTGTATAGGCAGCTAAAGGCACATGACATCAGACTTATACGATGACAGATATAAAACTACCAGCAGCCATTGTGCAATTAAATAAATGAAAGGCATCTCTACATTATTCACAATTTTGTCCTATTTGGGAAAAAAAACCCACAACTTTTGCAGAAAGTCCCAAGGCTGATGCTTAGAACAGCTAATGGAAATGTTGCTAAATGAGGAAGAAGCCAATTTTCATACTGTTTTTTGATTGAGACAAGTTGGTCAATAAATTTCCTTCTCACTTCTTTTCCCCTTCTTACAATGATGGCCTAGAAACATGACAGCAGTAATGCATATAAACAGTAAAACACATGGGAGATATGATTTAACATGGAATTTTTCATACTCAAGGAAGCAGAAGACATTGACACTATCCATATAGAGCTACTAATCAAAATTACCATATGTATTCTTAGGCTACAGAACAGCTTGATTTACTCATGGATTCAGGCTTATCCTGTCATGGGTAGAATCCTTCCTTCTTATAATAAGGATTTTTTTGGAAGCGCCCAACCAGAAAATGTAGAGAAAATGCCTGTAGAAACCCCACAGAAATACAAAATGAAACATTAAAAAATAAAAATAAAACAGCAACTCAATTAAAATGTGTAATTTCTCGGCATAAAGGCAATTTATGGAACAACATTTCATTTGGACTCATTTCCTGAAAGTCAGAGCCTGCATGGTGCAGTGAGAAAACTAAATTCTGCTACATTCCTTATGTGCTGAACTGCATCCAGCAACGAGTCCTTCAGCAATTATATTCAAGCCTGACTTTTGTTCCTTCCATTCTGGTTTTTAGGAGGACAGGAATCTCTGAGAGGAAAGGAAGAGCAAGGAGGACCAGTTGTTGCCCATTCAGTCAGTGCTTCTTCCCAGGAAAGCTCAGTGGCATCTTTCCCTCAGCATGAGCTGCTCATCTGCTCTGGCCAGAGCAGAAAGCCACAAGCAGACCTTATATACTTAATATTAAAACCAGTAATTTCACACAGTAATGTATCAAGCTACTGAAGGCTTACAGTTATTTAAAAACCGCAACTCCTCAGCCACTCACAAAAGTAAATACAGACTCTGGCTTTAAGCCAGAAGAATGATTATGCTCTGGATTCAGGTTTCTGCTGGAAGATTGAGGAGGAGCCAAAGAGTTACAAGAGAAATGCATGAGTAGAAGGCTCTCATTTCCCACCTCTCCCCAGGCTGGAAGGGCTTTAGGGCTCCATTCCTAGGGCTGAGCTTGAGACTCCATGGGTCCTCCCCTCTCATTTGATTTTAAATGCCTAAGCAAATCAGAAGCATGGTCACCCCAGGCTCTTTCTGTGGAAAGACAACTTGGAGGATCATTTTGGTATTAATGTCATTCAAGTGCTTGGCCAAGACACCTTGATCTTTCCACTGATTACAAGTTTAGGTATCACTTGGGTCAGGGCTGGCAGCACCCAGGCTTGGATTTTTGTGCAAAAGCAGCAGATATATGGTCAGTTTTGGATTAGAGGAAACATCAGGCACAGACAAGAGCATGAATACGCCCAACAGATGCAAACTTTGAGCAGAGTGCTGCAAAGCTTAGGGAAGAGGGGGATGTGAAAGCAAAGTAGAAGGGCAGCTGGCCTGCAAGGCAAAATAGAAGAAAAAAACCTGCCACATGAGAAGCATGGAGTGAGGTTTAAGACACAGCCATTTACACAGGGACTACAGGCGGGTGCTACTTAATTTTGAATGAAACATTAAATTATAATAAACATTAAACCTCCGCTATAACTTATCATCGTGTCCCTGAGCAAGCTGGCTAGAAAAATGTTTTTGTGATTAAGTTGGCAAAGGAAATTACTGCAGGAGAGTGAAACCTCTTGTTGTGACGGCTCGAGAAGTCGCAGTCCCCACTTCATTTATCACCAGGCCCAGTGGGATGAGCTCAGTGCTGGACTGAGGCTCTGGCTCTTCCAGAAGGTAATGCTCACAGAGAGCAATGTGGAGGGATGGCCAGGAGGGAGCTGACTGCAAACCTATCCTTTGGGATCTCCTCCTCCAACAACGGGACAAACTGCTGGAATCTGTTGAGGATATTCTCAGGGTGTGCATTTACTGGGTAATCTTGTTTTCCCTTATGTTCAGAAGATCTGAACCAACAGTTGATTTGAGGACAGAGGCTACGCTACAGAAGGAAGAGGCTACACGAGTAAAAGGCCTTATGGATCACTCCTTTTTTCTCGGGGCACAAACAATAGAAGACTTTGGCAGGAGAAAAGACTTTCCTTTCTTCACATTTTTCAAAGCACAATTTCAGGTTAAATGTGGTGTTGTTTTTTTTTTGCTGACGATTTGCGTTTAGTTGATGATTCTGTTAGGTTGACACAAAATGGCAATCTGTCAGCAACATGATGGAAACAGGCGCCTCTGCTCAGACTGGACAGCATGAGCTGCAGCAGCCAGACAGCACACCTATCTCCACTAATATCATATTCTTTACCCATATGTGTCCACACTGAACAGCAACAGATGGTGCTCACAGATTTAAATCCCCCAAGACAGACATTATAAGTGGCTAAGAAACACACCTGGACAGAAATAAATATTTAAAACTACAAAGACTTTCCAGCACAGAAGTGTACTTTTCTCTCTGTAGTATACAAAAGCAGAGATTAATAAATAGCAGCTCCTACCTTAGCAAGCACTTGCACATTGTTCCCCTCTCACTTGCTACTGCATACACGGAACAGATGATAAATGAGATTTGTACCACCACCATGAATATTCACATTCCCAAAACAGATCATCGCTTCTTTCTTAGGAAGATTACTTTTTCTTGCTGCAAACATTCAAGAAGTCATTGCAGGAAATAGTAATTTCAAGTCTTTGGCAGGATGAGAACTACTCGACTTCTCATACACCAAGAAAGTGGGTAAGGTTTAGGGCAGTAACAGCAGGGCACACAGCAGCCCTTGATCAGACATTGGAAATGAATAATCCAGCATTATCATCCTTTTATTTATTTATTTTTTTTCATTGAATCCCCAAACAGGAAATATATGAAGGTTTTTCAATATCTTAAGGACTCATGCCTCTAATGCTGAAGAGCTGCACGAAGTCAAGTTTTCCATGACTTGCTTCGTATGATAGCAAAAACCATATACAGACCCCTTTGAAATCTGTAATTGATAGATAAGCCCAGGGTTAATGGCGTAGCCACCAAAGTGACCCGAGGGGTCTCTGACATCGCAATTAAAATGGCAGATTTGCACAAAAAAGACACGGAGCTATTGTGACAATTTAGGAGAGAAGTATTAGCTACTTACAGATGATACATGTTCAAAACAGAAACTCTAATGTTTTGAGTCAGCTCATCACTGCCAGAGGGTAGCTGAAAAATTTACTCAGCAAACACATACAGTGTTTTACAAAATTAGCTAAAACAGACTATTTGCTACGGGAAATAAACCAGACATGGTTTGGAGAGATTTCTGAGAAAAATGGTCCAACAGCAGGTAATTAGAGAGACTGTGACTGAAGAGAGGATTACTAAAAAGGCAAGGGAGATTAAACAAGTTTTCTTGTCAGTTTATAAAAAAAACCCTGCTCCCACTTCGTAAATGACTTCCTAAATCAGGTCCCTCGTACATGTTCTACTTGGGAGCAGGTGGTTCATCTGCTAGACCTGATAATTTGCTAAGAAGTTGAGGCAGGAAATCTAGCAAAGCTCTCAGCCTTGATGGCTTTGCTCATAAAAGTTTATAACATTTTAAATAAAGAAACACATCATGTGTTGCTCAGGACTTTCCAGTTTCTTTTGCTGGAAGGATTGATTCCTGCAAGGCATCAATTAGTTTGGAGGATTTTTGTCTCTTGCACGCCTATAACAAGGTGGACTTTTGAAATTAAACACCTGCCAAACCCCAGAGCACACAGATTTGTTTCCTGCCTCATTCAGGCAGTCTCTGCAAGCTCAAGCCTACAGTTGTCTTTGGAAAGGCTCTTGAATTTTATGCTTTATTTTCACTAAAAACACCAATGTTTCTGATAGCCCTTTGATGAACAGATGATTGTATTTCCAAGTGCATTTCTGGGTGGTACTTCTTTCTGAATATCAAGTGTATTTAGACTCAGCGGTAAACCTTATTTCTTGGATAACACCTCAACTGAGAGGCTGGAAAAAATAAATAGAAGATTTCTTTCTTAGTGATGAAGGAATAATGTACTTTCAAGCTTGACATCCTTCCTGCTTTCAGTGTCTGCTAAAAGGAAAAGAGATGAGCTGCCGGAATTCAGGGACATGGGACCATGTGAAGATAGGTTTGTAATGAGACATCATTTTCATTTGTTACTCCACATTGTTCTCATTGCTCTTGTTTAGTAACCAAGTTATTTGGAAGAAGCATCAATTACAAATATCTGAAAAAAAAATATCAGAATTCCTTTTTAAGTGATTGACAAAGGCAGTGCTGTGCATTCTTGGCAACACAGTAGGTTTTATAATAACTGGTTAGCTCACCTCTCCTGCCTTTGAAGAAGACAGAGCGATAATAGCTCTTTGGTGAAAGAGATCTGAAAGAAGATGAACTTGCTGCCAGGAATAAATTGCCTATTTTTATATTACATTGTCCTCTCCATATTTTTGCATAGAAAAAGAGCCTAAAAGATTTTACTCGATGTTGTGACATAACAGAGGCTTGTAAAGGGCTTTGATTTTCCAACAATGTAGCATTACCATACTTCTCAGTCACATTCATACAACAAAGAGATGCCTTAGTATGGACTGCAGAGGCAGATATTGAGCAGCAGGTATCATCAGGCATAGATAGTGGTAATTCTGAATATTTTATATACACAGAGAACCCTCAGGATATTCTGAGCTGGAATCTGCAGTGTTTCCTGTCAGGAGAGTGATACACTCTGATAACTCAGCTTATGTAGCTCCAGGAACAAGCTTTATTTTCTCTGTATGTATTCCATCCCATATTGTATTTATAGGAACATAAAAGCAAGCTAAATGGAGTTGGTGTGTTTCAATACATACAATTATTTTTCAGAATCTAATGTTATGACTTGGAAGAATGCAAGAGAAGCACAAGCTCATCATCTGCAAATGTTTCTGTATTTGCAGTTGAGAAGATCTACCAGCAGAGGAATAAATAACTAAGTAAAAAAACTAAAATTCATCTCTTACAGGAGGGAAACATCACTTGTGAATGTTTTACCTCGTGCAAATCAAATCAAGTGATGTGTACATGAAGAATAAACACATTTAGAGGGAAGACAAATGAATGAATAGAGTATCTTGACTAGCAATTAGTTTCCGTGCCCAAGTACCATCAGTGCAAAATTGATGAGCACAGTAACCTTTGGCTGCACTTTAGCAAGTTCTTCATTAGTTTGCTGGCTTTCAGTTTCAAATACCTTATTTCTTCATAGACATGCTGAGAAAAATTATCCATCCTGCTTGCACTACCAATGCATATCGTGTTAGAACTCTACTGTGCTATCAGCCTGTGTTCTTCTGGCAAGAAATGGTCCCTTTTTTTTCCCCAAGCCTGTCTTCAAACAAGGGAAGAAAAAGGAGGAAAAAGTTCTCTTTCCTTTTTTCACAGATTAGAAAACCAAACCACTCACAGATTGAATAACTGAAGGTCACCCTGTAGGTCAATGGTTTTGAATTGGATCAGCCTGAATAGAAATCAGTAGCAAACTTATTTGTGCCTTTGAAAATTTCTTGTTACGTGCCCAGAGGTAAAGGAGGGATATGCCAGGTCCTGGGGGAAAAAAGCTGGTGAGACAATCAGAGCTGTCAGATGGAGGTAGGTAGGCTACAGTATTATCCATTGGTAGACTGCGCCGGTCTGTAATTGGTTGAGAGGCCTCCTCTGAACATTTGTCTGACATTAGTGCTGCTCAAGGCACTGAAGTGTAAGTGCTCATCGATGGGAATGTACATGCCCTGTTTGTTAATGTTCTGCACAAGAGAATTATCTGGGAGAACTGGGAATGTTATAGATCTGTCATTCGTACACTAGCTAAATTTAATTTATGCTTTACTTCTGACATTTCCTTTCTACATATTTTCTTCCTCATTTCACTTCTGTTGTATCATGTATCTCTATTTCTCACAGATTTGTGCTGCCGAGCCAAATGATAATGACAAAAGCTGCAAAGGAATTCAATGTTTTTGGCATTATTGCACTACCAGCAGCACCACTTTGAAATAAAATGTCACACTTCCAGGTATGATCGAGTGACTTATCAGTTACTGAAGTCCTCCACAGGAGTGGGTTTGATATATTTCTTTAATTCCTTCAAGAAAGACAGGTTGTGAGCCATCAGCAACAGAACATGGGAAGAAGCAGAGACCCAGGATGAAGAGCTGCTGCAGAGCACTGGGGCATGGAGAAGCAGCAGAGCTGCAGAGAGCTGGGTGAGGGGGGACAGGCAGGCACATGGAATATGCTGGTTAACTTCTAGCATGAGTTTTACAGAGTGTAAAACTGTTACTGGTCAACAGGAAGCTGTGAATAAATACATCTGCTGTGCTACAGTGGGTCACCACATAGGACATCTTTTGGTATTTAGGATGAAGCTGCTGAAGCGTTTGGCACATTTTTGCAGCTCACTTCAAAGTCCAGATTTTAACCTTCTTTTCTGTCTACACTCTGTAATTTTCTGCCCTCCACTCAAAAACAGCCTCGGAGAAAAAGAAAGTATGATTATATAGTAGCAATATATTTTGAATTGTCTTCTGCTCTTGGATCCAAACCAGCAGTAAAATGCACTCCGGGAGGAGAGCTGAGGAGCGCTTAATTAGAGAAAGAATGTATGACCGCTCTCTGCAAACGGGCATCTGATCTTGCCTTGGCACTGTCAAAATAACGCTGTATCAAACAGGGCCCTGCATAGCAAATCTCTGAGGTGAACTCATTATTCTGCCAACAGCAGAAGTTGCCATCTTCTCAGAGATATCAGGCATGACCAGCAGAAACAGATGCAATTTGAGTTAAATTAAAGCATGTGGCACTACTCAAATAAAAAAAAAATAAGACTACATGAAACATTACTGTCTTACTCATTTGATCTGTTCCACACATGGACCAAAATCACAGTTGTTGCTTTTAGTGATAAAAATAAAAAGGAAGCTTACTTCGCTCCAGTGGAATGACAGGAATAGAACATACAGAACCATGCAATGCCATTTTTATAATCCTTTTTCAGAAGCAATGTGTACTTTAAGTATTATTTTTTTTCTTAACTGAATTTTTAAAGATTCTTAGGAATAAAGAAAGGCAAACGTAAAAATATTTTTCTCTGGAACTCTATGTCTAAAGAGAATGAAAAAACAAGCAATATCTACTGAGGGACCAGCTATTTTTATGTATGTTTAACAGAGAGAGAGCACTAAAGGAGGAAAATGTTTTCCTATAACCTTGGCATCACAGCCCGCCACCTGGGCTTGATGGGAAAGTCCAACAGCATGGGATGATGGAAAGAATCAGGTTGGAAGGGGCCAAACCCCCACACAAAGCAGGACCAGTCATAAAATCAGACCAGTTTATCCAGTTTGGTCTAAAAAGCCTCCAACCTTTGGGGTCAAACCTGCTCCTCACATGTGGACTTGGCATTTGTCCTTGGTGAATTTTCTAAGGTTCTTGTCAGCCCATTTCTCAGCCTATCTAGGTTCCTATGAATGATGGTCTCACATTGAGGTTCTCCACCCATTTTGTGCCATTTACAAACCTGATGAGTACGCATTCCAACATCTCCTCCAGATCCTTGACGAAGATGTTGAACAGGACATGCTCCATTATAATCCCATGCATTAGTCCACTTATTATTGCCTTCATGCAGACTACAGCTATTAACTGTTATCCCCCGAGCTCAGCCATCCAATCTATTGAATGTGATGCAGAGAAATACACTGAAGTGGAAGTAACTTCTGAGTGACTTGAAACTCAGTCACTTGAAAGTCCAAGTAGCACAGCAGCATGCAAAAGGAAGAACATCTCAAAGCAATTTAATTCACAATGAACCAGCCTTAATTTCCCACTGAAATAAATAAATACCTAAAAAAAATGTATGAGGGTATCTGAAAACCAGCATAGCCTTGTGTTCAAGATGGAATTACTCACATCACTTCTAGTCGAGCCATTCGGGAATCATTTCCTCCAAAAGAAATGACCTCACAAGTATAGTCCCCGATGTCACCCGACCACGTCTGGCTGATGAGGAGGGTTCCATCTTTCTCTACTGTGATCCTGGAACTGCTGGATGGATTTATTACAACACTGTCCTTCTTCCAAACATACCTGAATATTACAACGTTTTAGTTAGTAATTACTTGGAAGAAATTTGAAATACATTTATCTGAACTATGCAAGATACCAGCTTCTATAATAACAAATTAGAAATGTCAGGCCTCTATGGGTACTTTCAGGAACAGTGCCTGCTTCAAATTTTAACTTTAGACCAGTGATCAGAATAAGAAATGTAATCACAGAATAAGAAATGTAATTACATCCAAGATGCAATACACCTTATAAACAATACTGCGTATTTCAAAAAGAAAAGACCTAGTGCTCAGGAACACCCAAGTTCACAAGTCCACCTTCACCAGCAGTTTAAGCTGCAACACCAGTTATACTACTAAAAGTAACAGCACAACACAGCTCTGCAAAGACCGTATCAGCCTTACACTGATAGAATCAGTAGCATCTTTAACCGTTGTGGCAAAGCTCACCAGTTTATCATCCCTTAAAGGACACATACCAACAGGTCACAGATAAGTGTCCAGTCCATGGTCTTGCAATTAAGTATCTCTACATAACATTTTTTACATCTTTATATCTCCTTCTGAAGTTCTTTCTGCAGTTGACCCTTCTGACACCCTTCAAGCTGTTCCTTGCATTTTCTTTAATTTGGCTTTCAGTCTACATACATTTTCACGGTAAATTTATTTTTAAATGGGGAACTTCCTCTAGATGCTCTAGTACAAATGTTAATAGTTCATACAAGTTGCTTTTTTTTTTTTTCTCCCTTTACGCAGTAAAAGCAGAATATAGCCTCTAGTTATTGAGCAGCTTCCAAGAACATGGGCACATTGCGCATCACTTTCATACACCACAGTGTAGACATGTTTGAAATCCTATTCCTTCTCTTTGGCTTTTACTCTCATTAACTATCAGCTTCTGACAAGTTGCTTTTATTGATAGTGTATTAACCTTGACAGTAAAATCATGGAAGGCTATATTGAAGTCATGAAGTGGAACATAGCTCATTGTAAATAATACATAAGGCTGAAATGGAAGATGGGATTTATATGATTAATGATACAGTGTACAACCTTATAATGCAGTAATAGGGGGTCTGGTGTTAAAATTTGGGGTCCTGAAACTTTTCACCTAATGCTATTCATATAGCTTATAGAATTGAGCTCAGATAAACCACACAAACAACAACTGACACCACCGACCTGATTGAAATTCTAGGATCATGAGTTGCTTCACATCGCAGAGTGGCTGTAGTTCCTTTGATCACAGTGCTATTCTCAGGAGGGTGAACAATGAAAGTCCGATCTGAAAGGAACACAAGCCATAGTTCAGGTGAAATTACAGCATTTTGACTTGGATATTCACTCGGGGAGCAGGCAACTGAACATTTGTCATTCAAAGCAAGCAGGCCATTCCTCTTCAAGTCTTTGCTATGAAGCCTCCTCTGCCTCTAATGTCATTATGTCAAGAGGAGGTTGTATGCTGTGGGGTGCGGGAGGCAAAGGCAGCAGAGGGCACGTGTCTGAGTCAGCAGTGCTACAGCTGCATTGACTCTCACTTGTCTTTGTGGGAAGTCTCTCTGGCAACTCCCTGAAGTCCTAATGTTTATAACACGTTAAGGATGAATCAAAACATGCATTTTGTCAGAAAACAAGTCACACAATTTAGAGTGGAGAACAAAAAACAAAAACAAGGAAAATCTGTGCAAAAGAAAAAAACGCTAGAAAAATCATCCAGAAAGAGGAAAGCTTGAATGGCATTCTATAAAGAGGTTAAGGGAGGAGGAGTTTTTGGTAGTCTGAATTTTTTCACATAGGGAAATATGTTGTTTACTTAAATGTTTCAAAACATCTTTATTCAAGCACCTCCTGGAGACACAGAAGACAAAAACTGCTGTAACTACAGCAACCAAATCTGGTGTGAAAGATCTCTGTTATGCTCAGCACACAGCAGTAGCAGCAGATAGCATCATCTGGAGCAGGTAGACAACTAGGGGTGAGGAGATATGTGGATAATGTGGATAATGTTAATCAGTCCCAATTCTCCACAGAGATAATCAGCATCTACTGAGATCTCATTTGTGCACAAAAAGAAATCATCAGCAAAATCAAAAGCTACACCCAGGAGCATGGAATGTTGGCATTATTCCTGATGCACCTATGCGTGCCTTCCAGCTTTACACTGGTGAAGTTTTACATAAATATTAGGTCAGAATCACTTCTCCTTTCCCCTCCAATGCTGTATCAATGAACAGAAACAGAATCAATCCCTTGAGAATTAACAGGAAGGATCTCTATTATTCATACACCTGGATGTCAATCAGTTTACAAGATCCTGACTTTACGTTGTCAATGAGGTATAAATCTAACAGTCGTGTGTCAAAAGCACTTTACATTTACTCCCAGTATGGTTTTCAGGTATTCCCAAGTTCAAAAGGAAAAATGCTACTGATGTAACGTGTACATTTTTGGGATTAACAGATGTCAAATACACACCACACATCTGTGGTGTAATCAGCCTCAGGGCTGTACTTCAAGTATAGGAGAAAAGAGTTACTCATTACTTCTATATTTGTCACTATCATCTTCATTGTCTTCAATTGGTTGTAGTCCCAGCTCAAGGATCATTGTTTCCTACCAATAGCAACAACACACACTGCACTTTAACCCTTCAGCTGCTGCTTCAGATCAGACACACGAAACTTATGTTTTGCCTCTCACTCAGGGGTAATACAGGGGAACCTAACTGATTCAATTTTTTACACCAACAGAGGGGAAAAATAGAGATCAAGGGCAAACGATGAAAGACTAAATCACTTCACAGGCTGCCCTGTGCCATGCCAATCTGTAACATGAGAGAGTAGAAGTGTGCTGCACTTTGCTTTGGCTTCCGAGAACGCCCAGGGTCACAAAGAAATGCACAGTTAGGAGGAAAATCACATCCACTGTATTTGTAGCCACAGCCTTTGTAACAGCATGGGCTGTTTTATACTGCCTGCAGACTGCTGGAGGCAGAAAACAACTTGCAAACAGCCAAATCCACAAAGTAAAAGGGCAGATTTGCAATGCAGACTAAGGCAAGTTTCACCATTGCAAAACCCAAGTGAAACCGTAAGCGTGACTAGATGCTCCACTGAAGCACACAACCTTTCACAAAATGAAACAGCTTATACATATGATTTCTAAAACAAAATGGGTTCTTGTGATATGTTTCCTAAAACAGTACGTTCTCACCACTGAACTACACAAATATCTCTTTTATGAGAAAAGCATAACTTGTTATGAAATGTCCTGGTCATACACCAAAATCCAATTAGCACTTGATTCAAGTCAGACTTTAAACAAAGCATTGTCCTTACTCCACACTGTCAGCATCACAAAAGCATTCAGAGCTCCCTCGGAGTTGACTGCATGGCAAGTATAATTGCCAGCATCCTGAAGGAACACGGGCGTTATCTGGAGCCCTCCGGATTCCAGAAGAATGAACCGAGGAATCTGAACTGAGCCACTGGCTAAGATCTGGTTTCCTGAAACACAGAAAGGAAAAGCAGTATGATTAATGTCATGTAGGCTGCGTGGATGAGGCACTGCAGTCCCAGCTCTTACAGACATGGATGGTATCAACTTATCTGGGCTTGCAGCAGGACCTCTACAGCCCTTGGCTCATAGAACTAGAGCAATATTAAATGGACCTACAGAAACTCAGGAGTAGGAATAGATAAGAAAACAAGCAGTTCCACAACAGTGTAGTAAGTGGATACCTTTCTTCCACGAGATGGCAGGTTTTGGAGCCCCTGAAACTTCACAGGTCAGCATGGCAGTCATCCCTTCAGTCACAGTGGTGTCCTCTGGAGGCTGTATAAATGCTGGCTTAATGTCTAGAATCAAACAATTTGAAATCTCAGCGGATCAGTTATCAGAAAGATGCCTTTCCTATTATTGTGGACTGCTTTACATCCACTTTTACAGTGCTGATCATGGAGAAGGACATGACAATAATGCATGAAAACCTCTCAGCAGTGACTGTAACCTTTCATTATTCATCTCCAAGGAATTACCTAATTCAGTTTATTACCTACCTGGAAAATAAAAATCTATCAGCACTTACACGTGTACAAGTAAGATGGCTTACAGATAAAGGCAGATAAAGCTTTGAATGAGTGTTTGGGGGAAAATGGGAAATCTAGATAAACAAAACTATTTTCGTTCATCTTCATAACAGAGTTCTTTAAGATGAAAAGCAACTCCAGAAAGGCATTAACTTTGAAACTTAAATGTCAGCCAAAAGAATTTAGAACCCAAGTCTCATCCAAGGCATTTTCCAAGTTTCTTTCACTCTTATTTTCCCCCAGTTGCACTTTACAACACTTTTTTTTTTTCCTTTTTTTTTTTTTTTTTCCCCTGCAGTTTCCTAGATCTATATTGAACTGATCTAGTTTCTGCAGGCTGAAGAAATTCTGGTCAGTATGTACAGACTGCTCTTGGGCTAAAAATCAGCTTCCTGAAAAGGAGTTACAATATTATGGGAATATATGCCTGTTAATAATTGCTTTTAAAAGAGACAATGAGGATTTGTAATTCTCCCACAGTGAAAAGTGTATTTCATTAACTAAAGCATTTAATCAGGCTTTATGGCCAAAAACTAGACACTAAACTTGAATTTTCTTTGTTTTCCCTGCTAAATGTAGTTGTAGACAAAAGGCAGAAAAAAAAAAAAAGCCATGAACAATTATGAAGCAGGGTTACATTACAGTCGAACCGAATCATTTAATAATGAAGAAGGAAAACCATTTTACAATTAACTTTTCAATTTCTTCCGTTAGTTTTCTTTTCATACCATGAAATAAGAGATTGCCTCAAGCTCCTGTGTTTTCTACAGGGTTCAGCAGGCTGCATTCAGACCAAACTGGGAACGTTGGGGTATCTCACACATAGGACAGCCATATATTATAAGAAATCAAGGTTCAAACTACATGAGCAAGAAGAAACCTGATGGCTGTAGGCTCATCTACAACAACAGCACAACTCATCGAGCCCCATCCCAGCCCCTTACTCACTGGTCACATCCAGGTAGGTGTAGGTCTGTATCTCCCCAGCTTTATTGCTGGCAAAGCACTGGAAGATCCCTGCATCCTGAGGACGCAGCGCGTGGATCCGCAGCCCCCCGCTCAGCAGGACTTTATAGCGGGGGTTTTGCAGCTTGCTGAGGGGAACGGAGTCCTTGTACCAAACCAGGGAAGGAATGGGAACACCTGTAAGAAAGCCCAGAAGAAAGTCATTGTTAGCATGTGCATAATGTGCTTCAGAGAGTTGAAGCACACAGCGCTGTTGTGGTCACGTCCCGGGTATCCCTTCCTTCCACTGTGCTTATTTATACTTTTACAAGCTGCTTTTGATAAATGGGAGGCAGCATTTTACATTATCAATGGTAAGAATACGCAGCAGAACATGTGGGAAAACAGTGAAAGGGGGAATGTTGAGAAAACATGTTATCAAATTACTTTCTTCACCCAATCATATTTCATGCTACTACAAAATAAGATTTATAGCAATTTCACATTGAAAGCCAGAATCATGCTACTTAAACAGCAGCAGTGTGACATTGCAGCGAGTCTATAAGGCTGTTCCATCCCAAATGAGATTTTTCTGTGCTACTGCAGCTGAGATGTCAAAATAAAAAGGAAATGGCAAATTACACATAAGAGATGAAGTGCTCAGATGACTGTATTCGAGTTCTAATTTGGTAGCTTAGTTTGAGCTAATGTGCGAGCAGCTTGTTGCCCACAATGAGATGGCTTTAAATTATTATTTTTATTCATTCTCAAGCTTCACCTGTTATTTGAAAAACACAGACATTAGGAGAAACAAAAATCCTGCTATAAATACAAGCCCTTTTATTCCTGTTTCCTTTCATGTGCATGTTCTACAAATCATGACATGCTAATTCCAGTTTTGCTGCAGCCATATACCCGTCAGCTGGGATGAAGCAGCCATAAATTCAGTATCCACAGATATTGAATGAAGGATTCTCTTTCCTTCATGGGATTGGGACTGCTTTCTGCAGATGTTCCTGCTCTGCTCCTCCCATCACTGACTGTTTGGCCTTTATATCCTAGAAATCCCCAGCTGATCAAATGCCAAGGGCCCTACGCAGAGATCAGATATTTTATTATGTGATTGGATAATCACAGGATCAGAAGGGTATCTGATTTAAGTGACCTCAGCCCCAAACACGGTTTTATCTTCATAATCAGGTGCTGTTTTTGAACAAACGTCGCTTTAAACCTCAGTGCTTCAGAGTCCCCTGTAGTAAGGAAAGGATAGCAGGTCCTTGCATCATAGCAAAGCCATAGAGGTGAATTCACAGGTGAGTCACTGAGTCACCGAGCAAAGCCACGTGGGACATCACAGCAGTACTGAGATGTCACTGATGAACTGAGCACATGCAGACATTGAATTTCACTGTAGTGTTGACCATGACTTAAGGTCTTCAGAGGGAAAGTGCCACAGGAGAAGCCATAATGTCATTTTAAATATCCCAAAGTGAAATACCACCATATTATACTTTCATTCACGCTTTCTTCCAATATATTCTCTTTCTATAGACAAAAACTACATCAACTGTTTGGAAATCATACACAAACAATGTAAGGAATGATATAAAAAAAAAAAAAAAGAATGTTCAATTGCTGCTGCTGTTTTTGTAAACATGTATCATTTACTACAATCACCTCTGATGCTTTTGTTCCGCTGATATAATAAAATGCACTCATAATCTGGGAGGTAATCATCTCAGGAAGAAATCCACGATGCAGAGTGCATTGTCTGACATAGAATGGATGCAGTGTAGGAGCTTCCATTGACATAATTTACATTTCCTGCAGCAGCCAATCTACAGAATTAGCGCAAACTTCCCTGTTCAGAATTCTCGGTGAGAGTGTTATTCATCTCTTGAAGATCCTCCCGGGCAAATACAAATTATCACTGAGTAATGAAGAAACAGATGATGCAAAATGGAATAGTTCTCTTGATGCAGAGAAGCCTGGAAATGATTTCAAGTTTAAATAATAGCAACTCTAGTTTCCCACACGTCACTCGATGGGCACTGAGGAAATAATGCAGCCCTGCATTCAGTACACTCAAACCTTTAACACTGGTGTCATTCCATAAATCCCATTCTTCTAACAGTATTAGTAAACCTTCTAATCCCATAATCACTGAGAGATACACCTTCCTATCACCAACCCAGCTGACAAACTGAATATTACCATCTCTATTTTTCTACGTTTCAGTTACGGATATCTTCCTCTACTCAAAGTTATGAGTCTGAATAATAGGATCTTATCTAAGCATTCTGATGCCTGTCAGCAGCATTCATTTGGGCTTTAGTGATCTTCCCAGAGAGATTTGTCTTCCAAGTTGTACACATTTTCTTTTATCACCTCGCTACCTCTTTAGCTATAAAAATGGCTAAAACCAGCCTCCTTTCTTCTCCACTCTCCCACCGCCCCGCTTTTCCCCCTGCCACCCTCCAAGGAATTTTGCTGCTTCTCCTCTCTACAAATTTTGCTGAACAAAAAAATACGAAAAGAAGAAAAGACTTTAAATACACATTGGATGATGCCTTTCCAAGCATTATCCGTCCTATCCTACCTTATTGTTCGAGAGATTACAGAGTGGCCTAAAATAACATAATATTAAGTAAAATAAGCTTAATTCTCAGCGTGTACACAGTGCTCTATTTTTTTGCTTTTTTTTTTTTCTTTTTTTCCCAAAGATGGGCTGACAAATCAATCTGGTGCTATGGAGGAGGAGGGGAAGAAGACAGACTGGTTTGGGCTGTGCCACTTTCTCTGTAACCTTGGCAAATGATTTATGCAAGCCCAGGCTCAGTTTCCCCATCTGTGAAACAGATGTTTGTCTCTCTGCCAAATTTCACTTATTTAAGAGTCTGGATGAAAGACTCTAAATATTCATTGTGTCATTTTTGTTATTTATTTTTTACAGTCTTCTCTCTAGCTCCCAGTGGGCAACTGAGGTGTCCCAAAAACATCCTTCCATCTCCTTGTCTAAACAGGTAGAACTAAAGTCCAATTAACCGCACTCCCCAGACATCCCCGTCAACTCCTGCGGCCCAAAACTTCCTATAAGCAAATAAGAAAAAGCATTTAAAGAAAAGCCATTGAAAATGCATGCAGCATCAGCAAGTGCTGGAAGACATACAGCAGAGCATGGTTACTGCGCAGTCTGATACATTGAAACTCCATTACAGTGAAGTATAAAGCTAGTCTGTGCAGGTTGCAATTTTATTTACAGTTAATCTCTGCTTATACTGTGAAATTAATCTGTCTCTCACACATTCAAGGTGCACAAAGCCTGAGCAAATGGGCTTTGTGCACAGAACCTGATGGGGCCGCGAGAAATCTAATCCATCTTCCTATTTGCAAGGAAGGTGTAGGGCAGCTCTGCAGTTCCCTACACGCCTTGTTCTAGCTCCCACTTTGAGCAGAGAGACAGCAACCTTCACTTACCCTCTTTATAAATGCTGGTGGTTGCTAGGTCTATGTAATACGGATCAAAAGGCCTCTGCTTAATACTCTATATACAAGCAAGCCCTTTTTAAGTCTGGGCTAGAGATGCTCAGCACAGAAATGTGTGTGAAGACAGGTTTCCATGCTCCTGCACCACACTGACCAACAAATCAGACATGTATGGGTAGAGTTCAGCAGAAAGAAGTTACTTGTTCCAGGCCAGGTGCCCATGCCTCCAATAAGACTTCATCTACTGAGAATAGGTATGAGTTCCCAATTAAGCTCTTTAGAAGCTAAAGTGCTCAAAGGAAGAGGTAGGGTAGAAGGAAGAATTTAGAAGCCAACACCTTGTCTCTCTGATGTTCCAGGATTATTTTTTCTTCTTTCTTGTTAATTCATGAAGAACATTTGAGACAGCAGAAAGCTTTTCCAGTGACAGTGAGCAGAGAGTGTCAGAGATTTCCCAAATAGCTGTGTGAGATTGAAGCGTTTTTCAGAAATCTCCGAATGTTTTTTCATTCAATTTCCCTAATAATAAAACACTTGTTTTTAATCCTGCTACACGGAAAATCTCCTCCAATATAAAAATGCTAATCTATTTGTCATAACACACTATAAAAATAAAGTCGGTTGTATGTGGTCAGAATGAAGGTCTATCTAGTCACTCCTCCTTCCTTTGAAATTGCCTTGTCTCGGATGCTCAGGCAGTAAAAGCAAGAGCAGCCCAATGACAGAACATTATTTCCACCTTCCCAACACCCAGCACTTCAATCCACCGCTTGACACAGAACTGATGTTTGCAGAAGATACAGCTTTTCAGCATAGCAAGAGCTAATTTCACCTCTCTCAAAAATGTTATCTGCCAGCTTACTTGTCCAGTAAGCTTAAATCATCCAAACACTTCACGATTCTCCTGCATTAAGTTTGAATGTTGGCTGTTTTGAATAATTTTACACAATCACCAAACAGTTCCATCTTCACTGTTCACTCTGTACTTTGAACAGCCCCGAATCCTGGGGAACTCTAGGCCCTAGCTTTGAGAACCGAGCATTTGTTCTCTTTAAAAAACTATTAATTCACAACAAGACCTTGTCTATAATAACCTGACAGCTTCTTTTCTGTAAGTGCCTTTGATAAGAAACCTCATCAAAGACTTCTGAAATTCCAAATCAGCTGGAGCATCCTTACATGCACGCTTCCTTATTGTGATAACATGTTTGCAAAGATTCCTTCAGAAAAGCAGTGTTGATTTTTTCCTATGCAAAGCAAAAAAAAAAACACACATTTAAATCCTGATGCAAATAAAATAGATATGCAAGAATTTATTTTTTGGCCCTGATCTGAAGAAGGAGCCCAACCAAATAAGCTGTCAGTTAGAACTGGTTGCAGGTTTTTTAAAAAATATATAGTATACTTTTTACTTAAGAAGCTCAAGGCTGCATTTTTATGTGTACTGCCTGTAAAACACAGCATCAGGGAAACTGAGACACCAAAAAGTTAAGCTGCTTGCCAAAGTCACACAGCAATTCAATGATAGAGTCAAGCCGGCTCCAATCACAACAATATGATGTCTTTCTGGAGTGCTAAAATAGGACGTGCTTCTATTTCTCTGGAACTAAATCTTAAACAGCAGTTTGTCTAAAGTGGAATTTTTAACATCTGAAGGCCTTGATGTAATTAAAACACCAGCCAATTAAAAACCACCTGTACCACTCCTCCTGCAGCACTCTTATCTACACTTAAATGTCAGAGCTACTGACAGACACTATAGAAGTTCCATAACTTGTAGAGAAGAGGAATTGCTGAAATATTGACTGTTTGCATTGCAACGACGGGTTCCACAGCCATACTTTTACCTGAACAAATCTATTGGCTCCGAAGTTTGTAATGCAGCAATTTATAGCATGTTTTCCAAAGAGAAACACCCTCCACATGCCTTATACCTGGATCTGCAATAGCTGGCAATGATGCACAGGCCTCAAGACATGAAAAGTAGATATCAGATGCTTTCCTCAGTACAGGATATACGTATTTTTGACTCAAGTTCAAATACTTGTCCACACTCACCCATTGCTTGGCACAGGATGTCCACATCTTTCTCCACTTCAGCCAAAATCACGCTCTCGGGCTCCGCAGTAAAATATGGAGGTTCTTCAGAACAGAGGAAACAAACAAAAGTAAGCAGAGAAACCCAGAGTAAAATGAAAAATAGAAGGTGACATAATGACATTCATATGATGGGTCTGCACACGTTTTATTTAATATGGTGCATTACGAACTGTCTATTTGGTCTGAGTTTCTACTTGGAGGATTTTTTTTTTTTGGTAGTAAAAGCATCATAAAAAAGCCAACAAATTCTCGCTTTGCTGAGTACGAATTCCAAAGCATCGAGTCAATGTTAGGTAAGATTTAGCATTTTGCACTGCAAATTAATACTCAGAGCAGGGACTGCTTTTCATTTTATAGGTCTGAATCATGGAACGTTTTAATTCTTCGTTCAGAAAGGCCTTCCCAAGAGGTTTATAAAGGTTTATATTTACAACATACCATTTTATTGGATAGTTTGCTTCAGTATCTAAACTGAATTCCACCTCATGAAGGCATGAAGCATATCAAATAATGTGTCATGGCACGTCAGAGAGCCAACATCACAGGATAAGCGCTGTATAATTAAAAAAATTCTGCTCAACTGTTTTATTTCTTGAAAGCAAACAGATTTAATGCTTTAATTGAAGTTATAGCAATAGTCATAAAAGTCCACACTTTATTATCAGGACTTAAGGAAAGATATTAGACATTTAATTAAACAAAGACAAGATTCCTGAAATGGTACAGTATCCCATCATGTTACTCTTTCTTCTCTGCAGCATAAAATTGAAGAGTATCTTGTCAAAGTCCCATAGGCATTAAGGTTGCAGTAATAATCATGGTAACTAAAAACTGTCATAGTCTACTTGATGTAATTATCATCTGAGTACTGTTTTTAGAATCATTTTATTTGATTATAGCTAGAGTTCTATTGTAGTATAGACAAACTCACTGCTAAGTGTTCAGTAACACAGAAAAGACAATAAAAGTAGCATGTAAGAAGATGATATTGTATTTTCAATTTAAGGAATTCAAGGATGTTTGAAGGAAGGCAGCAAGTGACAACGAATCTGAGCTGATCTTCTCTCAAATCTATTCCCCAGTCATACGTACAGATTGTGTTACTGATAGAAAATCACTATTTTGGTAAATTAAAACAAAACTGTATTAATTTATCCCATAGATCTCCCCTATTTCTCCTGCTACCTGCATAGCATGTGTTTCCACTCTCATCCAACAGAGCAGAACAACAGAAGGTAGGTACACATCATTAACACCAGCACTGCAATGCACTCCTTCCCGCTAACTGCAATAAAATACTTGCTTGAGTGTACAGAATCAGGGCCTCTTTTGGGCACCAGTGGATATTACAGCTCTGTATTCATTCCAAATAAAGTCAATCAATACGTTTTCAAAATCTTACAGGGAGGAGGTGAGGTTGCAAAATAGCCTGAATATTCATTTATCCAGGAAAACCAATAAAATGAGCTGCATGATTTATGGTATTCTAATAATATACATGTGTTAACATTATTGATCCTCACTGCCTAAATATAAAGCTATTAATAAACATACATAATAACTTGTGATTTATTGCATATGATCTCATGCATTAATCCAAACAACAAATTGGAAAGCCGAACGTTTAATTGAAATTCACTGATGGCATGCAGTTTGACATGTTTGATCATCCACACTGCTGAGCCCTCTGCAATGCATCTTAGTGCATTCTAACTCTCAGTATTCTCCTCCATCCCACTCCATCCTTCAAGCCTTGTCTGATGTTCTCCTGAAATTCCATGTTTGGGAATTTTATCTTTTTGATCTCCAAGCTTTTCTCTTTACTTGTCTGTGCATGTGAATACACAGATACACAATTCCATCTGTCTCTCTCTTTTAAAATAAAACTTGAATATTTCCTTCTACGTCAACTTAATCTGATTGTGAGGGGAGACAGGGGGGACAGGTAGCCAAACCAGCATCCAAAGAAGTAAAACAGCACCCAGACCTATACCCCTAACACCTGGACGTTCACTTCTAGCTCTGGGTTTCTACAGATGCCTCCTCTGCCACAATTTTGCTCCTTTTAGGGAGTTAGTGAATGCACCTCTCACGTCTTCCCTTCCTATATGGCACCCTGATCTTAACAGGTCAGTTTTCAAACTTGGCAACCTTCAGCTGCCAGCTCACAAACTTTCTCCTAGATCAGCAATATATTCATGCACTAGTAATAAATTTGAAGATTTATCTCCAGCATGGGCCTGCAGTTCAGCTGCAAAGCAACTTAACGTGACCTCAAAGACACTCGTAACTCCAGGACCACTGCTCAGGAACTACTGTTGCACAGGTCCTTGGCATATTTACACAACCTATTTTCCCAACGTCTCTCCCAAAATCTTATCCTACAATCTCCTTCTTTAAAATCCCATTCCAGCTCTTATGCTACCCTCAGAGAAACTTACTGTATTAAGACAGGCTTTCTTGAGCTTGTCAAGCAATGAATTGCCTGACAAAGAACCTCAAGCCACTGCAAACTGACACTTAGCAAACAAGACTGTAATGTTATAAAAGGAGGGTTTACATCAGCTTTTTTTGGAAGAAGCAGGAGGAAATCGAAGCAAACAAGGCAGAAGAAAGGCTGGAGCAGCAGAAAAATGCAATCAAAAGGCCACAGACAATTCCCAGAGGACTTTCAGAGTGCAGGTCTGCCAGTAGATGTAACTTCCAGTCTTCTTCAAGACCAGATCGAGGTTTTCCCTTACAGTGAAGCTACTGAACTCAACTCTCCCAGCCATTCCAACTGCTGGAAGCTTGACCAAATGCTAAAATTGGTAAAAGAGGGGTGAAGACTAAGGCAAGAAGTGTATAAAGGGTGGTCAGATGTTATTCTAGGGTGATGAGCGCAGACACAAAATTGCTTCCAAGAAGCAGCTTCACAATGTACTGAATCTCAGTGAACTGAAGCTGCCCGGAATAAGAGATAAGCTAGACAGCAAGACAGTACTAATCTGTAAGGAAATTCTGGAAGACCTAGAATACCTATGGACAACAGTGCTGCAACATCCTAAGTCTGACATACGTGGAAAATTTGTCTTGGTAAGACAGAATCACAGCAGTACTGGTGCAGGCACACCCTCAGGGCTTTGAGCAAAATGGAGCAGTGGCCTCCATGCAAGCTGTGCTCTTCACCCACATGTATGCCCCATATGGGAGCACCATGCATGCTCAAAAGGCCCTTTGCAGGCTCCAATGTGCTGGCATTCTCTATTGGGAAGTGAGGGTCTGTGGCTTCAACTGAACACTGACTGTCGAAGAAATTAAGGTAAAAGTGTTCCAGTTACAGGACACAGAGCACCAAAATCAAGCCCCCTGATATTTTCAATGGGTCAGATGTATGATCTGCACACCAGGAGTGTGTCTGAAGGGCTGCAGGCCAACACAAGCTAGCAGTGTCTGAATTTGGGTTATACACAGCATCTGATGAACAACTTTCAGAAAGAGGCCATAAAATTGCAGCAATATTTGGAAGGGTCAGATGGCATTCTGAAAGGGTATTTTGGTCATCCGTATATATGACTCAATTACATATTTATAAAGCTTGGTTTGAATCACATAGTGCAGATTTGAACATTTACTGTTGCGGGCAATGATCAAGTGTCGAAATTTAATATGTGTGGTGAAATTACGACATCTTCCAAACTATATAACATGCCAGACACAGGCCCCAAGACACAGCAATTTCTAAGAATGACAGTAGCCTGTTGGTATCAGGTCAAACATTTGATTAAAATTATAGAACCACAATAGTTAGAAGAGGAAAGGACCTATTGCACTGGTGGCAGTGCAATGAGAGGGGTCACATCTCAGACTGAAAGAAACAGATACTACAATGTTCAGACATTGTATTGGTGTTTGAGTGATCTTAACTAAAAGGTCAAGTACAGCCAAAAGGGAAAATGAATATTTGAATATAAATACATGCTTTTAATAGTTGTCGAAGGTTTAAGGGTGCTTTTTTTGTTGTTGTTCCCCCCCACCCCCCCTCATCCTCCTCCCTACTACAGACATCAGTGGAAAGATGGCTGCTCTGCAAAGCCCCTGGGAGTCTGCAAAATGTGATACTGTTCTAACTTCCCTCACACAGAGTTACATGGTCACTGATTTTAACATTCAAAAGATAGCAGTCAGCATCCATTACATACCCTTCAAGCTGCATTGGAGATGTGTGACCTAATGCTAGATACATACATGAAAGTCAGAAAGAACAGAGAAAGCCCCAGGGGCTCCTCCAGAGCTGAAAATCCTGCGCCACTCAAATTCAAGCCTGCATATTTAAGAGGAAAATTGAGCTCTAAACATGGAAGCCTTTCTCTAACATTAGCATAAACTAATTTATTTGGTGAATATCCTGTAAAGAAGTGGAACTGGAAAGTTGCGAGTGCCTTGTAGGTAACCAAGTCCGTACCTCCAGACAACAGGGCAGGCTGCCTGTGCTGGAACACGTGGCTGTAACAGAGTCCTTGAAGCAGGATTTCTCTTTGCATGAATACAAAGTTAAAACAGAAGCAGATGAAAAGGCCCTGCTAGTTTCTTGCTTTGTGCTTTGCATGCTCTCAGCTACAGGAAAAATTCCTGTGGCAGGAAAAACTCCTTTTTGAAAGATACCATTATTACATCTGGGAAACTACATGGTATGACCAACTCTCCACTGCTGCCAGGTGCTCTCTCTGCATTCTAAAATCCTGTAACAACCCAGGGAACACATCTGCTGGCAGAACTGAGAGAATGGGAACTTCCCAGGAACATCACAGACAAAGCTGGACATCCCCTAAATCCCCTTGTGGGATTTTACTTTCTGACTGCATCTGACTTGAAGAGCAGTATGGTTTTTTGTGTTCTTCTGAGCTCATAATATACATAACTTTCCCATAGAAGAACCATTTAAAAATGGTGATTGCAATTTGTCAACAATGGAATTTGCAGAACTGCAGCAAAAGAATTTAAGATTAGTTCAGTCTTCAAATTGGTTTGCTCACGAGTTGATTCCTTAAATTCCTTAATCTTCAAACTGTTGGCAATAAAACAAATGTGCTCTTATCTAATCTGCAACAAATCTTCCCCAAACTGTTACTCTGCCAACTGAGGAACATGCTACCCTTTAAAAATTTATAACAACTGCAGCTAATAAAACCAGAGTTTGGAACCACCTCTGTTTATCTTCGCTGGTACAATATGAAGATGTCAGAAGGCTTCCTGCCACATCCAGAGGAAACAGCAGTGTGACCCACAGGCTGTGTTCCTTGCTCATGCAGTCTTACTCTACAGCATTACCAATATCTGTGATATCTTTTTATTGCCGACTCTATTCTACCTGTTAACAACAGAACTTTTTGTTCTACTGATCCACCAAAGCTCTTATTACCACCTACTGAGAGTCTATTTGACTTTTCTGAATCATTTCGAAAACAAACCTCTTCTATCACCACAATTTCAATTTTTCCAATAGTCAAGACCCCTTATGTAGTCCGTGCTGTATTATTCTACAAAGAAGTGCAGCTCATTATCAGGTCACTGTTCATGTGCACACTCTGTAAATATGTTATGTACGCAAATGAATGAGCATTCCTGAGCCTCTATGAGTACTGCTCCAACAGGCTATGATGGATAACTACAAAAATACTTAGGTTTGAATCCTGCCTGTATGGCCCCTAGAATCCATCTCTTGATTAATTAAACAATGGCTGGATCCATTCAGGAACTCTAAGGCTGAATATAAGTTATGCATTAACTATTAATCCTTTAATTTGGCTTTCTGTTTAGAATTAGAGATCCATTCCCCAGCACTAGGAAGAAACTCATAAATAAAGAAATCTTCTAGGCTTTGCTGACACACTGAGTAAACACCTGAAACTGAAGTGTCTTGTTCCATCAGAAGGAAATAAAAGTAATGGGTAACCAATTTGTTTCTGCTTTCTTTCATCTGCTTGTTCTTATCTACAGGCCTTTTCATAACTTCATTCCCTGACAGCCCCCTAAAATTGGATAAGAAATAAATAAAACATCTATAAAATAAGAGAGCAGATAAGCTACTAAATAAAGGCAGTGTTTCTATTTTAATATGATTCCCCAATGATTGCTGCTTGCTTTTATTGTAACTGTATTTAAGAATCTTCTACCTTAACCGAGAGGCTGCTTTAAGTACTGCATTAGGCTGGATCTGACACCACAGCAGCAAAATTAAACTAGTTACAATAAAATCTTATGAATATAGAAGAGTTTAAACCAAAACCATAAGTCAGTGAAATCTGTCTCTGCTCCTTAAGGGGCAGGGAAGCTGCAAAGCAATAATTCTACAAACAGAGTATAAAGAAAAAGGACTGGAACCAAACTTCACCCAGTAGGTGATAAATACAACAGAGACTCAGTGCTACAAATGAACCCAGAGCACAGCTTTGTAGAGGGAAGAGCTGTTTTCTCATTAAGCATAAACTACTTCAGATTGCTTTACTAGAAAACAGACCACACAGCAGAGTCTTTAAAATTGTATTTTCTGAAGTTGGAAGGAGAGTACAGAATCGCGTGCTGAATTCTCTCTGCAATGCTCTACAGAAATGCATGGGCATGAATTCTGATCAACATCGACACCTGTGTCACTGCCAGAGCAATAACCTGTCCAGGACGCAAGCACAGTTGCTTCTGTGACTATTAGATAAAAGCCAGACTTGACACAATCAGCTCTGGCTTACTGTTCCAAAACGTCTCCTTTATCCTAAAAATCCTAAACAAAACTCTACACTGTGCCCAGTGTGCTCATTTGTACTGCTGTGTCAGAACATGACGTGCACAATAACTGCATTTTCAAATGAATTCTGCTCCAGCAAAATTCTAGCAGAGAGGTGATGGTGGGAACAGGTCCATCCCTCCATCAAAAGCAGGCTAAATGTCCTCATAAAAATAAGCCCAAAGCTTCTCTTGGAGTTGGAAGTCCAGCACGCAACATTGATTTTAGTGCTATTTCCCTCTCCTTTTTGTCACCTCAGTAAAGATGTCTGCCTGCCTGTGTGCCCAGGAAGGTCCTTGGCCCCTTGGCTGCCTCTCATGACAATCGATGCATAGCAGTGCTCCTGAAAGGCTTCTTTCAGAAATACAGGCACTTAACATATTAAAACTAGATGTAAGCAAGCTGGGAGTTAATCAGGATTTAATGCAGCTAAAAGCTGAGATGTGGAAGCTGCCCAATAAGGATTTTACTACTGTGCTCCCCCAACTTCTGATTAAATGTATAGTTTCACATGGGATTCAGAATCAGATCCGTGTTTAAAAATACCTATTTGATGAATTTATATTCATGGGGAGGAACAGCTGAATTAATTTAGAAGACAACCCCCTTCTACCCTTTTTGTTCCGTTCTCTGAAGAAAGGTTCAAATGTAAGGTCAGTGAAATATTAAAATACCAATTTTATTTCCTACTATACCTCAGCCCTGAGCCTGTTTTACTAAAAAACACACTGCCTTGAGAATTACCCATTAGAGAAATGAAGGCTTTGGCTCTCGCTGGTTCCTCTGTGCTGTCCCTCAGTTCTGCTTCGCAGAAGTACATTCCAACATCAGCAGAGGTTGGGTTGGTGATCGTGAGGCGTCTCCCAAAACTGCTAATTCCACTGGTGATTTTTATTCCGTTTCTCTTCCACATTATGCTTAGTCTCTCAACAGGTCTACCGAGATTAAAAAAAAATACAATAAAACATTACAGAATAATCTTGTCTGCAGTTATACATGGATTTTAAAGCTCCGACATTGGTTATTGAGAAGTAAATGCATACATAACTTCTACACTTCAACTACAGACTACTCAAGTGGCGTTATGCAAGTACAGCTAATTGATACAGCAATAGAAGTTAAGTACTAATAATTTCATTTCTCTAAGCAAAAGAAGTAAATATTGTTATGTGAATCAGCTGCATGGGAAGTGCTTTCATTATAACTCAATTACCGGGAAAATATTAACCATATCAAGAACATCTCTGCCCTCAGAGGAGAATGTAAATCAGTTGGTCCTCCTATCAGCTGGAGACTCAACTATTCGCTCCCTTCAGAATGCAGTGGAAACAGCCACGTGCACAAAACAAATGCTGTGAACTCCACGTTACGGTGCATTATGAACAGTTGAGCAATAATCACTGTAAACGAAGAACATCTGTAATAAATTACTCCATAAGAGATCTTTCCTAATTTATTTACTAGGAAGCACAGTCTGTTGATTTAAACGGTATCACCTTCCATGCCAATATGCAATATAACTGAAATATTACTTAACTGAAACATAATGATTTCTGTAAGAGTGTTTGCTGATGGCACAACACTATTCTTGTCTTTACTGGGTAAGCCACAGGTGGGAAAGTATCTCTGCCTACATTCTTATTTTGCCAAGAAAAAAAAATCAAAGTTTAATTCAGTAATGTGGGGCAAATAAGATTATTCCTAAGGTTACTTTGAAGAGCAAGGGACACGCTGCAGTCTGCTTCACTAATAAAGAATGTAAAGAACATGCTATGTTCTTCCCAGCGAAGGAAAGGGCATTACAATCAGCTGCTGATGACCCCTCTGCTTTTACAATACCTTGCACTGGCTACACATTCCAATGTGACTTCGCTGCTCCCTGCTACAATGCTCGTGTTCTGCGGAGGGATGACGATGATGGGAGCCGTGGTGTCAGATGGGTCCGTGGCACCTGGGTGGGCAGAGAGAGCCACTAGTGAATGCCTCATACACCCACAAACAGCAAGGACCAAATCACCTCAGGTAAAAGATCTTGTCGAGTGACACAGCTGCAAATTCCATTCTTCAACCTCAGCATGGATTTTAATCTCCTCATTAAAGGGAGATCTTCAGCATGACCGTTTTCGATGGCTTTCATTATACTGTGCAAACACACTGTTTCAATACCCCCAGCTTGGTATCATTCAAAACACACACAACTCGCAGAACTACTCCCAGATGGAGTGCAGAGGCCACTCTCAAATAGAGAGCAAATAAATTAAGCATCCTAAAGGTTTGCTATTGTTGAGCATTTTTTTATTTTTATCAAGCACTTGCTGACTTATATTTTTAAGACCGTTTCATGTTTTGTTTAATCTTCGCACTTCCATGCTATTTCAAAAGAGTCTGCCAGTACTCATGTTAGTTCTTTAAAAAGATTTTACACACTGGGGAACAAATATAAAATTAACAAAGCAGCATATCGCAGCAACTTCAATCCCCTTTTCTTATCAGGCAAGTAAATAACCTAAATCTGCTCCTCTTTTGTGAGGCACTGTACTGTAAATAATTTAGCTTATGCAACAGTCAGCAGACACTTAAAAAATGGAAAAAAGGCTGCTTGTAAATTTTGTCTGTGTACATTTAGTAAGTGAATTAAAACACCCATGTATTCACAGGTACTTTGCTTCAAGCAACTCATTTGGAAGAGAAAAATTAGCTATTTTTTAGCTTGAATGAGAGAGTAATAAAAATTTCTAAAGATACGGAATCCAATAAGTAAATCAGAGAAAAGTAATGAAAGTAAAACTAAATTGATGCAAATCCAATTCCATTCATCAGACGTCTTCTGATGAAGACAGACTAACCCATGCATTTTAGCTGGTAAGCAGAACGAGAAATTGGCAAACCCCAATGTCCTCTTTTAGGATACTGCCCTAAATAATAGCAAATGACAGAAAACTCTTTGCTTATCCAAAAACCAGCATACCAAACCCTGTTCAACATTCTGTTTCCCTTCTTAGACAGACTAAGTTTTTGGTAATGGGCCTCAAAGGTCACAAGGTCAGCAGATTTGTGAATCGTTGAATGACAAAATTTTGGCCTTTTGACTCTTTTGTAATTGATAGAAAATATTGTACTAAAGGAAATGAAAGCATCCAGTACAATGCTGAAATGTTACGAATACCACCTGCACACCTGAATAAGTTCATGAATCCAGGAGCAGTGCTTAAGGAACTGATAAATGCATGTGTGCTTCTTCCCATAAATATGCTTTATTAATCTGACACAGTATACATACACAACTTGCATGGGATCTCAACAAGCAAGATTTCAGCAAGATTTTAGTTCTGCTCCACAGTATTCCTGGAAATAAGACGTTATTGGGCAGCTAATCTGCTTTCTGAAGATCTCCGTGATGGAATCTTCCAGGTAGCAATTGAAAAAGTATAAACCAAGTGTCAATTAGATCAGCAACTGGTTATTGACGAGAATAACCTCAGCTTTACAGCTCACCACTACCTTTTGCACAAGATGAAGGTTTACAACAGTAAACGCTAAAAGAGCAACAAACAAGTTAGTAATTTGGCAATGATAATTTCTTATCTTCATCTGGAAAAGAGGAAAATCACTTGTTCAGCTTATCAGCTCCCCTGAAGAATGTGTGTTTTTAGTATGCTCAACCATACTAAAAACAACCCAGGAACAGAAGCCAGCTTTGTTGTAACCTCTAGGAGTTCACCCCATGGGAAAGGCTCTTTGTGCAGCAAGCAGATAAGCAGGGGAAATAAAAGAGCACTTTCCTCTGCCTGCAACCAGGAAAACGTAAGGTTGCTTTGACTTTATTAAAAACCATAACAAGGATCTAAACAAAGTATGTGCTTATTTTCATTTCATACCATCCCTGAAACAAATCTATTTAAAGCAGTCTTTTGATAACAATTTTGAATGGGTGAGCAGATGTGATACTGAGAGCTCACCAAAGCAGCAGGCACTTGGATTCTAAGTAAAATCATACAAAGGTCAGCTGCCAGTGTAACAAGCATATATAAAAAAATCCAACATTTCAAAGTATTATCTAAACAGCATGAATATTTCATATTCAAAGACAAGTCAAGTTTCCCTCTGTAACTCAAAGAATTCTGTTGCAGTAACTCACTCTCTCCCAACCATGTCAAATAACACCCAACCAGGACATTCCCAGAGCTATCTGTGCAGAGTACAGCCTGTAGTTCTGTTTTGTGGTAGGTCAAGGTACCAAAGGAGAAATTTGGTCTTTGTAATAACAGTCACAATAAAGCTGTAATGTGGGATCTGTTTGCCTACCTGTAATGCTATGACATGATGGAAAGCACATTATAAAAATATAAAGCAATAATAGTGGAATGACAAAGTCCTAGGCTGCAGCAACTAAGAATAAGCCAAATGCAGCAGTTGTGGTAACAAACAAAAGGAAAAAGCTGCTTGGAAGGCCTCAAGCATACAGGGATCTCCAGCAAGATCCCCTTGCCTCCACTGCCAACCCTTAAATGAGGTCTGGGAAGGGATGGATCCTGGTCCCACCCCTTCTGGTCACTCTGTGCATTGCATACACCTGGGCTCCCGTGGGTTGGCCCTGCCTTCCCACCAGGTGCTCAGTCACTTACCATTTCTGCTACACCACCCTATCCTCTCACCTTTTTGTAAGAAATCCACAGGCTGGAATGGCAGAGCAGCCAGGCTCCTCATTAAAAGAGGACTAACACTGTGGTCTGGTTCCCATGATGCGATGCAGTGAATCAGACTTTGGCCTGTGGTCCCCAATAGATATTTTGCATTATTAAAAGGCTGCTCAATTTCCCACGTATCCTTTATTGTAACGATTGAGCTTCAACTTCTTAGATTCGTATCTACTAGGAAATATTTATTAAAGACACTGAAACATGAGAGCAGTGTGAATGAATGCAAGAACATACAGCCATAGTGAGATGAATCTGCTGTCAGGGGACCACCGTTCCCACCCATCTCATACCTGCTTTGAAATAAAAAATCTTCCTTTTCTATCTGCCTTCTGAATCCCTTCTCTCCCCCAGAGCAGTATTAAGGAAAGAATACCAACCCCAGAAGTGCAGACTTCTGGGGCAAGGGATGCCTAACTATGGGACATAACAGATCTGTGGGAACTTGCAGGAAGCTGCAAAGACAAGGCTGAAAGGCACTGAAGATCACTTAAGGGATGTGCTCTTAAACTGATTCTAGTCCCTAATAGAAGACTGGACAGAGGACTGCCACAGGCAAACATCCTGATCCAAGCAGTTTCCTTCAGGAAAGGCTCTCTGCTTTATTTTATACTGTATACCTATTTTAGCCTCAACCCTCACAGTATTTCCAGTCTTTCCTTTGCTTCTAAACCAACTCCTTAGACATCCTGTGATTATTGGAATCTATTAGTGCCCAGTAAGTGAAGTGCTTTCGGGAACAGCCCCAGCCGCCCTTTGATGCTCAGTTAACAAAACTCACACGTGCAGGAGTTCATCTTGGAGCTGTTTCAGTGGATCCCATACCGTTCATGAAGCAGTTCCTGAACTGCCATTCTCAGCCCATTATATTAACTTCCATCAGTATTATTTTTCCATATTAGAATTTGAAAATAAAAATTAAAAAAAAACCAGAAAATGGAATGAGGAGATCCAGGGTCTTTTGGTCCCCCTAAACAAGACCTCCTCTGGAGATTGTGCAGAATGCACAGAAATTCTGCAAAAAACATTGATATGTTAAGAGAAGAGAGAAAAAAGGATGATGGCCCCTTGCATCATCTATTTGTTTTTATCACTAGTGCCTGTGTGTGACTGCACAACTCTGATCTTGGATCACAGTGAACTTCCACTTTTTAACTACCATCTGACTGACAGCGATTCAGTCAGTCCCAAGTGGTCTGTAACACTGACTTCTATTTTTCTTTTAATAGTGATGAGCTGTAGAATTTTAACTCTCTGCTATTTAAGTATTGTAATTATGCAGACTGCCCTATAATCTCTAGAAAGACACAATCAGTGTTTTTATCTCCCTACATACATAGTCATATTGAGTACAAGAAATTTTAAATATTTTAATTTACAGTTTAAAAACATCACAGACTTTGTCAAAGTCACTTGAATGTTTAATTTTCCCAACAGAGATGAAATCTGACTCAGGCCATATGACAAAACACAAAAATACAAAATTTGCTTTTCCCTTTAGAAATGTATAAACATGAGCTTCTTCCCCAGGTCTTACATTATGGTATGCAAAGTTTATCTACATCTGTTTTTGCAGTGCAGAATATTAACAGCAATGCTTCATGGATGCTCAAGTTCCTCTCAGACAGACACTGTGCCAACCAGCCCTAATAAAAGGTGAGAGGAAGCATTTATCTCTTGAAAAGAAGTAATAGCTTGAGATCAGACTTGAGAAAAATAGCGACTTTTATTTTTTAAGCCTGTGAGATTAAATTGCTTATAGGTCCCAGCCTGCTGATGACACAACACAACTGAGGTTATCATGAGCAAGAGGAGTGAGAATTGCCCAAATAAACACCCAGATCACCTGATTTACATAACACAGGGCAGGGATGCTGGGAATGCTGGGATGGGATATTGGCTGCTACTCATTCCTACTCTGTCTTAATTACTGCTGCCATTATTTCTCAATGTCCTGTTTTCAGTGAATAAGAAATTTCACTGGAGTCGGTACCCCAAACTGGATTTACTTCTTTACATTAGGAAACTCATCTAAGAGAAAAAAACAACACTTGGAGGTAAGGGTCACCAGTACCCTACAGCTAAACTAATGGAGACATGGAGCACCTGTAGCAGAGCTTTGGAACTGTTTACAAGTTAAGCTGGAAGAAAAAGATTAGAAAACCTTCCCTGCAACCTTCCTACAGACTTTTAGACTATCGCAATTTGCAGAAGTGCCTTTTCCAATGACTATGCAGGATACATGCAAAGCTTC